TTTCAATGATGAAATTTCTCTAGATTGAAAGCGCAAGTTATTTGTAACCATTTGGAAAAAATAATTTTTCGGTGGACTATTTTAATCCCTGATCTGTAGGTTATTTTAATCCATTTTGATATTAAAATAATATCCCCACAATTTCCTGTGTGTATCCACTATAGAAATTCTGTACCTATTAGTCACTTAATATGAATCAGTAAAATTTGCATTGCATACCAATTAGTACTCTCTAAATTTGAATAAGTGATTTTCACTCAATAAGGGTACATTCACTTATGAATAAGTGAATATAATCACTTATTTTTTTACGTGAACGATTTTTGACGGTGAATTTTCACTTTTGTTCAGATTTGTACCATAAAAAACTTAGTCTTCATTTTAGCAGATTCCTATAAATTGAATACATATTTTTCTCTTGCATATGGTGCCAAATATGAGTCTTCACTAATAATTTTTAGAAGATGAAAAAACTAATTTTTCCTAATCAGGTAATGATTAATAGGTGGTAATTAATAACAAACTTGTTGTTAATGTTTCAAAAACATCGTCGTTTTCTTTAAAAAGTGTAAATAAACATGTTAAAATGAATTATGTATGTCGAATGGACATTTGTCAAAAAGATTCGTCAAAAACAAGAGATAAAATCATGATCATTTAATAAATTCAAAGAAAATTTTTGAGGCATTATTTTAGCGCCAAAAGGGATTAAAATAATGTGAAACACTCTAATCCAGTGAAGGATTAAAGTAAAGATTAAAGTAAAATCTATCGAAGGATTAATTTTTCAAAATCGTTAAAAGTGATTTGGTTTTTACTTAGAGAGTTTTACTTTTTTCATGAATGAAATTGATTCAAAAATGTATTATTTTAATTTTTTTTGTGTAAATTTCAGCAATTACACCTTTTTTACTAGTTACTGTGTTTAAATTTGATAACATTTTTATTTGAATCAAGTAAACTATTTCCAAACGTTGCAAACTTCACTAAAGTGTTTTAATTTAAAATCCATTTTTTGGCATATTAACGAACTACTTTAGTTAAAAGTTAAATATTTGTCATTTTTAAATTGTTGATCAGGAAATATTATAAAAAATTTAAGAGATCAAAATTTTAGGAAACTATTGCCAACAAATAATTTTTGTGTTTTTTATGGATTTGAGTATAAAAAAGGGAAAAAATTACTAAACTGAAATTAAAAATATTGTAACTGAACAGTTAAATATTAATTTTTTAATTATAAAAACAATATTTTGCAATAAAATTTGAATTAAACGTTAAAGTAACAAAAATATTGTTCATTTGAACTTTTGAAACTTTAGGATCATATAGAAATAGTTCCAACACGTGGGTGAATTTAACAGCGTTATGATCAACGATTAACTGAAAATTAAAATTTTTCCCAAGAAAAGTAATAAACTTTTGGTTTAAAAAACTTTTTTTATAGAAATATAGTTAACAAATTGATCAAGAAACTTTGTTAAAATTTCTTTAAAACAAAAGTTTATGAAAATTTGCGTAAAAAAAATATTTTTTCTTCTGAAATCGTTGTAAACTTTCCTAAAGTGTCTTAAATTTTTTTTTTTTAATATTTACGAACATTCTACAAAACTTCTAACCAGAATTGACAATTTCAAAAATTTAAACTTTTTTATAAATAACTTAACTTGTTGTTACTTTTTTGGAGTTAAATTTTTTAAATGTTCCTTTTATTCTTAAATTTAATAGAGTTCTTAATAGCCACGTGATGGTTCCCATGAGGAAGCGCACGTGCGTTCAGTTAAAAATTAAATCAAAATTTTTTATTTTTAAATTGTTGATCTTAAAATATTACAAAAAATTAAGGGATCAAAAACTTTAGTAAAAAAACATTTTTTTATAAGTCGTTAATTTGTTGTGAACTTCAGCAACGTGGAAACATTCTTCATTTATGAAATCACGCAAAAATGTAGCACCAAAAATGAAAGTTAAGCTATTACCACTCAGCAGCTGTTTTTTTCTTCAATGCAGCAATAAAATTTAAATTATCATCATTAGTCTGTTTATTCATTTATTGAAATTATTATTAGTTCATTCACTTCCAATTAATATATTTAATTCCTTAAATTGATTATTGCAATGAGACTGCAAAACTTGGGAAAAGAAATTTCACTTTGCTATTATGTCAGTTGGGTGTAGTGTTAGTGCTTCATCTATAAATTTTATCTCAACAGATTTACAATACCGTTCTTTTTTCTAATTTAGATTTCATCCTCCACATGGCTATCTTAATAGTGAAGTGTACATTAAAATTTTTTTTTTTAATTTAAAAACTTGTTTTTAGAAAAGGTATGCTATGTGACTTCACGTGGTGAATCACAGCCATTTGAACGTGAAATATTTTCATAAAATTGTAATAACAATAATACCCTTATAGATAAGATAAGACTCTCTCTCTCTCTCTCTCTCTCTCTCTCTCTCTCTCTCTCTCTCTCTCTCTCTCTTTTTCTCTCTTTATTTCCGGAAAAATAAGTTGAAATGACATAAGAAATTTTGAATATAATTTCCTGGGATAAGAATAATAATATCTCGAACATGAGATTGCGTTGAAACACTCGCGATTATTTTAAGAAGAATCTTACACAGCATTTAGTCGTGTGTATTGTGACTTGTGATTCATAACTCAATTAAGTAAGAATTCAAAGGCTTCACTTAGTGAATATACACAACGATTGTCAATTGCTTTCGGTCATTTTTAGGAATAAAATATGAAGCCATACTCATGGCCAAGTGTTAATAAATCAATAATATAAAAACCCTGTTAGTTGTGAGACAATATAGGATAAACAGGAAACGAATTAATTTGACCTTGTACTTGTAGCAAAAGTTTATTGATATTTGTGCCCGAATTTGTTGTCACTTTACTCAAAACTAAATTACAAATTATAAATTTGCCAGTTTACAATTTTCATTTTTTGCATTTTCGAGTCATAATAATGATTTTATTTTCTCGAAAATTCATTTTTTTCAAAAAAATAAAAATTCTGATGAAATGAAAATTGTCGAAGAATTCTCAAATAGAAGTGTGAGACACTCGGCTTGTTGTTGTTACCGGTGCATGTCGCGCGCGGTGTGATAACGACCGGGCTGGATTGTTGACTATACATTATAAACTGTAAAGTGTAGACGCAGTGTGCGAGTTATCTTCGAATACACACTTTTTAAGAAAAAAGAAAACGAGATGCCGAGAAATCAATGCACTGCGTTTGTGTGCTATCAATTTTTCTCTAGTTCTCATTTTCTCATGAACGAAATTTATTTTCTATCTTTTAAAACCCAAAAAGAAAATGGAAAAGTAAATTTTTAATTTTTATTCCCTAAATTTGAATTAGAAAAAAATTATTCTAAAAAATTTCAAGTAAATCTTTACAAGAATAATTTTTCTAAAATACAAATTGAAAGAAGTAATAAAAATATCCTTCGAAAGAAAAAATGTTGGAAAGAATATGAACCGATAATATAAATAGAATAATAAAAAGTTAATAAAACAAATAAAATCGAAGCGAAAAATTATAATAAAATCGAAGCGATTTCTAATTTTACCCAATTATAAATAATTGCCTAATCAATAATGATGGAGAATATTTTTAAAATATTGTAATATAAATATTTATGGTCTATGTGTATGTGGAAACAATGAGAGGTAAAAATAATTTAAATGCTCTTCATTTTCTGAGAGAAAATACTTGTAGTTAAGTGATGTATTTCATTATCATTTTATATGAGAGTTAATTGTGTTGGCTGCTAACTTCTCAATATCATTTTGCTTGATTGAAGTTGTGCTTTGAAGGAAAGAAAGAGAGAGAGAGAGAGAGAAAAAACGATGAAATGAAAGAAAGCCCTTTTTATTTTTCTAAAGGAAGTAGAACACTATAATTATAGAAGTCACACCAGAAAATTATTTTAATGATTTTGCTCTGTGCGAATAAATTTTTTCCAAGAAAAATTTCACAATTTACTTCTTATTTTTACATTAACTCTCGAATTAACTCTTAATTAAATTACATTTTATTAGACTATTTTACAAACTCGATTTATTGTCAAAAAAAAAAAGAAAATAAATTATTAAATAGACATTATTTATGTTCTTATAAAAAATGATCTTGATTGTTCAAATTAAAAAAATAATATAATTACCGATGGCGACAAAATACAAGATTTCAAATTCTTTTAGAGACTAATAATTTTTTTGATTACAGTTTTCTGCAGATATCAAATTGAGACAAAAAAGAAATCAAAAGTGGCAACACTTTTGATTCCTTTTTTGTCTCAATTTGATATCTGCAGAAAAACTGTGATTGTGGAGCAAAAGCATTGTAATAAAAAATTTAATTTGAAGGAGTTGTAAATAACTTTCGTTCCTTAGGATCATGGAAAATTGTTTTAACAATAAGAAAATATTTTGGTTTAAAAATCGAAAGTTTGTCGTAAAGTAAATTGGATTAAATTAATTTTGAATAGAGTTTAAATAGAAATGTTTAAAATAACAATAGTAGCATTTGACAAACAACAATGAAGCTGGAGAAATAAATTCGCTTTCGCTGAGAATTGTAATCAGTAATCAGCGTTTAGAGAAATGCTTCATCCGAATTCATGCAGTAATTATTTTAATTCCGGAGTTTAAAGACGAGAGAATCAATAACAGGAATTATTGCAAATTTTCTCTCGGAAAAGTACCAAAAGAGTATTTTACTTTTTTTGTTATTTCATACCTTTTACCGGCTTAATAATGAAAAAGCCCCCAGATTTTTGCCATAGAAAATTAAAATCCCAAAGAGCTTCTTAGTCCGATAAATATTGATAAATATTCATAAATATTCATGATTAGCGAATTTTCAATATTGATTCATAAATTTCATGCTATGCCCCTTTTCGCTTTCTTGGAAGAAAACAAAAGTCGTAGAATTTTTTTGATAAAGAAGGGCTGAGGTGGGATCGATTATTTTTTTTCCACTACTCACATTATATGTATGTGTGTGTATAAAATGGGCAAAATTTAGATTCGCCTTTCTCTGGACTACTCCGCCGGTGGTTCCTTAACTTGGGCTTGGAGACTGCGTGTTTTTCTTTTCTTTTTTTACGTCTTTTTATGAGGTTGAACAGAACACACTATGCACGAGACACTGTATAATGCGGGCGAGGGTGGTGCCGGTGTTGGTAAAATGGTGGGTTTCGTTTGAAAGAGAGACCGGTTGATTTGAAATTCGAACGTTCCTTTCACGACGATGTCTCGAGCTTGACTGAGGCACGCCGAGTGCGTGTATAGGTTTGGCCAGACTTGCCAGTCCTGCTACCCGGGCCCAACTCATGATCACAATACATATCACATATCGGGTGTCATGAAGAAGAGAGAGCCATTTCCTCTCGCCGGATATACGAAATTAACCCCCCCTTACACCCCCTCCAACCCCCTCTTTTATTCATGTGAATTATCAAGGACGATTTCTTGCACCTTAACCACCCGGTGTGGTGTTATTTCTCCCTTTTCTCTTTCTCTCTCTCTTGGATCTCTGATCAAGGGGAGATTATACTCATTATATGGTTTATGTCAGGAATGAGAAATTCAAATTCATTTTTAGATACAAATGAGGAATTTGCCGAGTTCAGCAAAAATTTATTACTTGGAGTTTATTTTTCAAATCGACTTAGCCAATAGTTTCTGTATTTCAAGGAACATTTCTCAATATACGTAGTGATTTATGTGCTTTGAATGAAAATTATTTCCTACAAATATTTATATTAAATTATTAGGTAATATTTGCTATAAAATGTTAATCTTTCTTTGATTTATTGAACCAGAACTGTAATGAACCTTTTTAACCCCTAGGGGAGAAAGTTCCCCTTTTTATCCCCGCAGTGAGTAAAATGATTTTTTCCACACTTAAATGTGAAGTTGGAGTACAATTTTCTTAAAACGTATTTCCTAATTTTTTATTTTCTATAAAAATTTGTTTTCTAATAAAGGCGAATTTTTATAAAACTTTTTTCTAATGAAGATGATTTTCTAATTTTCTTTCTTCTCATAAAGGTAATTTTCTAAAAATTTATTTTTCTAATAAAGATAATTTTCCAAAAAAAAATGTTTCCAACAATATTCAATTTTTGAAATAACAAATGATTGAAAAATAAAATTTACAAAAAATTTTTAATTCTTTTAAAAAAGTACTTGAGATTTCTTTAAAAAATTTAAAAAATAGAAATTATGCAAATTTTTGAAATAACGAATGATTAAAAAATAAAATTAACGACAATTTTTTAATTCTTCAAAAAAAGCACTTGAGATTTCTTTAAAAAATTATAATAAAAAATCAAAATTATGCAAATTTTTTAACAAAATTTTAAAATAATCTAGTTAAAAATCGTAATTAACAAATAGAAATTATAGGAATTTTTTCCCTAATAGATATTTAAAATTTTCTAAAAAAAGTGTTTTATAAATAAATTAATTTTGTAAATTTTTGTATCCTAAAAATGATGCAAATTATTATTTTTTTTCAAATAAGAACCGAATTTTGTTAAAAAATTATGATAAGAAATAGTAATTTTATAAAAATTTTTCTTCTTTTTCAAAAAGAAACTTATAATTTTGTAAACAAAATTGTAGTGATTGAGAAACAGAAAATACGCAAAATAGTTTCTATTTCTCAACTTTAATTTTTTAACAATTTTCTAACTTTTATGAAAATTATGGAATTTTACAAATTTAAGGAAAATAAATATTAGAAATCACAACTTTTTAGAAATTGAAACTTGTTAGAAAAACTTTTTTTAGAAAACAGATTTCATTAGAAAAATTAAGTAAATAAACTTCCTTTATTATTCATAATAATATTAATAGTTAATAATGTAATTTTATAAAATTAGTTTTGTAAAATTAATAATTAAAAGTTAGTTAATAGTTCATAATAATAATAATAATAATAATAATAATAATAATAATAATAATAATAATAATAATAATAGTTGAATTTCAAGAAGAAATAAATTAATTTCGTTTATTTGAACGTTCAAAAATTTAGACACATCTTCTGCTAAAATATTTTTAAAAATGATCATATAAAAATCAAATAATTAAAATCAAATATTCTTTTATAGTTAAGAATTAATTTTTTCAACTTTTAAAATAATTTTTTTGGAAAAAAGTAAATAAAAATTACAAAAACAATAAAAAATATCGTTTATTTGATAGTTCAAAACCTTAAGAACTGAAAAATAATTATAATTTAAATACATACTCCAAAAGTATAATTTTTTCTTAAGATAAAAATGTTTTTTGTTTAAAAAAAATCTTTTGTTTAATAAAGTAAGAGATCTCTTGAAAGTGTGATGTATATATAATATCCTATTTTTAAGAATCTCTCAATATGAATAAGCATCAAACGCTCTGATGACTCAAATATGTGATCAAACTTTCTTCACATGAATCATATACTTACTCCTTCAAGTCGTCCATTTATTTTGTTAGATAACGGAAATATTCATGATGCACATTTATAAAATTAATGTAAAATGTTTTTTTTCCACATAAACACTTAATGTAAATAATTAATCATTGATTTAATTAAAAACGCGTGCTTGTTGGTTTTTAAAAGAAATTTTACACTCAATTTGTTTGCAGTTGGCAAATCGATCAAAATTAATGTATATATCTAGAGTTTGAAGAAGCAAATTAGTTTGATGGATGTTGAATGAAGAATTCCATTTCCTTTTAGACTTGAGAGTTGCGAGTAAATAAAAAGAACAGTCTCAACGTAATTTAATCATCGAAAAGTGTTTGCTTATTAGATTTATTATTTTCGTTTTTTTTTTGGTCGAAAACAAATAGAAATATTAGAATTTAAAATATGATGTATATAATTTTTTTTAGGCAATTGTGTATGTACACAGTTTTTCTCCAGATGGCAAATTGAGACAAAAAAAGAATCAAAAGGTTGCTTCGCAACATTTTTGATTCTTTTTTCGTCTCAATTTGATTATTATTTCTTTTTATTTTTTTTAGGTATTTATTATTTTATTTATTTATTGTTTATTAATTAATTTATTATTTTTTTATTATCATTTCAATATTATTTTTCGTTTCATTTTAAAAACTTATTTGTTTTAAGGAGATTAGTCTTTAGGACAAGAAGACTATAGAGACGGACCATAAGCTGTCTGTCTAAAAATGAGTTTATCTACTGCGTGACGTTACGGTAGAATTTTTTTTATTTGAAAATTTCAAGAGAAAAAACTCGTATATCATTAAATTTACTCGAAATTTGATGTCTTTATTAAATTTTATTAAACTTTTTTGTCTCTCTTTCTCTCTTTATTAAGTTTTATGTCTCTCTAAATTTTCGAACGTTTAAAAGAACGCCGATATTTTTGTTTCAACTTTTAATTTGTATTTTTATTAAAAATATTATTTTGTAGGTATCCCAAAAAAAAAATGGTTTTCAGCTAAATAAATTTTGAATTTATATTATTTTTCCATTTTTTATAGTAATTTTTAAAAACATTTGGACAGAAAAAAAATTCTATTCATTTGAACGTTCAAAATTTTAGTCAACTGCTCTCTAAATTTAATAATTCATAAAAATGTTTACTAAATTGAATTAGTGACTGACTTTTTGCTTAACTAAATTAGTAAATTTTACTAATAAATTGTAATTTCTACTAATTTATTAGTAAAAACTTTATTAAAATTATTTTTAAAAATATTTAAAAAAAAAAACAATTTAGTGACTAAAAGAATTAATTAAAAATTAGTTACTGAATTTTTGCTTTTGAATTTGAAAATTTTACTAATAAATACTAATTTCTTCTAATTTATTAATAAAAACTTTATTAAAATTATCTTTAAAAATATTTATTTAAAAAAACAATTTAGTGACTGAAAGAATTAATTAAAAATTAGTGACTGAATTTTTGCTTTTGAATTTGCAAATTTTACTAATAAATACTAATTTCTACTGATTTATTAGTAAAAACTTTATCAAAATTATTTTTAAAAATATTTAGTTAAAAAAAATGTAGTGACTACATTTTTGCTTTTGAATTAGCAAATTTTACTAATAAATACTAATTTCTACTAATTTCTTAATAAAATTGACTAATATTCAAAAGCAAAAAGTCAGTCACTAATTCAAATTACCAAACATTTTTTACTAACTCGAATTTTGAGAGTGTTTTATACTGATTGAAACTAAATCTGAATTTTCGCTAACAGAAAATATACAAAAAAAATTCAACCTAATTTAAAAATATTGTATACTTACCTTTAATTTTTAAATGCAACTTTATGAAACAATAGCTGAGATTTAAAAAGCTTTTATTTGATTAAAATTTTAAATAATACATTTTTAAATACTTTAACAAAGCTCATATGATTTAATAAGTGAAAAAAATATTAAATTCAAAAAGGTATGTTTGCGTAATTTAGAAAATAATTACGCCATTCTTAATTGAAGCAAATTACAAGAATAATTTTTAACATTGTAAAATTTGCAGAATTTATAAATAGAAAGATATATTGAGAAGAAATATAACAAGATAATAAAATATTTTTGTACAATTTTTTAAAAAATATCTTCTCTTTCGTTCTTAGCATATTTATTGCTTTTTTGGATTCAATATTTTAATTTTACTAATAAAAAAGAATATTCTAAAAAATGATCTAGAAAAATAGCAAAAAAGTACTTTTTGCAACAAACAAGAAAAGGAAAAGAAATAATTTGTTTCCTGAATTTTTTTGTACTAATCGTAAATCAAAAATTGCAAATACGTTTCAATTGATTTTGAAGTAAATTTGAAGTAAGTAAATTAATCTTTCAAGATGAATAATGGTGTTGCGGATGCAAAAAGGAAGAGGAAAAAAAATGTATTCTTAATCTACCATCAAAGAATTCTCCTTCACTGAAGTCACAAATATGTGACTTGAAATATTTTCTGAAACTTAATGAGGTATTGAAGCAACTTCTTTTCGTCACAGCCAAAGGTACCTGTACCCGCATATTGACAATAGATCAGCTTTAGATAAAATCAATTTTATTTGCAGAATATTCATTTAAGTGCAGATCTTCTCCTGGGATGCTTCCTCAATTACAATCCCGTCGGCATTGATTAACTTTACCCTGTCAACGGGCTTTGGTCTCATCAGAATGAATGGCAATTCAGCGGATACCTCGCCTCCGAGTGCACCGAGATAGAGCTTGACCTTGACGGCATAGGAGACGACGATTCCGAAAGAATCGCGAACATCCGGCGAAGTGAGCAGAGTGCTCGAGGCCAGTTGGCTGCTTCCCTCGTTCTTCAGCTGTCCGTCCAGGGCAATTCCCCTTCGGTGCTTGTTTCCATCGAGATCGGGTTTCAGGTAGAGGACCTTCTGCAAATTCGAGCCCGGATTAATGGGGCATCCGTCTTGCGTCTCAACGGCGTGAATCACCGTTCGGAACTGGCCGTTCTGGAAGATGACGACGTCAATGCCCTGCTGGACCAGAGCCTTTATCTTCTTGACCACCTTGTTGCTGTTGTTCTTGACGCTGATGTTGACGGCAATTCGCTCTCCGTAGTGATAGAGTTGCTTGTCCAGGGTGACTTCGAGTTCCAACTCCCCGGGACTGAGGAGAAAGTCCTTGCGAACGACGGTGCAGGGCTGGCTCCCCTGCTTGGTGGGAGCGAACTGAATTTTGCGAATTCCGAGGGAGACGGTGCTCCGTTTGTGGCTGATGTCGGAGTCACTTTCGCCGGTGAAGATTTTCACGTAGTAACTCACCCCGCAGGGTTCTCCGGTTTCCTCCGGGTCTGGCTGGAGGGTGACGCTCGAGGGCGCCGTCTGGGGGAAGCAGAAGGTGAACGGAATAGCATTTGGTCCAAGTTTCTTCATCAGGCGATCCTGTAGTTTAGTCAGATTCGTGTCGTGTTTCTTCTTCTCGGGATAGAGGGGCTCGGAGACGAGGTAGAGATCCTTCTGGAAATTGAGACCCATCACCTCGTCCTCCTCTCGTCCATAGCGAAAACTGCAAATTAACTGCCCCCATATTCGACGCTCACTGTCCATATACTCCTGATCGAGAAGAATCACTCCATCCACGGGCTCCACTCCCGAGAGGTAGTCGATGAAGTCCCGTTTGCCCAGATACAGCGCAATTTTTCCATTGGGGGAAGATTTTTTGTACACTTTGAAATTAACAACCATTTTTCCAGCTCTCGTTAGAACCAAGTTTGACCACTCGACTGTCGAATGAAGTAGGTCGATTCGCTTTATATTCGCAAGGTGAGAGTGACGCCAAAACTCTCCTAAGGCTTCCTAATCCATTCAGAAGAATATAAGAAGATCTATTTCCTTTACACGCGAAATTCACCTGAATTTCCAGCAGGCTTTATTTAGGTTTCCACCAATATCTACGTCGAATTCGGACGTCATTTCAATCCGAAGGCTTCGCAATATTATTTCCCCTAATTTCACATTTGGAAATAGAATCCTTTCTCCTGTAAAAAATAAAATCGGTGGTAGAGTACGAACATTTGACCTTGAAACTGAAGACTTGCATGAAACTTTCCTTAAATACGTAAATGTCATAAATACTTTAAACTGAAAACAAGTTATACATTTGCATAGATTCTATATTATATAAATAATAAATTTTATAAGTACTAAAAGAAAAATTACAAACGTTTTTCTTCGTTTTTATAAAACGATTAAAAATACTAATAAACCTTTTATCATTAGTTAAATAGTCTTTAGAACTTTTGTACATTTTTACAATTAATAAAGGAGGATAAAATATTTCATTAGGAAATAGAAAGGCAATATTATTTTGCTTCATTTCGATTCTTAACTGCCGCTTCGACAATTTGCGTCAAATCGTGCAAACGTGGTACTTCCGCTTCAGATACTTTGAGTGACTTAATCTGAAATAAATATCCAATTAGTAAATTAATTTAGCTTAAAAAATCAATTCCAAAATGAAATTATACTAATTGGTTCAATAATAACAAACAAGTGCTTACCAAACTCACGAAATTAGATACATCTATAGAAAGTTGAATACGAATTTTTTCATCGTCACTCACACCTTGAGTCTCGGACGAGGATACTCCCGATGATTTGTCTCGAATTTTCTTCAATTTTCTCAAACTTTCCTCTGTTTTCTGTACTGATGTTAATACATCCGTTACTGAGGAAATGTATCTGGAAAAAAGCAATTTATAAATAGAAATTATACAAATATAAATGTCTCTTTAATTAAACAACAAATTTGTAAAAATGTTAGTTAAATATATTTTTTCAATTTTAATATTTCTATTAACAAAATATACGCACTGAATAATTCACTTTTTTTATTAATTAATTATTTAACAAAATAAATAGGGGCAAATACCAAAATTGTTTGAAGAAATTTTTAAACCAACATTTGTTTCAAATTTAACAATTTCACCACCATGAAAAATTATTATAAGAAAAAATAATTTTTAAAATGTTCTTAAAACTTTTATATTTTCCCAAAAAGTGTAAATAATAAAAATTAATTTAAATTTTGTTAATTCATAAAACTTAAAATATTAAGAAATTTTTATTTCGAATACTTTATTATCAACTTTTAATTATCATTCATTCATCAATAATGGAGTTTCTTTAATAATTTTAATTGAAAATTTTGAAAGTAATTTAATTTTATGCAAAATCTCTTTCAAGAGATTAAATTAAATTTTTAATTTTTAATTTAATTAAATTAAATTTTTCTCAGAATTTTATTAGAATTTTCTAAAATAATTTAATTCATTCTAGGAATTTTATTCGAGTTTTTGTAAATAATTAAATTCTTCTAAAGACTTTTCTTTGTCTATTTTTTAAAATAGTTTAGTTCTTTTAATAATTTTAATTTAAAATTTTGAAAATAATTGAATTACCCAAAAAAATTTTTTAATTTTTTAAAATAATCGTGTCTGTTAATAATTATAATAAAATATTTGATTTTTGAAATTTATTAAAATTTTATTAAAACTAATTGAATTTCTCAGGAGAATTTTATCATTTATAAAAAATAATTTAATTTTTGCGATGAATTTTATTTCGAAAGGATTTCTTGACTTCTTTTCAAATAATTGAAATTCTGTAAAGAATTTAATTATTTATGAAAAAAATTGAATTCTTTCGTGAAATTTTATTGATGGTTGGATTTTTGCAAAATATTTTACTATTTACAAAAATAATTGAATTCTTCCAAAAAATGTTATTATTTATGAAAATAATTGAATTCTTACAAAGAATTATATTAAAATTTTTGAAAATATAAACATTATAACATTTCAATTCTCATTCACTGCAATTTTAAAAAGTATTTTTAATATTTTTTCAATACTAATTTGAATAATTATTGGAAAACATATGAAGATTAATATAGTTCATTAATAAAATTAAAATAATAATAATTAATAATAATAATTATAATAATAATAACTATTATTATTATTATTATATAACAATGAATAGTAATATACGGTTAATAATTAATTAATTTTCCATACTGTTCTGTCAAAGATGAAAGTGTTTGAAGCAACCAGAGATTAGTTTCCTGCGGAATTATTGGAAAATAATCATCATAAAATGCGGAAAGAAAACTGAGAGCATTTTTCACGTAGGCACACGGTTTTGTTGGAATTTCTCGATTAGTACGTCTGAATAATCTAGGAATATCACTAATTTGCTTCAAATGAAAAGCGCTTTGAGATAAAAGTTCCTTTACAATTTCCTGAGTTATAAGTGGCAGGGTTTCGGACAAATTTTTTCTCGTCTCTCCAAGGCAGTCTGCAAATGAAAATCAAACACTTATCTGACATGTTAAAATAGAAATTTTAATGGTAAAAAATATTTTTATATTTAAAGTAAAAAATTTTTAATTTTTAATATGAAATTTTTTTATATTTTTAATGTAAAAAATATTAATATTTTTAAAGTAAAAAATATTAATATTTTTAAAGTAAAAAATATTTATATTTTTAATATAAAATATATTTACATTTTTAATGTAAAAAATTTACCTTCTAGTAGTTTACAAGATTTTTCATTCAGATTTTTCACTTTTTGGTTTGCCAATTGAAAAATACTTTGTAAGAGTCTTATAAAAATGTCCACATCAGTGTACAAGCAAACGAGAAATTCTAGTCTTGTAGGATTTTCAGTTTCGGTCACAGTGCTAATTTCGTTTACTGTTATTACTTGCCATTTCTGAAAATTTAATATTAGAACCAATTTGCATGTTTTGAAATTCTTGTTAATTTCTGAAAGAGAGAAGTAAGAGAGGAAACACATTTACTTGATTCAAAGATCCTTTACACCATTCGTTGTATCGCGAACAAATTTGCAGATTTAATTTCCAAAATCTAAAGTAAAATTGCAAAATAATAATAAGTAATTGTTGATATTTATCTGAACGAAATTTATTTCTTTTTAAAATTCTAATTTTATTGGGTCTCGCGTTAGAAAATAATTTATAGTTTCGAAAAGTTTACTTCACGTTTTGGAGTTTTAAGTCACTAAATAAATAAAATAAAGTATTAGAAATATCTATATTTAGAAAATATTTCGTTCAGTTGAACATTCAGAATTTTGGTAACATTATTTAATTATGAAAACGAAATTAAAAAAATTACCTGTGCAGCAGTTGAGAAAGAAATACGTGATCGGACCAAGTTCTTAAAATGCAGTCCCAAACTGTGCTCGTCGAATAAAGAGAAAAACTATCGCGATCAATCTCATTTTTCCTTTTTTTAATGCAAGCGGGAGATATATTTGCACAAAGTACACTTTCCGCAGAGCCTGCGATTTCTTGAAATCGTATTTGATAGTAAACAGCCAAATTCCATTTTTTTAGAAATCGTTTATACTGAACGTGATTTTTTAACGTTTTCACAACTTCTAACGAGTCGCATCGTTTTTCTATTCTAGAAAGAAAACCTAACGTCTCAGTGTAACGCTAAAAGTCAAAATATTAAATTTTAAATATTGCAGCTTAAATTAACGTATTTAATTTAATTTAATAAAAAATGTAAAATAAATAGAATTTATTTAATTTTACTTGGTGGAAAAGTTGCGGGTTTCCTGGAGCAAAAATACAGGATAAATATTCTTCAGTTCTATCTTCAACTTCAGTCCAAAAACTGTTGACTAAAAAGTTAAAACCTTTGACAGATGTTCTGAAAATAAAAGTTATAAATATAAAATGTTAATGTGAAATATAAAATTTTAATGTTGTAATTATATAAATTGTATAATTGATAGAAACCTCTCGGGATACAAAGTAATGTCCAACAACTGTTTAAAATCTTCATCTAAAATCGCTTCTAATTTAAGATAAATTCCTTGAATACCAAGAGGTTCACTTTGTAAATTTGCTTCGTTTATAATTTTCTCAATTTTTGGTTTAACTAATTGCTTCCTAATGACATCTTCTGCCTCGAATATTTTATCTAAAGTTACATAAATCCTTAGACAACGAGTCAGAAAAGTAGAATCTTTCTCTTTGACATAGTTTAAAAATATATTATTCAAATGTTCCGTAAGTAGTTTATCCAGTTCTGCACTTTTCTGAAAAAACAAAAATTTAATTCATTCATTCAATCTAAAGTTATGAACGTTCGAATAAAGGAAATTTATTTTTAGAAGTAAATAAATTTTAAATTCAAATTTTGTTGCTATAACTCTGAGTCAAATAATAAAGAAATAAAATAAGTTTCTACTATTAAATTTTGTTTTTTATTCAGTCAGAAATTTTTCAAACTCTGAGTCAAATAATAAAGAAATAAAATAAGTTTTTACTATTAAATTTTGTGTTATGCAGTCCGAAATTTTTCAAAATGTTTATTTTGGCAAGAATTAAAATTTTCCTTCATTCGAACGTTCAAAACTTTGAAGTATTTTTATCATTTTCAAAAAAAAATTTACTTCATTTTGAGCTGTAGTGAAATCAGCACTGCAACGAGACGTGTGGAATTTTAATTGATTAAATTCTGTAGCAGCTCTTTCTAGAATATCAGGTTTAATAGGTTGTTCTGCAGTGTTTCCAGCAGAGAGAATAGAACTTAATTTCGAAATAGATTTGTGGATTCGTATCAGACTGTGTAAACTTTGTTTGCGACCTCGAATGTTTCGATGTTCATCTAAATTGGCCGTCACTTCTGATATCGCATCTTCTAAATACTGTCGAACTTGCTGTAAATATTTTTAATTATTAATAAGTACAATATTAAAATTTCAAAATTAAAAAAACAATTTTTTTAAAATTAAAATTACCATCACTTCTTCACGAAGTTGACCAAGAGGCGTCTCGAGATTTTCGATGGCTTTATCCAGTCCAATTAAATTACTAGAAAGATTAACGAAGTCGGCGTAATCCTTGTTTATTAATTCGATCATTGCTGATCGTAAAATTTTCAAATAAATTCCAAGGTCATCTCTCATTTTCTCGAGGCTTACATTTTTCTTGTGTTCTTGAAGGAAAGTATCTACATCGAATACTTTCTGCAAAAATATATAAATTATGTTAAAAAAGTTAAAGTACAATAGAATGTAGATTGTAAATTCTTTGGAATTTATTACTTTAATATCCAAACTTGCCTGTATAAAATTCTCTTCACTAAAACAAGAATCTTTTGGAGCAGTTGGAGGAGTGAAAATTTCGTCCGACATGGTAAATTTTTTTATCAAAATAAGAAAATTGTTAACATCAGAAGTTTAGGAACTGTAGTGACGATGGTTGTGATTATTACAATTTCATTTCCTACAGATTAGTTTTCTAAGACATTATATTTTCGTACATATTGAAACGTAAATTGATTATAATTACAAACTGAACCGGTATAATTATTTTTTCCTGGAATGAAAATCATGAAAATATCCAAAAGTCATGAAGAAGTCACGGATACGAAAAACAATTTTTATTTTATGAAAATTAACGTTCCTAAACTGTGAATAAATTATTTTCTGTAAAGAATGTTTATAAAATTTTATGAAAAGTCTTTACAACTTCTATTTACTAATATATTGTAAATAAACAAATAAATTGTTCAAAATTATACCTGCAATAAATGTGAGGTTATATTTACACGTCACTGTCTGTCACTTTAATCGAAAACTTTTGGAAAAGACACTCAGCGCTAATGTGGCGAGTACTCGTACTACCGATTGCATTTTGCCGCGAAAAAATTTAAATACAAAATAGGTATTTACTTCTGTCTATAAACATTAAAAAAATATTTTTAATTTATTACATTTCAAATATAAATTCAAGTTTAAAGATGGCTTACTTCGAAAAAGTAAGTTAAAAGAAAAATTTTACCTTTAAGAATGTAGAAAATTAAATTTGAAAAGAATTTTAACAGTAAATTAACATTTATGTTTCGGTTTCTTTTAAAATTAATATTTGATTATTATGAATGAAATTAACATAATTATGAAAAGTCAGGCAATATTTTTGGAACTTGATATTAGTGAATCATAACATTTATTTATTTACAGTGAGAAATTATTAATAATATAATTAATGGAAATTGGTTGTTAGCACAGAAATCTGCGTGCAACGTGTTCTGAACCAATCAATGAGATGGTCATTGTGTGGGTGTCCCGAAGCGAAATTCGCGAACGGTTTTAATTGCCAATTAACCCAATAGGTGTTAATTGATTTTTCAAAAAAACAACAACTTTTTAATGAACAAATTTTTTTTCATTAAAATTTTTAAAAAGTTGATTTTGTTTATTATATTTGTGATGTATAATAAAAAAATATCTTTTATTTTTCACTTTCTCTATCTCTAAATCAAAAGTAAGTCAAAAATAATTAATTGTTAGTAAAATTTTTGGTGATTTTTGGTTTTAGTAATTGGTAAAAAATAAGTAATTATTAGTAGATAAAAACTAATTATTAGTTGAAAATAACTAATTTTTAGTATAAAAAATAAAAAACTATTAATACAAAATAACTAATTATTAGTAAAAAAAAAACTACGAAACAGTCAAATTTGACTAATTAAAATAGTAACTAAAAATTTTATTTAATACCTTATAGATTTTTTAATTGTTTGCAAATTTTTTCATAACGAACAAAAGATTAACTTAGAGCAGTATAGAAATATTGAATGTGAAACTAAAGGTACACGAATATTTCTATAGAAAGATGTGCAATTTATAATTTATAAATTTGAAATGTAAATTTTGATTCATTTAAAATGCCAGCCCATAATGAATTAAATTCTAAAGCTAAAGGGAAGCTTAAATATTTTAGTAGAAAAATTTGTAATATAAATGTAATTTTAAATTTTCTATACTTTACCACATTTAATATTTGAATTTACATTTTATTTATAAATCTGTTAAAATTAGCATACATGAAATAGAAATTTTTTTGAAGAAAAATTGTAAAGGATATATATTGTATTTTATTTAAAGCAGTGTGTGAGAGATGGAACGCTATTGTATAATTTCTACTAATAAAATATGCATCATAAAAGCCGATACATATATACGTTCAAATTTAAATTTAATTCAACGCAAGTAGTACATAGAAAGCATAGAAAGGGACTACTAAAACTGAGAGAATCGTAAATAAAAATTTTAATTCAAACACACACGAACTATTCTCTTGTCATGATTTACTTTGAATGTTTAATTCAAAACATATATATTCTGTGTAAAAATTGATTTGTCTGAGCAGTAAATTTTTTTTTATATTTTTACACTGGAAAAAATTAAAATGTCAAAGTTGGCAAAGAGAAGAAAATTCTATTCAATAATTACATTTATATTTTATTTTTAATATATACGAATATTCGTCTGCAGAAAAGAGGATTTTTTTATCTTTTATTTAAAAATAATAAAATTAATAAGTAACGTCTCTAAAGTTTTAAACTTTTAAACTTCTTCTCAAAGAGAAAAAAATTCCGTTCAACTTTTACGTATTATTATCAATATATTAATCTACAGACAAAAGGGTTTTTTTTTACCTTCTTTTCAAAACATTTTAATTAATGTCTTTCAAATTATAAACGTTCAAAACGAACAAAATTATTATTTATTTTTTAAATTCAAAGTTGTCTTATTAATAATATTATGTTACGTATTAAGAAATTAAGAAATTGTTCTACAATTTTTAATAGACCCTTTTAATTTTTAATTAATTTAGTACATTTTCGAAAAAATTTTTGTCGAAAAGAATTATTTATTATTTATTTCCGCTTGAAAAATTTTCATTTCTTTCAATTATTGATCGTAAACGTGTTGTGTGAATTTCTCTAAAATTTATTTATTCTTTTTTTTATTTTCTGAGTAATTTTCCTATTTTTATTCCTTTAAATTTAAATTTATTCTTTGCAATAAAAAAATTATTGATGAACTATAAATGAGAATTTGCGTTTCACAACATTTTGCAGAAGGTTTCTCTAAATTTTCATTTCCATTTCAAATCCGCACAATTCTTTCCCTTAAACTTATATAAAATGATGGTTGAGATTTTTACATTCCAAATTATTTTGAATTGAAAATCTCTATAAATTTGAATTTTATTAAAAATGTTTACTAATTTAAATTAGTGACTGACTTTTTGCTTTTGAATTATAGTAAATTTTATTAATAAATTAGTAGAAATTATTATTTATTAGTAAAATTTACTAATACAAAAACAAGAAGTAATAGAACAGAAGTTTAATAAATAGTAATTTTCACTAACTTATTAGTAAAATTCATATTCACTAAAAGTCAGTTACTAATTCAAATTAGTAAACATTTTTACTAATTCAAATGTAGAGAGTAAAAAAAATTGTTTATCTATTTTTCAAACTATTATTTTTTTTAATTAAACTGAAATATTTCAAAAATCTATCTGTAAATTTCTTAGAAAATGAATTTTTACTAAAAATCATTAACATCTGAAAATCTATTTTGTAAAGCATTTTTTTCTATTTAAAAGAACACTTTTTTATGAAAAGAGAAAAATTTTTTTTACTTGAAAAAGCTCTCTTTTAACATAATTATCATAAAGCTGAATAAAAAGAGAAAAATTATTTCGAAACCTCTCAATGTCTTTAAAAATTTATATACCTGTCAAAGTTTTTTTCATTTTTTTTTCAAAGTTGCACTTGATGTTATTTACTTTTATCTTTACTTCAAATGAAAAAGCACATTATGCATATTAGAATTAAAAGAATGCAAATAAACATTTTTAATAAAGATATAATAAACTTTGTCAAAAATTATTAAAAATAATTGATTTAAAAAAGAATTTTAGTTAAAAATTCTTGAAAATTAATGTTTTCCATTGAATTGAATTTAATATCTTCATTGAATTAAAATGATAAAAATAATTTTTTTGTTACAGTAACAACATTCTAATAATATAAAACAATGATTTTATCACTCGGGCATCTTTAATTATATATATTATAAAAATATTTTTATATAAGTTGTTTAATTAAAAAAAGGTTTGAATTTGAATGTTTTGAAGAATTTTAATTTCTACGGAAAAATAATAATGATTAAATATTTATTTAAAAAAAAAAGTTATTGATGTTTTCGAAAAATTTTACATTTAAAGAAATTCGTAAATAAATGTAACTGAACATTTTTTTTTAAACAAACATTTTTCCTTTATTTTCTAAAAATTCAGGAATTTAAAATTTTATTTTCAATTAATTATGAAAATTTATAATTGACAAACAGAATTTAAAAACATTTTTTTTCTTAGTTTTAAAAAACTTTGAATTTTATTAAAACAATAAATTGTAGTTAAGAAATAGAAATGATATTTGCTTAAATATGAAAATTGAGAATTTTTTAAAAAAATATTAAGAAGAATATGTAATGTTTGTTTACCCTAGAGAAAAGAATGAGTTTGTGAACAATATTATTGTTATTGAGAAATAAAAATTGTGCATAAAAATGAATATAAATATTTTCTATTTCTTGATCATTATATTTTTTAACAATTAACAATTTTCTATTTTATCTAAATAAAAAGGAGAAAAATTTGCTTAATTTAGATCAATCAAACGAAATTTGTTATATAGAAAAAATCGTATAATAAACAAAATGGGTATTTTTTTTATTTGTTAATCATAATTTTTTTCTAATTTTTTAATTTCAAATATTATTTTATTACAAATCGTGAAAAAATACCAGCATACTTTTCGATTTGTTTGAATCAGTTAAAAATCATGGTCTTTTAACTGACAATCAGTGACTGACTTTTTTCTTCTGAATCAGTTGAAAATAACTGATTTTCAGTAAAAAAAATAACTGAAAAATTAGTTAAACTTGACAAATTGAATCAGTCAAAAAAAAAATTTACTAAAACATCAGTTATTTTAAACTGACAATCACATGGTGAAAAAAATAGAAATATTTATTTTAAGACCTATTGTCAGGCAATTTAATCAAAAGTACTGGAAACATATTCAATTTCTAGAATTTATAAAAAAAATTATGAATTTCGTTGTCCAACCTAAAAAACCTTAGAAAAATAAAATATTAAATCGAATTTTATAAATTCTTTCTATTTCTAACCGGGAATTTTTTTTATAAAAAAGTGGCCACCCTGAATGAGTTATTTTTAACTAATTATCAGGAGAAAGATTACTATTTGAATTAGTGATTGATTTTTGCTTCTAAATCAGTTATTTTTAATTGATTCAAATTCGGAGAGCAACAATATTTTTTAAAAAACAAAAGCAGCAGAAAGCAGAAACTAACTTGAAACTGAGGAACGAATGGGACAGAATGAATGAAAGAGAGAATTATCGCAGATTATTATAGTTAATGGACCAAAAAATCTGAAAACCATTCCAAGAAGAGAAGATGCTTAATGAATAATGTTTATGATTTTGTAAGGATTTCGAAATAGGATTCAGCATTTGTATTTGAATATAGCCATTGGCTTGATCCTGACGTCCTGTTGGAAGTGGATTTCTCTAACAGTTTGTGGATGAGTTTTCTCGTTATACTCCCACTCTCAGCACTTGCGTTTCGTTACCTGTGCGAGGAGCACACCGCGATTTTCCAGCCGTTATTTTCTCTGTCACGCGCTTTGCAAGGCGGCTGGCGGGCGCAAAAGTGGCGCAAAGGAGAGCAATTCGGTTCGGCCGTCGGCGTCACCCCTGCGCCGCAACGTCGTTCACATCGACTCTCTCCTTGCCATCGAGGGAGTCGTCATCGGGTGCTGTTCGCGTCCGAAGTGTCCCCAAGTTTGGACCGCAGGCAAAAACGACAATTACAAAGACGGAGTGCGTAAGTCCGTGTTGGCCAGCGCGAGGGCGGGGAGGGAGGGACAAAATTAAGAAGATCGATCCTTCCTAAATCGGACCATCGAGAGAATGGTTCGTGCCTTGTACACCACCCTGGCGATCGGCCTCGCCCTTACCGTTTACGTTGAGCTTCCGAGAACTGTTTTGGCCATCGACTTGAGTCGCTTTTACGGCCACTACAAGACTAAAAGAACCGGTAAGTTGCGCGTACTTTTTCCAACGTATTTTTCGACGTAGTTTTCCAACGTAGGAGAAAACGTGTCGATCAGCTGCGTGCCGCATGATTACTCACTCATTTATATTGTGTACCTCTTATCAAAGTCGAGTACCGACGATATTTTCTAACCCTCATGATATATACTTTGGAGAAGTAAGCGTGACCTGAGTTGTATCTATAGTATAATAATGTATCAAACCAATTTACTCTCTCTCTCTCTCTCTCGTTGCAAAATTCAGAGCGAGTATTTGCAATTTTTATAAACTGATAAAACTTTTAATCTTTTTAATAAATTACACTTCTCATTATATCATTTCTTGACAGTTCACGATAATAGTCAAGTAGCAAATAGACATTAACTTAAAAATTTTTTCCAAAATCTTTTTCCTTAATATTAATTTCTGTTTCACTTTTATTCCATTGCATCTCAAAAAGTTATTATTTAAATCCTCAAAAATCTGGAAAATTTCTACATATTTATTTCGATAACAAAATTATTCAAGGTAAATGAAACTTACCTCAAAATAGTTTAAAAGCTATACAGAATCCACAGAAAAAAATTTATTTTGTTAAAATGAAAGATTAGTTCTTGATTTGAATTAAATAATTACACTGAGAAAACAATTAATTTGAATCAAACATTGTATTGAATCAAAATTATGTTTAATTCAAAACTAATTTTGATTCAATATCAAAAACATAAATCAAAAATATAATCAAAATTATGTTTAATTCAAAATTAATTTTTGGCTGACTGTATAACAAAGATAATTATTTTTGTTTCACAGTTAACCAAAAATTAGTTTTAAATTAAACATAATTTTGATTCATAATAAGTTTGATTAAATTATAAATTGTGCTTAATTCAATCATATTTTTTTTGGTTGGCTATTCTTATTTTTAGATTAAAAAAATTTTTTTCTCAGTGTCGAATCAAAAAGGTTTCTATTATCAATATTTATTTATAACAAATAATTTTATTTCCCCTCTTAATTTGAATTAGTCAAAGTTTCACTTAATATTAATCGCAATGAATCACTTCTGACTATCTGAATCTGTCAAATTTCACTGATTTGTAGTCATTTTCACTGATTTCGGCAAAGCCAGAAGTGAATCACGCTATGTAATTGGTATTCTGGGAAAATTTCAATAATTCAATTTAAGCGAATAAATCAATTAAATTGTATTTGCATCGAATACCGAAATTATTGGTTCAAATGCAAGTAATTAAATTTCAATGAAAATGAAATAAAAATTATTTGATTCAAGTAAATATTTATTTTATAATAAGCAAGTAATCATTTATTTCAATAAAATACTTGTTGAGTGTACTTTTCAATTGAATTATCTTCTTAAAGTTTTGAACGTTTAAATAACAAAATTTTTTTCTTACTTTTTTTGAACATCGAAAAAAAATGATTTCAATTTTAGAGGATTCCTCTTCTTTTGCAGAATTATTTCCTCTTCGGTATGTGCACCAAAGTTTTCTTTTCTAATTGAGAGAATTTTCCCCTTGTCTTTAAATTAACAAAAATATATTTGTTATTAAATTTCGCTTTTAAATAGTTTGAAGCTGTGTTCAGAAAAACAAAAAACAACATGAAAAGTCATTTTTCTAGTATAAATTTGTTTACATTTTACTTAGAAGAATACTTCATTTTAATTATATAAAGATGAAAGATTAAAAGTAATTTTTTACTTAAAATATTTTCAAATAAAGAAAAAAATGACTTTTTTTGTAGATGAATATTCGTATATTGAAAATAAAATATAAAAGTTGAACGGAATTTTCTTCTCACTCTTTGAAATTTTATTTTTTCCGTGAAGTTTGAATTTTATTATCACAAAAAAATGTAACGTATAATAAATTTTAGCACCAAAAAGGGGATTAAAATAATCCCTCAAAGAATTATCTTTTTTAAATTGTCACAAATTGGTTTTGATTTTAAGACACACATTTTCGTCATATGGAAAAAATTGATCCTATGCATTATTTTAATAATTTTTTATGTAGATTTAAACTGCAAGGCTTTTTATAATAAATTACAGTTTACTGCAATACGAAATATTAAATTTAACATTAAAAAGTGAATTATTTACTTAATAAATGTTAAATTTATTTTTTATTTCTCTTTAAAATGTGTAATAATATTTGGAAAATATCGAAAGGGAAACAATTTTGGTTCATATTTGAAGGTTCAAAACTTTAAAGACTATTATTAAATTAATGGACCTTGACATATGGTTTTCACAAAACAATATCAACAGAATGCAATAATTATTAACCCAGAAACTTTCTTTGTTAAAACGTTATGAGGAATTATTCATAATAAAAAAATTTTTTATCTCGAATAAAATTCCGGTAAAGTAAATTTTCATAATAATAATAATCTAGAGGAGTAAATAATAAATTTATATAGAATTCGTCTATCGGTTATTTTAATATTATCAAAAAGTGTAAATTGATAATGAAGTGAATTGTATTTTTATTAATATTATATTATTATCGTCATAAATATTTAATATTTATAATTATAATTAAAGGAATATAGTTAATGTTTTACATTCATTTATTTTAATATTTATGTCCTTTATGTTTATATACATAATATTAAATATTGACATCACAAATATCCACCTATTGACAATATTATTTTCACGTAACGATTTCACTATTATAAATTTATAATTCATCAACAATTTACACCTAATTGCTGAAATCACTATTTTTGTTCGTTAAAAATCAATAATTCCGCAGATAACAATTTCACAGCAACATAATTCACCAAAATTCGTAGCGAATTAATGCAAAGAATCCTCTTTTGCTCTTAAAAACCAATAAATTTAGATAACAACAATTTTACCATTATAATTCTCATCGTAATTTAGTTACCTAATAATTACTATTTTCGTTCCTCGAAAACGAATAATTATTGATAATTTGATATTTGAATTTAGTTGGTTAAATGAAGAATATTCGAAAGTCATTGTGTCACAGAGTTCAAATATCCATTTTATTAACCATATTTTATATAATGCAGGACATCAAGTTACGATCTACCTGATACAACAGAATGATATGCAACAGTTTCTGTTTAACAAACATTTTATCTTTCGATTACATTTATGTCACTTTCTTGTATAGATGAATATCTGATACATAAAACATCTACTCGAAAGCATTTACCTATTATATGGAAATATGGAGAATGGAAAAAAAAGTCAAATCATTATTTTTATAATAGTAGCATTGAGCAGAAAAATTGGTTTGGATTATCTGTAATAGCGTGCATGAATAATTTACTTTTTTTATTTTATTAATTCCTATTACTTCAACTAGCACTCCACAAATTAAAAAAAATGTAATTGCTGATAGTAAAAAGTCACTGATTCAATTCCTAGTATAACATTTTACTAATAAAGTAGTTAATAAAAGGTCAATTACATGGTTCAATTCATATTTGCTTCAAATACTGAAATTATTTGTTCAAATAAAATGTCATTTAATTGATTTAGATAAAAAATTATTTGATTCAAGTAAATATTTATTTGATAATAAACAATAGTAATCGGTTTTTTGAATGAAATCAATTTTTGTCAAGTGTTAAAATTAACTTGTGAGTTTTGTTAAAATAATTAAAATTTTAGTAACGAATCTAATTATAGATAAGTTTGACGATTTTCGCAGCTATTTATTTTCTAATATTTATAGTTATTTTCTATTGATAGTTAGTAGAAAATAACTAAATATTAGTATAATTATTGTAACTAATAAAGTATTATTAGTAAAAAAGTAACTAATTGTTAGTAAAATGTTGGTTAACTTTTTTCTTCGGCAATTAGTAAAAAGTAATTAATTATTAGTTAAAAATAACTAATTGCCGAAGAAAAAAGTCAACAATCATTTTACTAACAATTACAGTTATTTTTAACTAATTCATATTTAAAGAGCTGTTTTATTAGTTGATTTAATTATTATGTTTCTTGTTTAATAAATTCAATGAGTCATTTTGAATAAATCGAACTACATACTTATTAAGCAAGATTTTTCTAATTTGTATTTTTTGTTCTATTAAATTTAACGATGTATTAAGCATATGTTATCACTTATTATGGCAGTTATTGATAAAAATACCGTAAATAAATCCAATATTGCATAAAAATTTAAAATTTAAAATTTTTTTTCATAAGCCGGGTCCCTTGGACCCGGCTTGAGCCCTTACGTATGTTCGACTTAAAAGGTAATTTACAAGAGTATTTTATAAATAAAAAATTATTTATACTGGTGAAAAATGTGTGTTTTTACATCCCCAAGCCTAATGTGAAGTTGATTTTCCAATAATATTTTCTTAACCTGAAGTAGATCAAAAAAACTTTCCTCCGGGTCCGAGGGACCCGGCTCGAGCCCGTGAGGGTTAAATGGCTTCTCCTTAATTAAATAAATTAATTAAAAATTCTACACCAATGTTTCAGTGAGAACAAAAATACAGTTTTTAAACATTATTACACATTATTTTACATTATTACACATTATTTTACATTATTATACATTTTTTTAAAATTATTATAAATTATTTCACATTATTATACATTATTATACATTATTATATATTATTATACATTATTATATATTATTATACGTTATTACACATTATTAGACACTATTACACCCACAATATTATAAAAATCAATAAATTGCATAAAAAAATCCATCAGAAAAAATAAGCATTTCTAAAAGTTGATAAATTTTATAAGTAGGTACGATTAATTTGTCACCATTAATTTTTCATGTCATCTGTTTGTCTCAGTGGTATTAAGAAAAAAATAAAACATTGTTTTTTGATGGCTTTTTTTAATTCTTTTTGAAGGAATCATTTCATATCCCTCTCGGGTACAATTATAAAGAATCCCAAAGATATATACCTATATATATCTATAAATGTGTATGTTGAAACGATCTCTGGAAAAGATATATTATGGTATTATCAAGAGGCATTGTATAGCATGTAGAAGAAATAATGAGTACAAGCTCTCCTACATGCAAGAATCTTTTATTATTGCGAGAAAGTATTTCAAGTGAAAATTGTTTTTTTCATTCTTTTGTTATTATCAGGGGATTATAATCGTTTTTTTTTTCTTTTTTGTTTATCAATAAAAAGTGGATAATAATTAATCCATCATTAATGGTCAATTGTGTCATTATTTCGCTTTTTTTTCTAACATTTTTTTTCATTTTCTACCTATTGTTAGTATTTACAAAAGAATAATGTATTTTCATACAGTGGCAAAGAAATATTAATCACTTTATTTATTATTTAGATATTTCTAAAAAATATAAGTATGACACATTGATTAAAAATCACACATATGTTAAATAAATCACCGATTAATATTCAAATTATTCGTAAATTTTAATATTAAACTGTTGTGCATTTCAAAATAAATATTTTAGTTTGGAAAATAAAAATTTTCTATTATGCAGAAGCATTAAATATTTAATGCAGTTCAGGACATAAATATACCCTTTCAGTGATACAATGTGATAATTAATTAATATTTTAGCATTGACAACCATAAAATAATAATATTATTTTAGATCTCATACATATATAAAGTGGATATTTCAATAATTATTATTATTATGATTATGATCGTCACAGCAATTAATTTCTAGATTGAGTGGGTACTAATGTGAAAATGTGCATTTGTGTTTTTAGTTTAAAATTATACACTCAAATTATTCATAATGTTTGCTTTTAATTAAGGTTAAAATAATTTTGCCTTTGAACGCAAAAAATTTTTAGCTCAAATAAGTCAATTGTTATATATGCGAATTTGTATGCGGCAGTGTATAAATAAAAACTTCTCGTTTCTATATTTAATATTATATTCTCAACAATTTATATTCCTTACCGCAACATTTCGTATATACATATATATCATTGTTTAACATTATTGGAGATCTCCTGAATGAAAATTTTATTCCATTGCTTCCTTTAAGTGAAAAAAAACCTCGAGCTTATTGTCTGACTAAAGCCTTTCTTGTTCCACTTATTCGCCCGTTGGAAATATATTTCTGGCATAAAGCAATGAGAGTCTGCGCCTCTTTTTTTCCTTTCAATTTTACATATATATACGATTTTCGCGAATGAATGTAAAACAGAATTCTAAAATTCTCAAAAATATGAAAATATGAGAATATGAAAATATAAAAATATAAAAATAGGTTTTTTTTTAAATATCGAAAGAGCCATTTCTTTGGAATATTAAAATTTGAATGCGAAATAACGTGATATTTAACAGTTTTCTCTTTATACGTTAAAAACTAGTTTATTTATAGTTTTCTAATAACAAATAGTTTTTTGTCTTTATTTTGTATTTTGTGACAAAAATCACAAAATAGTTTTATTTATATAGAATTGAGAAACTAATAGTTGATTTACGACAAAATTTACTAAGATAACCATGCAATTTTACAAGGTACATTATATAATAATTTATCCAGTGCAAGGCTTCATTTGTAATTCTATTCTTCGTAAATTAATTTCAGAACATGATAAATATTTTTCTGAAATTAATTAATTTGATAAACTAGATAAATTCGATTAGATGGTTAATAAATGGTGAAAATAAAAATGCATAATGTTCATAAAAAATTTATACCCCAATCGTTGATTTCAATTTGTGTAATGGATCGTGTCACGCGAGCCCACAATGAAATATCATCCTCTGCCTAAAATTTTTCTGCGAAATTATTGCGTGTAAATGTCTAAAGGTTAAACCATTAACAAATTTGTTTGCTTTCGGTGCGGGATATAATTGAATTTAACGCCCCTCGAATGCAAAAGCTGTCATGATTTCCGAATATGAAAAATGCACTGAAAAAAATTCGGTCGAAATCTTTAACTACTATTACCTAGTTGAGTTGAAAGTTGTCAAATTAATTACTTTTTTAGTTTTACTAACAATTTTTGTGTAGTTGATTTTACTACTTTGAATATAGTTGAAGAATAATAGTTTATATAACTAAAAAAAGTAGTTAAATTGCAAAAACAACTACAAAATCTAATTACATCAACTAAATTCTTAGTTCTTTTTACTACTTTCGGTAGTAAATATAAATTTTTAAATTCAGTTGAGGACCTATTGAATCACTCAGGGTAGTTAAAAAGTAGTCAAATCTACTAGTTTTTTTTTTGAGTGTGCCATTTAATTAATATTAAGAAGCGACGTGTATAATATTATCAAAAGATATAATTATAATTAATTCGGAAATTTACTGATAATTTTGATTTCAATTTAATCAAAAAGTAATTTAATTAATTAAATTTAATTTAAATTTTTATAAATAATTAAAAATAATTAAAAATATCTCTTTTGGGAAATTAATTATAATTTGTTTGTGATTAATTCAGGTGAGCCATGCCACCCGTACGAGCCATTCAGGTGCCCAGGGGATGGAGTTTGTATTTCGATACAATATTTATGCGATGGTGCTCCCGATTGTCAAGACGGTTACGATGAAGACTCACGTTTATGTACAGCCGGTGAGTGTGAAATCGTCATATATATATCCTACCGCACTTTACATAATCCCGCTCTATTTCAAATCCTCAATATCTTATGTCATGAATAATTCGAAATATATTTTACAGAATTTCATGTGTGTCATACGTATACCTTTATTTCAGACACAGTGTTGAAATATGTATAGACATTTTTAGGGTGATCTCTGAACTGTTGCGCTTGTGTGTATAAAATCCTGCAAATTCAAATCACGCACTCTTGAAAACTTGTTACATTACTCATCAGATTATTTTTGTAGAACAACCAAAGTTAACTTAATTTCGCGTGCCACGAATAGTTAATGGCAAATTTTATTATAAACTTCTCCTTCTTGACACCTTGTGTGTATGTATAGTAAATGTTATGATACTAAATAAGATTATTGGTTAAATTAAATTAAATAATAATCTAATTAGATTAATTAAATTAAAAACAAAATTATTTGATTCAAGTGACCGATTATTTCACAGTTTTTCTGCGGATATCAAATTGAGACAAAAAACGAATCAAAAGTGTTTTTTTTTGTCTCAATTTGATATCGCAGAGAAACTGTGTTATTATTACTCAGGACAACAATTCGATGATTTCAAAAACGTAATATCTTACAAATTTTTAGAAAATTCGATAATAAACTAAATCAACAGAAAATCTTTTTCATATAGTTTTCTTGAAAGTATCAAATTGATACTAAAGTAGATTAAATTGATGCCAAAAATTTGGCTCAATAGTCAATTTTTTATTTGATCCTCATTTGTGGTATCAATTCGTTGCAATTTGAAACTTTTGAAGTTAATATTGTTTACAGTATATTGTATTCTTAGCTAAGAGTGTAAAAAAATTCGTTTTTTGATCATTTTTGAAGTCGCAATAAACTAAAAGGTCTTAAAAAGCGTTGCAACTTAAATTTACACACACAAAAATTAATCAATTTTTGGATTAATATTTTCCATGAAAAAATATATTTAAATTAAAACCAAATATTTTTATAACACTTTAAAGAAATAATCCTTCGATGGATTTAAGAGCTGCAGATTATTACTTTAATCCATTTTGGTATTAAAATAATACCCCAGAATTTTCTGTGATCATGTAACATTTAGAGAAAAGTTTTTTCCAAAATTTCATAAGATTCTTTCTCTTTAAAAAATACGTAATCGTTGACAAGAAAAATCTAAAATACCGCTCAAATATTACGAGTTTTTTGTTATTTTATTTTTTATTTGTGAAACTTTATCTGGAAATACTCAGTTTACAAATTCTGTTAACAAATTTTCAAGTTTAAAAAATTTAAAAGACGATATCTCAGAGCTAAATAAAGGTATTTTGAAATTCAAAAATGTTTTTTAAAGAGAGAAAAATAGTACTTTTAGATAACGTTTCGAACTTTAGAATAAAATTTTTCTCTTCATGTTACATCTTACACTGAAAAAACTTTACTTGTTTAAAAAATAAATATTTACTTTGAATCAAATAATTTTTGTAATCAATTAAATGAAATTTTCTTCAATTACTGAAATTACTGCTTTAAATACAATTTATTTGATTTGAATAAAAATTATTTGTTTTAGGTAAATAACTATTAAGGTCCTTGAAAAAAATACCGAAGGGTAAATAAATATTAAATAAAGTAAATATTATTATTTGATGATAAACAAGTATAATCTGTTTTTTAAATCAAATTCTTTTCCAGTGTAAAATATATCCAAAAAACGTATTTTTCACACTTTAAATTTAGAATATCTCAAAAACCTGACGTTCCGAGGTAATTTTCAGGTCAAATTCAGAGCACGTCAAAAACCATATTATCCCAAAATTATTATCCAGTTCCTTGTTCTAAAATTCACCAAAATTTTGTCCGCCTCAAATAAAATTATTTAGGTACATGATTCAAATAATATTTACCCGAATCAAATAACTTTTAATTTTAATCAAATAAATTGAATTTGAAACTTGAACAAATAATTTCAATTTCATTGTATTTCACTATTTAAAGCAAATCTTTAATAATTAATAGACTTCAATAAAAATTACTTGATGCAAATAAACAATTATTTCAATAACAGTCAAGTAATATTTTATTTACATCATAAATAAACTTCATTTCAATGTATAATTAATTTTCAAAGCACTACTTTTTCACTCAATGAATTTATAATTTAAAAAAACACTAATTGCTTTAACCTTTAAACATGATTTTGAAAGGTGAAAAACAGCTTTTATAAATGCTTTTAATCTAAAAAGAACGAAAAATAAATGAGAATTAATATATTTTTTGAAATTTTACGAGAGTTCTCATATTGTTAAATAAATTGCACTTGGACCGTTTCGCTAAAAGCTCTGAAATCTTTATAATCATAAAATATTGTGTGCCATGTACTTGTAAATTTTTTTAATGAAATTATTACTTCGGGTTTTTTTTGGGGGAAATTTGTTTCTTTTGTTCTGTATTAAACTTTTAAAATTAATTAAGAGAGTACATAATTTAATTACATTATTTCATTGTATCTATAATTTCATAAATTATTAATTTGTAAGTTATAATTAATTTACTATAAATAATGAAATTAAATTGTTATCTTTCGTGGCAAGGTGGTCAAATTATTAGTTTAATTACTTTACGGACACTTAATTAAATTGAGAATTTAATGTTGATCGCTCGATTTTGATAAAATATAAGAATATAACTGAAACTTCTTTTGTAGGATGAAAAAAAATGAGATAGTGGGAAAATTAGAAGCGTTATGTTAGAAGTGGTACTTTTTTTCAATACAAGTTTTAATGAGGTTGTTCATTCTGATACCAATATGAGTGTAAATTTGGTGATAAGGGTCGGTTTAATTAAACTTTACTTTTCAGCTAAAAGACCACCTGTGGAGGAAACAGCTAGCTTCTTACAATCTCTTATATCAAGCCACGGACCTAATTACCTTGAAAAATTATTTGGCAGCAAGGCAAGAGATTCACTTCAACCTCTAGGTGGTGTTAACAAGGTGGCCATCGCACTTTCTGGTGAGTCTTTCAATTTTTATTCCATTTCTATTGATTTCCTTTATAATTTTCTAATTGCGAATGGGAAAAACCCATATTGACCAAGGTCCCAATTCCAAATTTACCGAATTCATCAATATTTTTAAAACATTGAAAATTTTATTCTCTCTTTCGTTTACTCATCAGAGTTGGCAAAAAAATTTAATTTTCTTCTTCTCTGATTTTCCACTGATCAATTCTACTTTCTTTGACTTTTCCCTGAATTCCCTGACTTCTCTGACCTATGGCAACAATTTTTTCAAAATTTTCCATTTTAGTGGATTTTTAAATATTTTGTGTTTAAGTGCTTATTTTCTTTTTTTTTTCTTTTGTTTCTTTTGTTTGGTAAGTACATTTTATTTTTATTTATAGCATTAAATTTTTATTTTTATCAATCTATTTTGTTTATTTAGAATTATAAGACAATTTTATGATTTGTTTCGCCAAAGATTTTTATGAAAAATTCCCATTTAGAAAAATAATAAAATAATGGTGAATTTTCATCTTTGCAATATAAGTATCTACATCTATCAAATAAGTATATCACATAAAATGTCCAAGAAAAGAGAGAATGAAATTTGATCGGAAATAAATCTCCCTGCACGGTGGAATATGTAAAAATAGAAGATTTCATAGTTGCTGAAAATCGATGCATAAAATTCAAACTTGATATTTGTCTTCTTAATACCCAGGACTGTGTTTAAAATTTTATAATTGTAAATGTTTGCATTAGACTTCATTTTATTTTCCTTATATTCTGCTCTTCATTTTTATTTTCCCACTGGGATTTATGAGAAACGAGAGAAAGAAAGTTTGAATTTAAAATTGTGAAATCTTCTTTTCTCCAGCGAGAGCTTCTCAGTAAATAAGGTACATAAAAATATTGTTGATTTATGAAAATAACACTCTGTATTGAAAAGTTTTTAAAACAATAATTTTGTATTATGCTATTGTTTCATTTTCCTCCGCAGTATTTTTAAGTATTTCAAAGCATTTTTAAGCATTTTCAAGCACTTTCAAGTATTTTCAAGTATTTTCTTATATTACAAGAACAAGTTTTCTCTTTTCTCGGATACAAGTGGAACGTATATTGTTGCAATAAACGATTGTAGAAAAACTTTTAATTATTTTTCGCTCTCACTGTTTTCAAGTGCGAGTGGGGAAAAATATCAACCTTTTCTTAATCGTTTATTTAGACCTGATTTTTGATAGCACATTTTAGTAAGAACAAAAATTGTGTCTAGAATCTCAGACGATTGAGGATTTCGGAGCAGCTTTACACCTGATGCGATCGGATTTGGAGTACTTGCGGTCGGTGTTTATGGCGGTGGAAAACGGCGACCTTGGCATGCTAAAGTCCCTCGGGATCAAGGACTCCGAATTAGGTGACGTGAAATTCTTCCTGGAAAAGCTCGTCAACACCGGCTTTCTCGACTGAATGTCAACCCGACTTCGGACTCAACATCAACAATTCGGCTTATTTGGAATTTTTATTCTTCTCATATTTCTGATAATCGGCAAATCAAGAAATCTACCTCAGTGAAAATTTACAATTTTAAAAATTAAAAAAGTGATTTTATTTACAGTGTTGTCGGGTCCGCTTTCAAAATTTTCCATAATTCAAAATCAAAGGATTCTCCTAAATGAAGACAAAAGATTGCTAAGCTCAAGGATTAACTCTAATGGATGCAAATTTTTAATCACTTACAACATTCGTATATCTCGTGTAGTTAACTTTCCGCATTTTTGCATGAAAACAAAAAAAAGTAATTTTACAATGAAGAGAGATTTGGGGTAATATAATTATATTTATTAAACAATGCGATGCCTAAGACGATAGTGAAAAAAGATGAAAAAAAGAAAGAAACTTATTGCAACTTAATACCCAACGAGATTCTATCTCACAGTGGGACATTGAACAGATTTATTGTTCTTAAGTGACACAGTTCACCTACAATCGATAATCTCTCCTGCAATAGTGTGTGTGAGAGAGGTTTGTGTGACAATCTTCCGCACGGAAAACAAGAGAGACTTTCCTCAATGATTCAGAATAAATCAATGGACTTTTCTTAATATTCTGATAAGCGGGAAATATCTCTCGAATGTTTTTTACTGGAAATAAACGACAGGAGCTTTTTACCAGACGGTAAAAAATTATTTGTCTCCAAAAAAAGAGATTTTTATCATCTTCAAAAGAGTCGTGCCTCGTTCTCGCAAATGCGAAGGTTGCTTCCAAGAGTCAATTTTAACGAGCTTTTCCTGATAAAATTTTTTCTTGACTTTGTTTCCTTTTTTTCACTGTCACTCCAATTTGAACTAATGACTTTGGAGTGAGTTTGGAGTGACATTTTTATAGTGAAATCCTAGTGATTTTGTTTTCTTAGACAGTGATTTTAATGAGTGCTGTTGTTTTTTTTTTAGAAAAAATAGAATTGTCTTAGTTAATAACTACTGTTGATAACACTGGATCTTTTTTGATAAGGAACAGATGTTTCTGATGAAAAGAAAGCGTTAAGCTTTAACTTTGACAATCATTGTAAATTGCTATACCTTGAATTGAGTTTTTGACTCTTCTTTCGATGTCGACTCATGGACACATCGTCGCGAGATAAAATCGTCGATTCAGAAAGATCGTTGACAGGAATAACAAAAATCAACGATCTAGGGTCAAAAGGCCAAGGATTGCAGATAGCAATCTTATTTAAAATAACCAATCCACCCATGAAGACATATCATAGTTCTATTATAAAAGGCCTGCTACGCGATTGTATCGCAGCCTCGATTCAAATAATGAAAACATATCATGATACTCATTAAATCACTCGCTCCTCTTCAGGGTAAATTTTCCAGACCAACCCTCTGGAATTCCATAATCTTAAAAAGGTCTCTTAATTCTCAGAAAATTAAACAAAACACTTGTTTGGTAATTAATTTTTAAAAGACCTTTTTAGGATTTAAAAAAAGGCATTAACGCCAAGAAATGAAAAATTCTCTTGAAGTGAGATTTCCGCTTTTGGATATGTGAAAAAGAATTGCAGTCTCTCATTAAATGTTGAGAGGTCATATGAATTCAAGTGCGAATTTCCTCAAGGCTTTTTCAAATGAGCGAGTGAATTTTTGAGTATTTTTTTCGGAGGAAAAAGAAAAGGAATATATCGTAGTTAATCAAGGTTCTCTGTTTGAGACCTCAAAGAAATACATTTGTCAAATAATGATAAATGTTATTTTGCTATAATATAAAACAAAAGGCTCTCTTAAGCCACTTAATTGTGTAATCAGAAGAGAGATGATTATTACTACTACTATTATTATTATTAAAATTTATTGTCTGGAATGAGAAAATTAGAAATTAGAAATTCTGCGAAAATATGGTATTTTGTGTAACAATTTACAAACCATAATAATGAATCATAGACGAGAGAGTCAACTTTTTTTTTGGAAGACAAATATGAGTATCAATAATTTTATTTCTATATAATTTTTGTATATTTAACGAACGAATAAACCGTAAGGATTTTTATCGTTTGTTAAATATACAATTTTATTCGTTAAATGATCTTTATTTAAACATTCGTTTTTATTATATTGTTTTCATTTCGTTAATTGAATACTTTTATGTTTTAGAAGAGAAATTTTCCTCTTAAAACAAAAATCATTTTTTTTTCGGTCAAATGTTTTTCTTATTATTAGATATTACCTATTGTTATTAAATTTTGTTTTATTTTTCGATGTTTATCATTTTTTTATTTTTGTCTTCGAGGGATACGTGGAAGCACTCATAGTCCAAAATAGGGCCTTGGCTTATGAAGAATATGAAAGTGTGAATATAGATTCAAAAATAGGGTATAAGATTTTTCATTTAAAAAAAATGTTCAAAAAATAAAAAAAAATTGATTAAAATGATTAATTGTAAGAGTAAATGATAAGTAATTAAATTTCGAGAAAGTAAGGAATCTATTTTCTCAATTTTATAGATCGCTTCCAAGTAAGTCACAAAGACGAAGTAAACAGTATATTATTTAAATCTTTAAATATATTTTTATTATTTTTTTAAATTAAAACTTTTTTTAAATTTAAATTAAAATAAAAATTTTTTAATTAAAAAAAATTAAAATAAATTAAAACATTAAATATATTTATATTTAATTAATTAATTTAAAGAACTTTGATTTAATTAATTAATTTAAAGGATTTTGATTTAATTCATTAATTTCTTAGTTTTTCTTGAAGATATAGTTAAAAATGTTATGAAACTTTCAATTCAAATTCTTTATAATTCATTTTTCCTTATTAGTTTTTTTCTCCATTTATTTTTGAACTGAAGCTAAAGGAATTGCTGTTACTACGATAGTACGTTATAGATTACACAAAAATTTTACATTTATATGGAATATACACGTAATAGTTGATTATATATTTAACACTTTAAGCTTATATATATTTAAAAAATGACTTGCTTCGCCGAATTTTACCACATTTACAGAACACCGAATACTGATGCAAAAATTGGAAAATGGTTTGATTTTAACTTGAAGAAATGTCATTTTATTATTTTTATTTTATTTTCTTTTACAATATTTTTTATTTCCGTTACTACTTTTCCATGTTGATGCAATATCGCTTCTTTAATGCAAAAATAGAAATTTGATTTTTTGCCGAAAAATTATATTTATCCAGATACGTATTTATAAAAAGTGAATATTCTCCGAATAATAAATTAATTGAATTACTTCTTTAAATTTATATATTCTGAATGTTCGAAATTGATATATTATAATTAGAGCTAACAAGATGAAGCTTGTTATTAGAGTAATAATTGCATTTAATAAAGTTTTAATAGAAAAGGTATACAATCACTTTTTTCCGTTTTGCGCACAAAAGCAGAAGAAAATTTTTGCAAATTCTAAGTGTGATAATTATGTACATATCATACAAAAAAAAAAATACGATGAAATGTGATTAATAAGCGATTATCGATTATAGTTTAAAAAATTTGTGCATCCTATACACAATATACAAATATATATTTATATGTGTGTCTTATTGCGTGCATTATATACACACGAATGAGTGTTACTGTGTATATAATACACTTTTTATCCTCTCTATATTTAAATTAGTGAAAAGTTTAAAAAAAAAGATATCATTTTTTTAATCGAAATTTTAACTGATTTTTTCTGATTTAAATTTAGAGTGGTAGAAGACTATAAAAATATCTTACGAAAACACTCGGAGAAATGATTATTTTTCTCACTATAAACGAACAACTTGTCTGCGATTTCGTATTAATTAAATACCCTTTGCCTTGGGAAAATAAAAAAAAAACTTTCAAGAGGCGAAAAAATAACTGTTTTCTTTTAATACAAATTTAATTAAATTAAATTAAATTAAATTTATTTTTATTCTTTCACAAGTGCGAAAAAAATAATTATGTGCTTCACCCAATTGACCCTATAGCGGAATTAGAAGAAAATATTTGTAAAAATTTCTAAATTAATTTAATGCTTTTGAAACGGCGAGAAATTTAATTAATTTGTCTCTCTTAATGTACTTATGTAAAATTATTCTACTTCCAGTCGCTTTACTTCAGGGAAAATGGAAATGAATTGTTAATTTGTTCTAATGGACGAGGAAAGAATTAGTATTTCATATTAGATAAAATCGCAGAAAAAGAAAAAAATGAGTGGTTGTAAGATAATTTATATGAAATACTACCGCGAATATTTGAAATTTAAGAATTTTTATTTAAAAAAAAGAGCAACTACAGCAGTGTTGCAATTTTGCTCTTCACTCCAAAAAAGCTATTAATTGTTAAATCAATTATAAAAAGCTTTTGGATGATTAAAGTTTAAAGTTGTAATTATAATTCGTTAGCAAATATGCGAGTACAAGTATAAAATAATACATATTTTTAATTTTTCCTTTTCAATTAATGCTCATTTCTAATTAATTTTTCAACATATTTAAAATTATATTTTGACATTTTTTCCATTATCTACTTTTTTTATTCATTACTTTTTTTATTTTACTTTTTTTATTCTTTACTTTCTTTTCATTCTTTACTTTCTTTTCATTCTCTACTTTCTTTACATTCTTTATATTATTTACTTTCTTTACATTCTTTATATTATTTACATTCTTTACGTTTACATTCTTTACATTCTTTACATTTTTTTTACTCTTTACATTTTTTAAAATACTTGAAAGTATTTTGTATTAAAACTATTGAAAGTTTTCGAAAGCTTTTATTTATAAATTTTCTCTAATAATTCCCAAAAGCCTAATTAAAAATCATGTGGTACAAAACGATATAAAAATAATAAAAAACATTATTTTGTAAAAAAAATTTTTCGTTTGTCAGAATTAGTCATCTTTATGCGAAATTACATTATTTACTGATACATTCGACAATCTCGATATAATACTACAAAAAAGTATTGTATTAAAATTATTATATTAACCGTTCAATAATAATTTAATTATTAATTAACTGTTCAGTTATATTTTTAATTACTACATTAACCTATTCAATTATAACTTTTATTATAAAATTTTCTCAAGACTAATTAGTCTTGAAAAATGTACTTATGTATTTGAAAGTTATTTTACTTAAAAGTTAAATAATTAAATAATTTTATATTGTGAAATGTGAAATATTATTAAATATTATTATTAATATTATAATATTCGTCTTGTTTCGTGTTATATTTGATAATAATTATTTTCATTGTTAATTAAATTATACTCGATAAGTTATGTAAACTCCTTTTCATTTTGAATACAAGTGCTGAAAAAAGACTTTGTTGTGTAGTATTGATTTTATCCTGCGAGAATTTTAGTCTTGATTTTAGTAAACGTGACGATGTTGAAATGTAAATTTGATTGGGCATATCTGAGTACTTTTGGGATCACTTCTTAACTGTCTGGGAATATTGAAGGACTTTGTAGTTTAGGAGAAAATTATTTGCATATAAATTGAGAAATTACGCTCTTTAATTATTTTCTATAGTTATTTACTCATTACTATAATATTACTGACGAATAAACTTATCTATAGTCTTTTTTTTAATAAAGAAACCGAAAGCAAATTACATTATAAATATAAAAATAAATTTTATTATTATTGCAATTTCTTGTTCGAGATTTAATTTTTTAAAATTTAGTTCCTTTCATCCCCTGTAGATGGAAGCAATCAAAATTTCCGAGAGCAAATCTCCATCTGTTGCAACGTTCATGGTTGACTGTCGCGACGACGCAGCAGACGATTTTTAAATTTGTTTTGAACGGTTAGAAAACTGTCAGAAAACTGTTTATAGATTTTTGGGATTTTTGTAAATAGTGAAGTGATGTTTATATTCTGATATTTAAAAAGATAATAGTATGGAATCTTTAAAGTTAAAACTCTCTAGATAATTAACAATTAGAGAGATACTTTAAATAATTGTATATATTTTATTTCAACTGTAAACAATGAATAAAACCATTTCTCAGTTACTTAAAAGCTGTCGAGATGAGCAACCTTCAATTAATCAGGATTGCAAAAATCCTGGTTTTTCGGAAATTTATACTAATGATTCTTTAGAAAAATTGGAAACCGATATGAAAAATTTTATGAATTCACAAAAAGTTCACTCTAGTGTTGTTGGATATGCGAGCATTAACAAAATGCTGGCTATGTGCTCCTTACTGGTAATTATTTACTTAAATTTGTATAAAATTTACATAAATATACAAGTCAGAAGAGTAAATCCTATTTTCTAGAACGAGTTCTTCAATTTGTTTTCGAAAAATACGGTCCTTTCTGTCATGTTTACTACGTTTGGTTGATTTCTCTGAAACATAACCTATTTTTGTTTTTGATTTTAAATTCTAATTCGTATTTTTATTTTTTAAATTATTTTTAGAGAGGAAATGCTAATGAAGCTACATGTTTCTTAGCAGAAACACACGCTACTAGTCTTCGACAGAGTGTTATTGTTAGATACATTAAAACGAAAACACGCACCAAATATCAAATTAAACCGCCTACTTACGGATTAAGTACAGATCATTTGAAATATAACATGGGAAATTGTTTAGACTACAAATCTCTACAAGAGAAACTGGCAATTCTACCACCTGGTAAATATATACAAGTTATTTATTTAATATTATCATTTTGAATGTAATTTAAATTTTAAATAAATAAAAATCCATTTAATTCAAGTAAAAATACAACTTTTGACAAAGAATACATTTTTTCGTAGAATGGTACGTGCTTCAAGTTACAATTCAACATGAGAATTTAGATCATTACAAGTACAATGAAAATACGGGAAATTTTCTTTACACTTTACGTAAAACACATCCAATACACATCAGTATTTTTCCCACTGGACCAAATGCAATCGAACCTTTCTGTTTGACGTTACCAAAGCCCTCGACGAATGACAATTATGATTTACGTAGTGAAATAGAATCAATTTTGAATAAAAACAAATCTGACTTGTCGAATAGTTATTCTAATCGAAAGCTTTACTGGGAGATGCGCAAAAGACAAGATACTCAAATGAAGGTAAAAAGAGACTTACTTACTTACTTATTTAAAATTTTAACATTTTTCTTTTAATTTCGAAAAATTCATTTTAGACTGCTGTAACTGCATTGGAAAAAACATGGTTAAGAGAATGGAGAATTCTCTTCCTTGCGGATCCATTAGAAAATTCAATGATTGTCGAAAGGGCACATAATATAATAGATAAACTTATTGACGACTCTAGTAATTCGTGAGTTAATATTTAATAACTAAATAAAACATAATTTATTTGATCAATTAATAGAATTAATGTATGCTTATTGACTGTTATTTAATTCAGCAAAGAAATTTCAACTAGTACTCGATGGTTACTAAAAAAAATATCAACTTGTGCAAGTTATTTATCAAAGGAGGAATGTGCAAGGGCAATAAAGTATTTATTGCCTAATCAACGAAAACTTGCAAAACACATTATGTTATCCATTCAGGGATTATCGAGAGAAATAGAAAGTATACAACTTTTAAGAAGGAAAAATCTCATTTTAATTATAGATGAAGTACGTATCAATTATTACCTAATGTAAATTATAAATTCTTTTATTATTTATTTTTATTATTTATTTTTTAATTGAAAATTAATTTTTTCTAGAATTTAGATTATATACCCTTCGAAGCGATGGAGATACTGAAAAATCAACCTGTTACTCGATTCCCATCAATTCACTTTACTTACGCCTTGTTTATGGAAAATCGAGATTCAATTGTCAATGGCTGTAAAGTTGTGAAAATATCTAAAGACATTGGCTCCTTCATCGTGAATCCTTCTTGTGATCTTCTTAAAATGGAAACTAGATTAAAAACTTTTATTGATTACTGGCTTCCTAATTGGAAGGGATTATATGGAAAGGAACCAGATAATAAACATTTTGAAGACGCTCTAGTCAATCATGACATTTTAATGTATAAATTAATATTATTTATTACTATTATTAAATTTATTATTATTATTTAATATTTCAAACTGAAAGCTTTAAATCGATATTTGAAATATTGACGTAAATCTGTTGAATTTCATATTTTATTGTATTGTACTTTATTTTGTAGGTATGCTGGTCATGGAAGTGGTATTCAGTACTTGTATGTGGAAGAAATTGAAAGACTTCGAGTAAAAGCAATTGTACTACTTTTTGGATGTAGCAGTTTGAAACTCACGCCCGTTGGAGGTCGGCAGCCACCTTTCGGCGTTTCTAATCAATATTTAGCAGCTTGCAGGTAACAATTTCTCTAACTAAAAAAAATAGGGAACAGGTATAATCATGCGAATAATAAATACAAACTATTAAATGGATAATAATTAATAATTGTAAAATTATGAAATTTCTTTTTTTATTTTAAATGATTGAATTATCAAAAAACTTTCTTAAAAATTATTAAAAATAATTGATTCAAAAAGTCTAGAAAATAATTTTAGAAAATTTACAGTAGCCATTTTTATAAATTATGGAATTTCAAAATTTTTTTATTCAACCCTATTAACGATTACTTATTATTTATTACTTAACTAGAAAATGTTACGCGCGGAACGTGATATTCCATTTATTATTATTATACAAAAATTTCAAAATTTTTTATTTTTAAATATGAATTTTTGAATAATTTCATATTCAAACTTTAAAAAAATCTAATTATTAACTAATTTACTAATTAATCAATTATTTCATAAATGGAAAAAATTCTTTGCAAAATTTCAATTATTTTTAAACAAAATTTCATGAAAAAATTCAATTTTTTTTCATTTTTAATAATATTTTTCGAAAAAAATCAATTATTTTCCAAAATTTTAATAAATCTTTCGAAACAATTCAATTTTATTTATAAATAGTAAAATTCTTTGCAAAATTTCAATTATTTGATTAAAATTTCATAAAATTTCATGCAAAAATTAAATTAGTTTTAAAGAATTTTAATAAAATTTAATAAAAGAATTCAATTATATTCGAAATAATTCAATTACATTTATAAATAGTAAATTCTTTGTAAAAATTCAATTATTTCCAAAAAAATTTCACGACAAAATTAAATTTTTTCTCTTAATTAGTTATAAAATTTTTTAAAAGAATGCAATTATTTTCCAAAATTTTAATAAAATTCAATAATTTAATGTTTAATTTCAATTATTAACAAACACGATTATTTTAAAAACTTGAAAGAAACTGATATTTTCAGTCCTTGTAATTTGGGAATGCTCTGGGAAGTCACTGATGGAGATTGTGATAAATTGACAGCAAGATTTATGAGCGAATGGATTCCAAGTGAGAGAAAAGAACCATGGTCTTCTGTAGATTTAACGAAATGGGAAAGTGGTAATTTAGGTTTGTACACGTTTTTTTTTTTACAAAAAATCTTTTTCTATATTTATTTTTTATTATTATTTATTTACTTATTATTAAAATCTTTACAATTGTTTCCTTTCCAGTTTTTAGTACAAAACTTAAAAAACCTGAACCAAATGAATTTGAAATGCTAAGAGCAATTGCAAAGTCAAAAAATACATGCTTGCAATTCATGACCGCAGCAGCTACAATAGTTCGAGGATTGCCAATAATTTTAAAACAAGTTTGAACGTGTTTTATCATATGAGGTGTGTGTAAATACGATTTATACTGAAAATATACAAACAATTTTTTTCTCAAAATGAATTCTATGTAATAGGAAATTTTTTTTATAATTAAAAATATTTAAACATTTGAAAATTTAAAATTGTAAACATTTAAACAGTTAAATAGTTAAACAGTTAAAAATATAAATTTTATCAATTTATAAAATTAGAAGATAGAAAATAGAAAGTAGGTTGTAAAAGATAATTGAAATGAATTTGTATTATAATATATGTAAAAGTTGTCAATTTGAATGAAATAAATGTAATGAAAAATTACTTTTTGTGAAGAAAGAGAATTGGATGTCGTATTTAAATAATTTTTATTTGATTTAACTAAACATTTTTTTTTTTTTTTTTTTGGTGTAGTCAGTAAGAAGTAAATGGAGCATAGCAAGCTTAATAAGAGTTTGAGATAATAGTTGCGATATACCATATAGTAATTTCAACTTGTCACGCACAGAATTTTACACATGTATAATTCAAGTCACACTTGTCGAATATGTTATTATTTTATTGCTATACAATAGATCTCAATATTTTTACATTTGTTAAGTGTATATTTTTAGGAATTCACGATCCTGCTTGAGAGTTGTTAAAGCTATTAAAGCATTATGATTGAGTAAATTACAATATAATTTAATTTAATTCAATGTGAAACATAATTGTTCGCTTAATTTGATTATAGTAGCGAGGATTCTCACGCCATAAACTTCTCTCTTTTTCTCTCGTTTTCTCTCTTACTTTCTCTCTCTCTTTCTCTCTTCTTAAAATCTTTTTTTTTTCTTTGTAATTATAATAGTCATATTTACAAAATCAGAAACCTAGTTCTAATATTTTATTATATGTTGCAGTCTTTTGCGTCACATTGAATTCGTGAATTAAAGAATATTTTTTTTCCATATACGCAAAAAGGGGCAAACGGTAAAAATTGTAAAAACATTTTATATCCTCAGCAAAAATTTACGAAAAATGAAAATTAGGTACTATTTGTAAATGATATGTTTATTTCGAAAAAGTACCAATTGCTGACTGAAAATATTATTTTTACATACACAAAATTCTTTTTTTTTCCTCAAAAGAAAACCCTTCGATATGCAGAGAATATACGCTTGGCCGGAAAATGATTCTGAAGTTCGTGTGAATAAATGTCCGCCAAAGTAGATGGAAATTGCGGAATTATTTTTTGCGGACATGTGAAATGAAGGATCGTTTGCCAAAGTAGTATCAACTCTTATATGTCAGAAATACCAAGAATGAAAGCCAGAAAAAGACAGTTTTCGGGGTGTTTCGATATAAAAATAGGTTTTATTTTAACCTTAGATATTTGGAAAACTGCTTTTAAATAAGATTTTAATTAATCATTAATTACAAAATGTTGCAAAGTGATTAGTATTGTTATTATTATTAATATTATTTTTTTTATTATTTAATGATAAATATTGAAAAGAGTGAGTTAAACTACTTAGGCATCGAGACCTTTTGTCAATTGTCACAATCAGATATGAATGATTGCATAAATACATAAGTGCAAAAGATACAAAACATCATTTAGCTCTTAATTTTCATTATATCTCGCTATACCTCTTGTTACATCGCTTGGTTGTTTTCTTTCAATAGTTATTAATAATTAATAATTAATGCGATAAATTTATGTTACATTTTAATTCACTTCAATATACTCATCAGTTTAAACATTAACGTACGAATAATGGAAGACTTAGTAGTATCCAGGGACACTTTAAAAGGATTTTATTCGACATTCAGCTCATAGTTTTTTTTTTATTTTTTTTTATTTTTTAATTCTTTTTCTTAAATTTTCCGATTTATTATCAACCGTTTCATTCGGTCCCCTATTATAATAAGGCGGCGAATTTCATGACTGTTTAATAATCGCACGAGGAATACATTTGCAGTCGATTAATTAAAGAGTCATGTAATTTGTTTTCCACCCAGTATACTTTGATTCTCATCATCTTTATCACTTGGTAGGAAGGTGAATTTATTTTTTCCCCCGAAGATTTGTCAACGATATATTTGATAATAATTTTATTATTATAACGATCGAGACAATTTGAAAAACTTCGACATTTTTGAAGCACTGGAAGCCACCTTTACATTTATGTTTTTGTTTTTGAAATCTCAATATAATTATAATTATATAGATTTCTGATATGGTACTTAATGTTTTCTTTTATTTATTTTTCTGTTAAAAACCATAAATGGTAATTATACTAACCATGGATAATAAATATTGGTGTCAAGGACTCGACATTTTATTTTATCAAGGACGATGAGAATGTTGACGGCGATGATTAACCACTTTGATGCTGTTTAATGGGAGATAGTAAAAGATATATAAATTGTAATTATGAAACTCGATAATAAATGTGATAATGATAACAACAGTAACGTTTAAATACTATAATATTCTAAGTACTGAGACTTTGGAGTCTGTACAAATTTTTTAATATTTGTATTGTCTGTAAGGTTCGTAATTTTTCTCATTTTTCAACAATAATATGCATCTAATGGTATATTTTATACAATAATAGAATTTCTTATGTTTTTTTTTATCATAAGATAATAGATAATACCTAAAGATTTTCTTTTTGCATTTTAGCATCGCACCGTCTTTCATATTCAAGGGCCTGATATTTATTTTCAATACTTTTACACCCTCATCGATCGATTGCTCTAAAAAATGAGGAAAGGATCGATCTTAATTTTTTTCAAATGCTAATAGTTTATTTGTGCGGTACCTAACGATGGGAAGAAATTTTTTTTAGAAGCTCGAAACTCATCTCTTGAAGATTTTTCCCTAAGCTTTCTTCTTCTTCTTCTTCTTCTTCTTCTTCTTCCTTTTTTTTTCTTTTTACTATAAGTTTCATTTTCCCTAAGCTTTCAACTTATTCCTTTAATACTGTGTGTTTTTAGGCTTTCCTGAAACCTTGTGAGTGAGCAACTACTCCTTGGACTCTTTTTTTTAAAATTTAAAAATTCAAGTTTGTTTACTAGACAACCGAAAATTTACATTTAATATTTTACAAGGTTTCCTTTTTCTCCAGTGACTTGCTCGAAGCACTTGAGTGGCCTTAAATTTTTTTTCATTTAGAAGGAGGAAAAGAAAGTTTAAGAAAAATGAAATTTACATAATTTCTATAATTAACAATATTTATAATTTTAATTTTTCTATAAATTCAAATATACTGATAAATTATTGTCATAGAAGACTATTTATATAATATACTATTGTCTATATTTATCGACTATTATTTTTTTCAAACGGAAAATAAAGTTTCTTTCTCTCCTTCTTATTTGCCGAGAGCAGATTTTGGTTTAGCCAATTCTGAATTGACAGATTTTTTGTGTTATTGTTTTTTCTTCTCAAAAATCGGAACAGCTGTTGGGAGAACTTGTTGTGGAACAAAAGAATTTGTTCACTTGAGATGTTTGCTCATTGCCGTTAAAGGAGGTACTTTTCAAGTATTCTCGATTAAGCGCACACGAGGGACTCTTTTTCTTTAATATGTTAATAATTACTTATTATTTTTCTTTAGGATTTTTAGTCTTACGCCAATCGATAGGCAAAATCATATTCGAAGGCACCTGTGTTATTCAATGCAATATAACTGTCAGTTCACAAACGTATGGTTGATTCGCTGATGCACCAAAAGACGGAAGATTTTTAATTTTCCATCGCATAAAAATACGTCAAATTGTTAACGAGTATCTTTTTATATCTGTACGAAAAGAAATACTCTTGAAATTTACAAAGGCTACGATATTATCAGTTTGTGCTTTCGTTATGTTTTCTTTTTTCTCTTTTTAATATTTCTGTTGTTTAGAGTGATAAAACTGAGACACTAGGATTGTAAACTGAATATTGTGATCTAATCACAAAATTCGTGATGTACTTAAAATTCTAGGCGATTAGTACGCGACTACATCGAAACAATATAGTAAATTTTTTTTGCCGACTCAATGTGCAAGCAGCACTCTTTGAAAAAGAAACATGATCTAATTAATAATATTTGTTATTCTTTTTTCAGATCTGAATCTGCTATGAACTTTCAGCAGGACAGGTGACAACGATGAAACAAGATATTTAAAAACATTTAAATTTAAGAATCTATTGGCTGCCAGCGCCAGGATTAATTTAAAGACATCATTTTGGTAAGTAACTTTTGTTTTCTATTCTTCTTCTTCAAATGGAGAACGAGTCTTTCCTTCTTTTGTCAAGTCACTTGGCAGGAGTTGAGAAAAATCCCGTTATTATTGGAAGAACTCGACATGAGAAGAATCTTTTAATTGTTAGTAACATTTTATATAAATATAACTGGAGCTAATTTTTTTTTTCTCAAAGAGAATAGATGACAAATGCCCTACTTTTAATAATGAAAATGAAAAAAATTTTGATTCTTTGATCTTCAGTTAAGATTCTTATATATATTTTTGTATAATAAAGAATTCGAGCTATTAATGATTCGTTAGATGCAACTTTCGTTTTAACTCTCGAGAATTATTCCTTTCTTTTTTTATAATATATATAAAAATGATTAGATTTCCTGGATGAAATAAGGAAATATAATCGGAGTCTCCATCGCAATTTTTTTTTATTAAAAAGGAACTACGCATCGAATTGTAGCGAGATGCTCATTAATTTGTGCGTGGGTATTTCTCACCTTTCTTTTTTTTCTTCTCTTGAATTCCGCTTTTTGGAAATTTACTTTTAAACGGAATTATAAATAACATGTAGATCTTAGCAAAACACTATAAGTATTTGCAAAAATTGAATGTTACTTGTATTAAAATATAGGCGAGTTTTTTATGGAGCTCGCATCACAAAAAAACATTTAAAATTGCTTATTTTCGATGTGTAAAGAGTCACGTAAAATGGATTATTATCGTTGCGAAGATTAGGCCCATGGAGAGTCTCAATTTATTCGTTCCACCGCAGAATTTAATTTCCATTTCTTCGGGATGATAATTTATACATTTCCCTGGTCTGCGACGATATAGTCGTTCTCTGCGAGCACTACATGCTCCAGATTCTATTAGAACTTCGATAGGCCTGATGCTGAGCTTCTTGCTTAGACAGGGACAGAGGGTGTCGACCACCAGCAGAATTAAATTTGTGTGTTGTATTTTTTGAACGCTGAAAGGCCTGTGAAAACATGTTTCGAATTTAGAAATAGAAATTAAGTCACATGTCAGGAAAAAAGGAAAATTAAATTACCTTTCACATCCTGACTGATGACAATTGGTTAATTTCCCCTTCAATGGATTGCTCTGTCCACTCGTGTTGAGTCTTTCGGGTTGTAGAATATAGAGATCTGTTCTTTTCTCACAAGCTCGGAATTTGTGATATTGGGCTGAAGTGCTGTGGGCCAATGCAGGGGTTACGACAGCCGGTGCAACTGCAGGATACTGTTCATTCTCACCGAATGGTTCCTCCGTTAAATCCGGAGGATAGGCTTCGTTATCTGAAAAAGTTAAACAAATTCATTCGCGTAAGCATAATTGATAAAATTTTGGATAACAATAATAACGGTTTTTGGATTTTTTCATTTTTCCGTACTTACCAGCTTCAAAATCAGCGTATGCCAAAACTGGTTGCCATAGGTCCTGCAAATTTAGGTTCCAAGTCAAAGTCCAAAGTGCACTGCCGAATGAGGCTAGCATTTTGAAAATGGATTGAGAAATTCCTTTGGGTGCTGCAGATACCTGAGATGTCTGCGGTGAACAGGCTCCTTGGTAATCCACTATCGTCAATTTCCTGAAATTCGGAAATAATTATTACTTTCAATGGTAATTAAATTGAATTGAATTGAATTGTACATTTTGACTTGAACTGTACTTTATTTTTACCACTGAATATTTAGGAGGTCGAGGTGAATAATTTGTACCTGAATATTTTGTCCTGCACCAAAGAGTCCATAATGGTGCCATCAATTTCGCCAAAGAATTTTCCAGTGTGCTCGTGCTTTTCACTAATTATGATGAAACCATTATTGTCCAAAATGTAGCAGTCCAATTCTTCAGAGGCACATGTTTTCTTACAGCCAGTGCACTGTGAACAAAAAATCGTTTTGTTTATTTAATTAAAATGAGAAATACTTCCTTCATGAGGAAGTAGTAATTCTAAAATTCAAATTTGTCAAGGAACAACAATAATTTGTCAGTTTGTAGATATTCTGTTAATCCTATTTTTAATTTTCGTTTCTTCATTTTATTTGGTGTTTTTTGTAGTATTAGTGCTTACCGTTGACGTAATATTAACGAAATGCGACGCCAAAGATGAATGATGAAACTGCAATCCAACTACTGCTGCCGGCGCTTTATTTTGTCGTCCTTTATTTTCAACAAATATAGAGTGCGTCGCAGTGACGAGAGGTTTCGGATTTTCCGCTATAAGGAAAATGTGAACAATCAGATTATGGAAGTGCAAAAATTTATTTCTTCCAAGTCTTTATTTGTCCAAGTTCTTTAGGTAAAAAAAAAGTTTACATAATACAAAAAATGATTTTTTGCAATATCCTTACGCACCAGCATCAAATGGAACACTGAAGACGAAACTTTCATCCTCTACGGAATGTTGATCTACTGCTCTTTTGTACCAACTGGAATCCATTGCTCTTCTATTTGTCTCGGCAAAATGCCTAATTAACAGAATTGTATGTCAGTAATTCTTTAAACAACATGTCTAATTATTATTAGTAAATTTAAAAATTTAAAGTAGTTACGGTTCTTCAATGGGTTCTCCATTTTGTTGATGCTCGTGCCATCGAAACAGTCCACTTCTAGTGGAAATAAAACTTCGAGCCACTCCAAATCTTCCCTTCCCCTGGCTGAAAACAAATACCAAGTTAACTTTGGATTCCCTCGAATATTTGAATAAATTTTACTCTAATAATTCACTATTTTCACTTGAAATGTATTTCATGTTAAGATTCGAAATGGAAACTTAATTTGATAATCGACAAATTGACCAACTCTTTTTCAACTTTTATAAAAACGAAAGGAAAAAAGACATTTCGGTTGGAAAATTACTTTTATGAAAATTTATACTTTAATTATACTTAATACTTTAATGAAAAATTTATTATTCTTGAGTACATTTTCTATAAAAGATTTTTTTGTAAATATCTATTTCCAGAAACAACAGTTTATACTTATTATTATTTATAGTAAATGGATTCTAGTTATTATTTTATTTCACCTAATGATAATACTCACCCTCCTTTCGAAAACTAAAGAGAAAATTAGTAGAAGATAGAAATCCCGCATTTACTATAAATAATTTTTTTCTTTCTTTCAAAAACAAAAAAAATTAATTTATCTACAAAAGAGATTAGCAGTAGACATTTGAAAAAGTCCTAATACTTTGTTGTTCGTGGAATACTTTCAAATCACCTGTATGTGTGTACATAATGAAACACATCAGATTTACTATTTAATTTTCAATCAAATATATTTAAAATGAACACTTGAAATTCGCATCTTTTTCTTTTTAAACAGAAACATGAGTATATATAGAATTTGATTATTCTGATATATTTCATATAGAAAAAGTGAAATTGGATGATTAATGAATATTTGATCGTTAAGAGGATTGAATGACATCGTTAAAAGACACATTACCGTGCAATACTTGCGAGTGAGTTTTAAACAAAATAGCTGTGCATAATTATTACCTTTGCAGAACAGCCATCAGTATGGCAATTGGGCTGGCGGTGAAGACACACAATAATCATATAATAAAATATACACCAAAATATAACAGTGTAAATAAAAGGGACGTTGTGCATTATATAGTGCAGTGTGTGTCAAAAAGCAGTGAAATTTTCATAAGAAGATTAGGTTTACAAGATTTTTCTTCTTTTCAAAAATATTCTTTTTCAAAAACTCTTTAAATTTTTCGAAATTTATCATTATTTTGAAAGATTTTCTAATTTTTTATGTAAATAAAATAAATAATTTTAAAAAAATTAATAATTTTGATTAATACAAGGCCTCGGATATGGCTTTTCGACTTTTTTCGACTTATTTCAATAAAATGTGACTATTTCCACTTTACTTCTACAAAATAACAAAACATTCCACTTTTCTGGTATAAAATGCTGCACTTACTTTTATTTTCAAAGTGTAAAAAATAACTATAGTCAAATTTTTTCCTTTAAAGTGTCTTACATTTTTTGCAAGTCTTTTAGCGCATAAAAGAGACTTTTGTCATAAAAAGTGAAATTATCATTCATTAAAATAAATTTTTTCGAGAACTTTTTCAACTTTTTTATTTTTCTGTTCTAACTTTTTTCAATTTTTTTTTTTAGTCTTTACATTGATCCGAGGCCTGTTAATAAACAAATTGCTAATGAAGCTAATACACTAATATTCTAGTATAATATGAATTTTTATCTATTTTCTCAAAATAATAATAAATTGAAACAATTCAGTCTTTTAAATTGGAAACTATTACTAAAGGTTGAAATTGTATTATTTCAGTTATTCTATAAATAAACTTAAAACTTTGGGTCTTTCCAATAAATGAAGTTACAATTCGTACACTCTTTAATAATCATCAATTTTTTCTTTTTAATTATTCGAAAATTTGTCTTTTTAGTACGATTTATATAATCTTCAGAAAACTGTTTTAATTTTTTCAGAAACAATGTTCCTCGAAAGAATAATTTATTATAGAACAATTTATTAGATTTTAATTTCTGTATAGCAGTAAGAAAAAAATTACCACATTAACTACAAAATAAAAATTTGGACTTGTACTAAAAAGTCAAATTATTCGTAAACTTTTTAAAAAATTTGTCTTTCTTTATAATTGTAACAAATTCTATCTCTATTAAAAAAGGAGTATAAAAAATTTTGGTATTTTTCGGTAGCTTGTCACTTACACATTTATAAATTGTATAAAATGTAAAAAATGTAAAAATTGTACTATTGGTGTAAGATTAAATTTCTTTTTCAATAAATCTTGGACTAAATATATAATATGAAAAGTATTGAGTGACAAGAAAGCAATAGCTGGTGGTGCATTGCATTCTTCTCCCATTTTCACTGTATGGGCAATTGAATAGGTGCTAAGTGACTATAAAAGTAAACTAGGAAAGTGCTTTGTGCATTACTGGTGCTCAGGTTTGTTTTCGTTTTGTCTTACGGGCGTGCCAACAAAATTTTTTTGCAACACTTACTTTAAATTCTCTTCTTTATGCAATGACTTTTCACTTTTCTTTTCGAAATCTTGAGTTACTTTAGCATCCAACACCAAGGACTGTATAAGTAATTTGTCACCTGGAAAAGACATGTTTTTCACATTCATTTCATTTTCAATTTATAAAAATAAATTATTATATTTATTATTTTATTACTTCCTTATAGAGGAAGGATTGTATTATTTAAATGTTTGTGAAAAATGTATAAATTTTTAAAAATATAATGAAACTTTTTGTGAGTGCTTACAGTAGTATGATTCTTTATCTGGCTTGTTCGATGGTTTTGGATGCGAGCTTTGACTCTTTGGTCGCATAGACATCCATTTCCAGCCCGGTTTCTGTGACCGGGATAGAAAATGAAGGACACGCTCCTCTGGGGTGGCAAATTTTTTATCTGAGGCAGAATTATATTCGCAATATATCCAATCTGGATGAACTTTCCAGTGTCCTTTGAACAGTTCCGTTACTGAAATGAACAGAAATTCTAGTCGTTAGTATTTTAATTTTGAAAATAATATTTTATTTTCATGCAGTAAATTAAGAGGAATTAAAATGCTTAAATTTTCTCCAAAAAAGATTAAAATAATCCATTTTTGAATTCATTATTTCCATGAAAAATGTGTCTCTAAATCAAAATCAAATCATCTGTAACGAATTAGAAAAATTAATCAAGCTTTTGATGAATTAATCTTTAATGGATTAAAGCGTTGTGTATTTTAATCTATTTTGGCGTCCGCATTTTTTTGTTTAATAATTCATGATAAAATTAGTTCATTCACAAAAAGAGTGGCGTATATTTAAAAGTAAAGATCGATGTAGTTTTAACTTACAATTTATATTAGTGTGTTTTATTTCATGCTCAGCATGTAAAGCGTACAGGCCGTAGCCCTCCGGCAATGCCAACCCCAAAGAAAATGGTGTACCTTCAATTTGCTTGTAAAAATATTTATTGTGCCTAATCGTGACCCTTTTCTGAAAAGTTAAAAAAGACAATTTTAAAGTGTGTCAAAATTTTTAATCGTTTTGATCAATTTTTAATTATTATCGACAGAATTTCCCAATTTTTCATAATCATCAATGCTTACCATATCATCATAATGAACTTTCACAGAGAAAGCAGTCTCTCCTTCTTTCTGGTCCACCATTTCGTGTCTCAGCTATAAAAAGAAGGCATTTTTTAATCATATAATTAAATATTTCCATCTGGTAAATAATATTTTAATTTATTCAGTTTTAATTCATTCAGAAACGTTTGAATGTTTCTCAAATATTAATTATTACTTACATCTAGAAGGAGAGAATCATTCAAATGATGAGAGGGTCCATCGTATTCAGTCAATTCGACTTCCGATAAATCGACACCAATATATTTAGGTTTCAATGTCTCCTCATACTGAAACAAATTATTTTAAAGGTTTAAATTTTTTCAAGACGAACAATGTCCCTAAAGTTTCCAACCTTTTTTTCTATTTTTTATTTTCTATTTATATATATTTTCAAAAATTACTTAACTAAAATGAAAAAAGTGTAAATTTAGTTATTTAAATAAATAAAAATTAAATTTTTTTATTTAGTTGTAAAAATTAATTTTTTAATATACAAAATATTTTTTATAATGAAATAGAAATTAAAAGAAGTGATAAAAATATCGTCGTTCATATGAACGTTCAAAACTTTAGCAAAATGACAAAGAAATAAATTTAAATGGACAAACTATTTTTTTAGTACAATAAATCATACAGAATACTCACGTCGACATTTCCAGGCTGCAATTATTAAAAAATACAAAAAAATTAGATATTTTTAAACATTTAAGATATTTCTTAATATAAGAATATTTAAAGAAAGGTAAACAAATGAATTGATTGGTTTACCATTGGTCGTAAATCAGGATGATAAAGAACACGACCATTGTTATCAACTATGAAGGAATAGCCATTTACTCCCAACTGGAATTAATAAAATTAAATTAAGAATTAAAATGAAAATTCTTTTTGTTTTCAGATTATAGAAAATTGTTAAGTTCAGGTGAAAAATAACCTTATATGGTGGAATAAGTTTCTGTATTTCCTCAATAGGCACATCAGTTCCAACAATACCTAACAAGTTAGCAGTTTTTTCCTGTAATCAGATTAATTTAAAACTGTAAGAATTACAATATTTACGTAAAAAGGACTTATTACCTAATATTTTCGTTATTAATCATTAATATTTATAAAATTAATTATTAATTATTAATATTAATAAAATTAATGAAATAATGAAATTAAAATCGATTGATAATTACCGAATGATTTCGTCGATCGAGAATAGGAGCTGTAACTGATACCATTAATTGACCTTGATATTCAGCACCAAATCTGCTACTCTGTGAATAATTATTTCAATATTAAATATAAAAATCTTTGTATATCTTTTTTAAATCTTTAAAGTTTTAACATTTTATTATTTTATAAGTTCCGTACAGATTATAGTGGTAGCACCCCCACAGCACCGAAACTTTCCTAAAAATTTATTAAATATTTACTTGCAATATTCGTCATATTTAACTGAAAAGTTTAGTGAAAATTGTGTAAAGATTTAAATGTCCCGATTAAATAAATGTTTAGCGCGAAGCTTTCCTGAACATGAAATTACATCTTCGCATAATTATAATTATAATTATGCGAAGATTTTATTGAAATGTTCAGGAAAGCTTCGCGCTAAACATTTATTTAATCGGGACATTTAAATCTGTACACAACTTTCAATAAATATTGCAATTAAATATTCCGAATATTGCAAGTAAATATTTAATAAATTTTTATGAAAGTTTCGGTGCTGTGGGGGCAGTTGCTGTTAGTGTTTGTTTGCGCCAGACAAAGTTGTCCTAAATTTTTACTACTTTAATAAAATAATACTAACCACATCAGTATCAATAATGTTATTTAAGTAAAAAAAAACTATTTCAGTACTATATGTGGTACTGAATAGTATGATTTTAGTTCTTCATTTTAGATTTTATTTTACATTTATTTTAGAAAATAAATAAAATTAAATAAATTAAAATAGTGTCTAATTGTACGAAGACAGTTTAAATGTTACAGTGAATTTTCCGATTTCTCTCGTAATAAATGCTTTTTCATATTAAATGAAGAGCGTCTCCCTCACACCATACGAGATATCCCATAAATATCCCATTTTCAGCCATTTAAATTTTAGAATTCAATTTTAAAAATTACCATTACGCACACGGTATAGTTTTTTTTCCGTTTTTTCTCTCCCTGTGCGTGCTTTGCAAAAAGAGGCAAATTTTTTTTAGAAAGTGAACAGCCGATAGTGAATTAACAAAAAATTTTTTTGTAAAAATATAATAGCTTTATTTTTTATTTATTTCAATTTTTTAATTTCGATTTCAATTTTTCAACTCTCGAGAGTAAACAGGCTGTTTTCGGCATTGACCCGATGTTAACGATGGACGATGGTCCAATCATCAATAACATTCTGTTGAATCATAGCCAATCTTGATTAACCCCGAGTACGCCCGGGACGTACGTTGAAAACATCCAGTGAGTAAAAAAGCGTTTGTCTAAAAAATTTTAGAAATTAAATTATTTATTTAAAAATCGAAATATTAAATATCTAAAAATCTAAAATACTTTATATCAAAAATTGATAAGCATTATGAAAAACCGCGAGCTTTTATAGTTTAAATGATTCTGCACATTAACAAAAAAAAATGTTTGTTAATATAAAACAATCATAAAAATTGCCTCAAATTTTGAGAATAGAAGGAGGAGTGGGAGAGAAGGGGAAGCTCATTTCATTCTCCCAATTTTGCATCCCCACTCTAACGTGAGAACGTGACGTCAGTCAATGGCTAGTGGTTGTGTTACTTCCGTAACCAGAGTGAGTGAGATGGATATATGGAAGCAAAATTTCAAAATTATCTTCGCGCGTCTGTTTCGACCACGTGGTGTGTTTAAATATTTTTCTGTAAATTAAATCAATTCTTTTAATATCGGGAGTGTTCGTAACATTTAAAACCGCGAATCGTACAATTAGAAAAGTTTCCCCTTTTTCCACGTGGTTCGGGAGTGCTCGGAATTTCTGAAAACGCGAGTGAATTTATTTTCTGTCTTCGAAGAGATGACAACATTTATCAGCAAGTCATAACGGTTAGTGATTTCTGAAAATTTATTTTCAAAAAATTTCTGTAAATTTACGACATGTGACGCGCTCCGAAGAAAGGTACCCAAGAGGCAAAAAATTGTAGGTTATGTTTGTCATTTTTGGAATCAAAATACACAAAGCAGATCAAATCTCAATCTAAATCACTGGTTTAAGTCGATGCCAGATCCAAAATACTCAATAAATACTGACTTTTGTTTTACGCAATTAAACAGAAATAGGAAAATTAAGGTAAAAATAACGTAAACATAGCCTTAAAATGATTTGCTTCTTAGGTGTCTTTTTTCGAAACGGAACAAATTTTATAATTTTCTGTACTTTACTGCTACTTTTTGCTGTCTATTTAAAACATTTTATTTGACCGGAATTTAATTAACAACGTTATTGTTATATTTTCCACATTTTATCAGTCCTAAAAGAACGTTATGACATTTATGTCGGGAAATGCTTCAAGGACCATTCGCGGAAATATTCTATTCTATTGATAGTAGACTTATTGTTGAAAATTTTATTATTGTTGTGACTGTGAAAAATTTTTTTAAAATAACCTTCAAAACAATAAAAAACTACTGTTTTACACCGTTTTTCTAAAAATGTCAAATTGAGATAAAAAACGAATCAAAAGTGTTGCGATCGCAACACTTTTGATTCGTTTTTTCTCTCAATTTGATATCTACAGAAAAACGATGATGAAAATGTTTCGTTAAAATTGAACTCTGATATAATTGAATAGATTGTTTATTTTTTTAATCCCAACAATAAGATGACAATAAAACAGATGAATGGAGGCAGTGGAAGTTTTTCAATTTTAAAACTTAAGTTTCCGAAAAAGTTTCTAGCGAATTTCAAATTTCAAATAGAAGAGAGACAAAGTATTTGAATAACATACTTTTCCTCCGACGTAGACTGGTGTCCAGTGGATAGGATGATCATGCTGATATAATACCATTGGTCGAGATAGGACTTTTACATATTCAAAAACTTTTGAATTAATTTCCTCTCTGTTAGTTATTCTTGCGTAGAATCCTAAAAATTAAAAGAACAATTTGTCTTCCATTTGTCAAAAATTAATTTTATGAATTACACACTTCGATCGATAAATTGTATTTTTTTTCCTCGAGGAAGATTTGATTACAATATTCGGAGAAAAAATTACAGAAAGCTTACCTTTATTGACGCAGGCCAAGTTGTAGAGATCAGGACTCTTGTCTCCTCCGATTAAAAAGGAAAAAATTCTCACAGGCTTGTGGGGTTCGTTAAACTTTTTTATCAACTCTGCTGATGGTGCTTCAGTATTAGAAGTGACCAACATTATTGCCTGATTACACTGTGATCCTTGACCAGATTTATTGTACCTATTAAGCAATTCGAAAGCTGCGCTAAAAGCGGCTGTTACATTTACCGTTGAATCTGCTTGCAGTGAATTCATCGTCACTTTTAGTTCTTTGATATTCTCTGGATTTGCTGGAACAAGACTGTCTTTGAAGCAACGGATAATTTCCTCCGCGTTTTCTCCATATTTGTAAATATTGACATAATCCGCCGGGCCGAGAGATTCTAAAATCGTTTTTGTTGTACTAATGGTTAAATCGCGAATTTTACTCGACGATAGACTGGAGCCATCAACTAAAATCACTAGATCCTTGGGGCTCGTTGCTCCTCCAATAAACCAATCAGAAATGCGAAAATCGTAAACATCACGAACAGTTTCTGAATTTCTTGGCATTGATATAGTGTCTATTGGCGGCCAAGATATTGCTGATTCAGTGAAAAATAACAAGAATAATAAAACATTTGGAAAAAAGAGAATAATAAAATAGAAATTTTTTTGTACATACCGGGAAATCTCCTCAAGAATCCCGCGGTGGCTCCATAATATTGCCAAGAAAGAGTGGGGTCACTTTCATAATTATTAACGAAAATAGGATTCAAATGTTCGCTCCATTGAATCGCTGCTGCTACTTCGGGATCTTTAAGAATATTTGAATATTAATAAATGACAGTAAACATGAAATGCATGAAATTCATTAAAAAATGTTATATTAAAAAAATGTGAAGCATAGAAAATCGTGGATTCAATGCTTGTTAAAATTTCCGAAAATTCTTTAAAGATCTTTACTAATTCACCAAAGGTTTGCAAGTAACTCGTAGAAAATTTCTGAAACTTCTATAATGACTCTTGAAATAGTTTGTGCAGTGTCAAAGGACTGATCAAAATCCAATAAAACCCTCCAACTTTTTTAATTTCAAGAAAAGCTTTAAAGTTTCACCGAATTCTCTGTTAAGGAAGAATTTCACTAAAGTCAATAGTTGCCACATTGCTTTTACTAAACCGAGACAAAATATACTTTTCCCCTGAGATTTTTATAAATAAAATTTATAAGAAATTTTTCAATTTCTTTCGCATTTATGTACTTATTTTTAGAATTGAAGATTTTTAGGAATTAAAAAAACAATTTTGTTTAAATGTTTCTTTCTCGACGAACATTTTTTTAAGTAATAAAAAAAAATAGAAAGAAGTGTAAAATATTTTTGGAGAAAATGATCTAAAATGAAATCACCTGTGTCTTTGATGGCTGGGGGTAAAAGGACGGCTGATAGACTAGCATTGACTGCCAAGTGATCAAAGTGACGATTAGGAGTAAGGGACATTTCTCTAGCACCGGACGCCACCTTTCCATCTTCGGTGAATAGATTTAGTCGATGAGATGCATAATACTTGGGAGAGGCGTTTCCTTCCCTTGGAGCTGAAAGTGCAGCCTGCTCGGCACTCTCCATTAACTTCTGTAATGTTATTAAAAAGAGATTGCATAATATCTCGGCAGCTGATGTAAATTTCAAGCGAGAAATATCATTTTCACATACTCTTAACCTTCAAAATTGCTGTAGCAAATTTTCCCATGTATATATATTGTTGTTTTAAATGTCTCATGTAAAAATTAACTGTGTTTTTAAAATTTAAATTCTTTTATATTTAGGCAATGAATGATTTGACCATTTAGCGAACGAATTCTTGAGATACAGGGACTCGATATTTTGCCGCTCATGCGCCACCTCTTCAAAGTTTGGGATGGCATAACTTCTAAATCAATTAAACTTATTTTATCTTATTGTTTTCGTAAGATTTCTTATTCTTCTACTTTGGATAAGGTTTTTCAAATATATTTCTTTAAGCAAAAATTGCCTGTCATCGAGTTACATAATTAGTACACTTAGTAGGATTGTCATAAGAATTAAATTTTTTTTTTTTTTTTTTGACTTTTAAGCAGAATTTCAACACTTTTCTTCACTTTATAAAAAATATTCAAGAAGAGTTTCAAGTATAAAAAAAGAGAATTTTTGACAGCAAATATACAATTTTAAACTTTAAGGGTATTTATATATTTTAAAAATGAAATAAATTATTGTTAAAAACTTACATGAAATTCTTAAAATATTACGATTCTTTTTAAAAACTTTAATAAATTCTAAAAAATGTTATTGTTTTCATAAATCCACATAAAATTCTAAAAAAATATATTCAAATTTTTAAAAAATTGATTGTTTTCAGAAATTTAAATGAAATTCTTAAAAAATTCGGTTCTTTTAAAAACTTTACATAAAATTTTTTAAAATAAATAAATTCAAATAAAAATTAAATTTTTTTCAAAAATTTGAATTAAACTCTTAAAATTTAAGTTATTCTCAAAAATATCAATAAAATAATTCAATTATTTTCCAGAAAATTTGGATTATTCAAAAAATTTTCAATTACTTTTTTATAAAATTTCAATTTTTTTACAAATTAATTCAATTAAATTCTTAAAAATTCATTTTTTTCAAAAATTCAAATTAAACTCTTAAAATTTCAATTAAATTTTTAAAAAAATTGGATTATTTTCAAAAATTTCAATTCAAGTCTTAAAAAATTCAATTATTTTTAAAAATTTCAACAATAAAATTCTTTAAAAATTCAATTAGTTTAAATAAAATTTCCAATAATTTCAATTATTTGAAAAATTTCAAATTGCTTGTTTATAAAATTTCAAGTTTTTTTACAAATATTTCATTTAAATTCTTAAAAAATTCAATTTTTTCCAAAAAATTTGAATTAAACGTTAATACTTCAAATATTTTTAAAAATGTCAATAAAATCCTTTAAAAGTTCAATTATTTTGAATAAAATTTGAGAAAATTTCAATTATTTGAAAAATTTTGAATTACTTATTTATAAAATTCCAATCTTATTACTTAGATACTTAGTCTTAAATTAGATTTTCAAAAATTTCAATAAATTTCTTTAAAAATTCAATTATTTTGAATAAAATTTGAGAAAATTTTAATTAATTTAAAAGTTTACAATTTCTTGATTATAAAAATTCTATAATCTTAAAAAGTTAAAATTGAAATAATTCATAAACCTAATTCTTTAAAATTTTAAATAAAAATTTTTTAATCTTCAATTTTTAAACAAAATTTTCAATTTAAATCTTTCTATAAAATTAATTTTTTAACACTAATAAACATATGAATACATTCTAAGTATATCAAATTCAGACAAAAAACGAATCAAAATAAAAAAAAAACGATTGGTTTTTTTGTCTTAATTTTGATATCTTTATAGAAAAAATGTATCGTCATCAAATAGATGTTTCCTCAAATATTTTACGAAGAATAGTTAAAAAATGGCAATATAAATGAAATTGAAAGTGCAATTAATAAAAACACGAACAATTTTACCTCTGTAACAAATAATAAAAAAAAAAACCCAAAAAAAAAACAAAAAAAATGTAGAAGTAAAATGAAAATAGCTTTCAATATATTTTATGAAATGAAGTCATTTTTAGCGAATAAAAATGTGCGGTTCGAAGATCTTTGTCAGTTCATACCCCCTGTGATTTTTCACAAATGTCGATATATGTATGAAATAGTCGGCGAAGGCTGATATAGTCCGGAAGATGAGAAACGTACAATGAACATGAATGAATGGAAATGAATTGAAAGTGATCAGTGCTTAATAGTATCGACAACGCCAATATATGAGAAGAATATTTCTCTATCGATAATAATGAATTTAATATAATCAGTCGATTTTATCCAACACTTTATCCTTGTATCTCATAAATTCGTGTGCATAAATTTCAATCGTTTAAGTAGTGCGAGAAAATCATTTCATATCAAACACACATCATGTGTTTCATTAAAACTTTTTTAAATTTCTAATTAATATTTATAAGCGTATAGTATTATTATAATATCGCAGTGTTATTATAATATTTATAAGTTTTAAGTTTTAATGAAATGTTGAATTATTAAAATATTGAGAGATGAGATGAATATCTGTAAATCCAATTTGTTTGCGTGTTTCTGTCATTGTCTTTTGCTTTTCAGTCAAGTTATGAATAAATAATAAATGTCTTATGAAAATATACAGAAATATACAAAAATATAAGAGTACAAAAATAGATATTAAATAATTGAAAATTCTTCTTTGAAAATAGTATTTACCATGACAGCATTCATCTTGAAATCCATAAGGTTTTTCACTTCACCAGCCATTTCTCGTACAAGCATAAGGCCATCTTTCTTAATTATACTTGCCGTGTCTGTGCCGTGTCTAGCATAAGCCTAGTTGCAAAAAGAAGTTTAATTTTTAGTTTTTTTTTCGCTTTTTCAGTGGATAACATTTTAGTTAATGTGTCTATCTACTTTAAGAGCTATAACAGATGTTGATCCACAAAAATCAACCGTTATCCTCTGGTCGTGTTTATAGCGTTGGATCAATGTCGTTACATAACAGTAAATAGAAAAAAGTTCACATTCGAAATCGAGGACTTTTTTTTTTTTTTTTGTAAAAACTTTCAAGCTTTGTTTTAAATCAGAGATTCAAACTAAACTTTCGTTTCATTCCTACTGAGAGTGGAAAAATCCGCGAACTTTCCAATAAAACATTCATATAGTTAATCTCATTATTGATTTGCATTATTTAGTATGGGTAAATTTATATTTATATTTATAGTTGATGATGATAAATTTTACAATATTTATTGAAAGTCCTTTTTTTGGAAATAATAATAATAATGAATTAATTTGAAAAATAAAAAATTTTGTAGAAAATTTCACTTTACTTCGGATTTAGAATATAATAATAAATGTGTGTCTCTCGGATTTTTTCCAATAACTCGTAAAAATATGTTTTTTGAGGAAGTATATATGTTTTCTTACCCGCTTTATTTCGGTGATCTTGGTGACTTGTTTTCCAAACTCCCAAAGGTCTATACCGAACCTCATGGCCCAATTTTTAACTCTGAAAAGATTTTTAATTCTCGTATTTTTGACAAAAATATTTCTAAACTAAAATGTTTATAAACTAATTTTTTGTAAACAATTATTTCTTATGAAGAAATTATTAATTTTCTACAATAATCTATATATGTACAACATTTATTCGTCTGGCATACCGTGTATTTCAAGCATTGATTTTCTCCTTCACAGTAGTTGTTTCTCAAGTTTTAATTGCAGTTAATTAAAATTTTCGCAATACAATTATATAACCTTCAACTTGGTTAGGATTGAAGAAACTTTAAGTTCTCCTTGTCCCAAGCTAATAAGCCTCTTAGAAATTGTGGTTTAAGTGTTCCTCAAACATGAAGATGATATTTTCGCGAAAACAAGGGCGACTTTTTTCTTTAGCATTAGAAATTTTAATTTGACATTGAAATATTTATATTCTATTCGATGAAAGCATGTAGAATATTGGATAAATTAAAATTTTAGAAAAAGAGATGTCGCGATAAGATTCAATTTCATGGAATAAAAAACGTTTCATTTTATTATATGCGAAAATATGTAGGTTAGCTGGAAGGACGGAATCAAAGTTAAAAACAAAAATAATTGTTGTTCCAAACAATGGTCTGATGACTGAATGTAAAGTTATAAAACACTGAATATGATATCAAAGTTTTAATAATTTTATACGATATAGAAATTATTTATTTCTTGTAATAGCTGTTAAAAATGGTTCTTTATTTGTCTTTTCTAAATCAAGGTTATCGTCGATGTCCCAGTTGCCATCCACTTGAGACCCAGTTTCCGTCAACTTTTAGTTTATAACAATAACAAGTACAAAAAAACTTATTTGAGTAAATAAATAATTAATATCTTAATATCTCTTTAGGTTTGCTTTTAATTTTTATTTAAACTATTAAACTATTTTAACCCTAAACAATAGGTACAACTGGGGTACACATCGTGTCTTATTTTAATTATAAAATACAAGAAAATGAAGTTAAATGAAGACGGTTTTCCCCCTTTTGGTTTTAACTTCTAATGTTTTACTTCATTTTGAGCACATTTTTTTTCGGTATTTACATGTAGTGTCTCTATGTACTAAAACATACCCATTGCCAAGAATAATCGCGCACTGAGAGAGTCTCAGTTTTTATTGCGACTATTCAACCCTCCTACGTTGTTTCATTATTGGCCTTAGGCCAAAAAGTTTGCGTTGAATCAATGAAATATTACATTGCCAACGATATTTATTGATTTAATCAGGTTTATTTTTATCATTTTGAAAAAAAAATCCTTGCCGGAAATTGAAAAAATTGCCCTTTAGGGTAACTATATTATATTATACACTCCTATAATGCCATAAATCATTCTTAAATATATTCTTCCCTTTGACAATATTTTTCTACAATCGAAAATCAATTCACAGACAGCCACGGTCCTAAATAGTTCCGAACTTTCGAGATGAACAAAAATTATTTATTTCTTCTTCAAATTAAAATTTCAGTATTAAAAATATTTGTATCATAAATTACTTGTGGATCCTAAAAATCCAAGAAATATGAATAAATTCGTTATACATATTTAATGATAAAAAGTAAGTCCATTAAATTGAGTTTTAAAATTACTTATATTTTTCAAATTGTTGTTTATTTTAATTATTACCTATCGTTTTTATATTTTTAAGGAGAGTTCTATTTTTATTGGACATTTAATATCTGAATAAGTTACAAGTATAAGTAAAACCTACTTTTAAGTATGAAAGATGGCTTGAAAATATTTTTTTTTAAGTTAACACATGTTTATATGGTGTATAAAGTCAAGAGCCCTTTGATGTAAGCTCATTTCCAACTCATTCTTGGACAAGAGATTTAAAGAAATATAAAGGGGCCATTCATCCTATGGAGGGAGGCCATCTGTGATGAACTGTGGTAAAAAACCTATTTGTATGTAACAGAACATGAGATTAGGGGAAGGAAGTCTGAAATGGATGCAAAATAGCGAGAATAGTTCGTGAATGTCCTCAAAGTGCTCATAGAATTTTTTACTCGCTTTAAAATTGCTGCAATATAGAAATTGAATCTAAATTTAGCGAAAAGATGATTTATTATCCAATATAACTTGAAAATTAACTAAATTGTATTTAAAAATATTATGTATCATCCTATACTTTTCAAATTTCAATGAGTATATAAAAATGTTTGTTAATTTGAATTAGTGACTCACTTTTTGCTTCTGGAATTACTAAATTTCTGTACTAATTTATTAGTAAAAATTACTATTAAAAAATAAAATAATACGACGATTGTTTTATTTTGACTTTAATGTGGTTTTCTCCAGAAATTCTTTTAACCTTTTAGAGGGCCGGTAAATTTGCACAAATTTTAGTAGTTTTTTAAATAAAAAAATTAAATAAGAAGTCAAAATAAATGGTGGCCATCCCTGCCCTCTAAAGTTTAAGTGACACGATTAATTTCTTAAAAATTTGCGAACATAAAAATTAGAGATGAATTTAACTATAGAAAAAAATTCGTTTCTAAAAACGTTGCAGACTTGAGCTTTATAAAACTAAAAAGCACTTTGATTCGCAGCGGATGTTGCAGAGGAAAATTAACTCTTAAGCAAACCACTCAAATTATGAACCACGAAGCTTAATATTTCATTAGAATCGATTATCGCTTTTTTTCAAAATTAATTAATTAAAATGCAAACATAGAATTTAAGATTTCACTTTTATCAGCGTGTCGTCGGTTGTCTGACTATTGAAATCACTTTCTACTTGAAACATAGAGTTAAAGTTGAAAATGAATTAAACTCGAACGAAACAATTAATTGACTCATATATGTATATATACACAGCATTAATTTAAATGAAATAAAATCAGTGAATAACAATTTAATTGCTCTGTAAAGTGAGATTGTTTTAAATTAAATATTTAATTACTTCATTTACATTAATTAGAGACGTAAATTTTATTAATAAGTAGCATTCAAAAAAAATTTTAATTAAATCTCACTCTTTTGTATTATGATATGGAAAATTTAATATATTTGTTAATTATATTTCAATAATATTGTTCTTTCATTATTAATTAGATTTATTAATATTTCATGGACTTGCTTTTGTTAGTGTTGAATTTAATGTTTACATTATACTGATAATTTATTTTCGCGCAATGAATAATTTTCTGAAAATAATTATTTAAATTTTTAAAAAAAGACTTGTTTTGAAAATGTTTAAAAATCTTTAACAATCTTTAACAAACTTTAACAATCTGTGACAATCTTTACAAATCTCTTTGAAAATTAAAAAGAGGAAAATTTTTGAATGGCAGTTGTTTATTCTGATCCACTGTTTTTCTGTGGATATCAAATTGAGACAAAAAATGAATCGTTTGATTCGTTTTTTGGCTCAATTTGATATCCTCAGAAAATCTTTAATTAAGAGAACTTTAATTTTTAAACATAGGATAAATTTTTGTTGAAAGGATGATTTTTTCGAATCTAGGGAACAGAAATTGAAATTTGGAGATTTTGACTGAAGAAATATGAAACATTTGACGCCCCAGTTTCTAAGGTGATAAACGTTATCTGACGATAACGGCATAATGCGTAATTAGCATAATCACGCAATCACGAGCAGACACTCGACGTCGCGGGCACTCGACTAATTATCAGTAACTTCGCCAACCCTTAACTGCTTGTCGGATTTATTGCCGGTTGTAAATGTAAGAGCGAATGAGGCGCAAGAAATTGATAATCGGAGATGCAATCGACCATAAAAGTAAAGTAGAACGACTCAACTATAAAAATAATCGATCGCTTAGAAAATGTACAAATGGTTATATATTCCCAGGAATGGGAGTCATGCTCTTTCTCTCGAACGCCTTTGCTACTCACTCATTATGAGGGATGTCCTCCTCCTGCTGCTTGCTCACTTGCACCCCAATCAGCAGTAGAAATGCAAAATTCAAGAACAATCCCTTCTTCATTGGTCTTCCCATCTTTGTTATTCAATTTTCTCACCGCACTCGGGGCTCGTAAGAAACTTAGCCCCCCTCCTCTTGGGTAAGGTCTTCCGGTCGCATCAATCCTCGACACGTTATCTCTCCCTCATCGATATCACCTCACGAACCTTCTCACAATTTTGTTTCTTCACTCGAAGACAAAAGTCTTTTGAAATTAATTATTATTATTGAAAATTTCTTATGTTTGATGAAGAGTTACGTGATTGCCATTTCGAGATGGGAGATTGATGGGAGAAAAAGGGAGAAGAGATTGGTGGCAACCCGGCATATCCGTTTCAAGGGAGAGTACACCCGCGTATATATCGAAACGTTTTATCGCCTCGTTGAAGGGTGAATTTACGGCGCATGCAAAAGCACACCTCGCGCCGATTTCTTAGCGTTTTTTTAGGGAAAAAAAAATAGTGTATCGATGCTGAGGTCCTGCGCGGTGATCCGTCGATGTTTAATATTAGTGCCGCTTGGAACGCGCTGAAGCAGGTACTAGTATACAGGTAAAGGTTCCTATTCCTTGACCATTAATTATATCATCACCTACACCCAAGGTCGCACTCACCCCACACCGAGTGTAGTAGTGACTCTCACTCCCCCCTCTCTTCTTGACAAAATTACCGAATTACACAGTCCCACAGTCCCACCCTCTCTCTCATTAGGATTTAGGCCCGAAATTGAGTATTCACACCGAAAACTATTTTCAGCGATTATTTCCAACGACTGAAGGTTTCGCTGAATGGTTCGCGGCACTCGGCAGTGTCGGCACCACTTGATTTTCCTGAAAACTCAAAACTCGAAATGTCCTGGAGGTGTGGACTCGGGGCGGAAAGGATAGAGAGCCTGCCTCGGAACCGAAAAACTCTTCCTTATTTTGGACGTGGTGTTTTCCTTAGGAAATCGCGAGGAGAAAATATAACCATCTCGATCGCGACCCTCGGCGCGCGCGCGCATTACTCTTACTACGTCTACAAGCGAACGGGCGTTTTAGGAAATCGAGCTTTTCTGGGGGTGTGGGTGTTCGGCGTGGGGTGAGGCTTCATGGTACAGGAAGAGGACGCAAACGCGGCATCATTGATTTAATACACACACAGGGAAGAAACTTACATAGTCTCCCTGGCGCGAGGTGACGTACGGTATGTACCGTACTAGCTCTCGCTTTTAAAAAAGTTTACGTCCCACCGCCCGGCATCGTGAATTGAATTGAATTGAATCGATTGACACGCATGCGAGTCATGACTTTCCTTATTTTCTTCCAGGGATCGGAAAAAAATTGGGAGAGGTTCGCTTTTCATTTATAGTTTATACTAATATCAAATATATGTATATTTAGATAGAATGCGCCTCTGAGCCAAATTCAACTCTTACTTTCGCTGGGGGATGAGAATGTCGTTACCTGAGAAGAGTTAATTGACTTTCGTCGGCGTCGCCCTCAAAAGCTCAGATTCATTTGATTTAGTTACGGCGAGAGCAATGGGGGAACAAGAATAAGAGGCGATTCTTTATTTATTCTTTTTATCATTATGCAAAAATTGCGTTATTTCAACTTTTAATTTATGAATTGAGCTAATTTTAATTTGACAGATGACAGATTTTTCTCATTTAGCCGAATTTCTGATTAATCTACATTCTCATTCTGAATTATCTCCTTATAATTCTCAGCTTCACTCAACAAGTACATCACTGAATCAGTGAATAATTATTGAAATTTTGATAATACATCGTACTTTCTACATTTTAATTAGTAGAAAACTTTTCATCATTAGTTAAACCATTGCATATTTCTAATTAGTAGAAAAAACTTGTTTACAATGAAAAATGAGTAAATGATTAATTAAATTTGACTAATTAATAAAAAAAGATTCTCTCTAAATTTTAATCAATGTAAATCCACTGACGATCAGTCAAATTTGACTGATTTTTAGTGACTATTCTCGTAATTTCAATCACTGAAAATCAGTTGAAAATTAATTTAAACATCAGTTATTTTCCACTAATTGTCCAATTAAGAAATGATTGATAATTTCAATTATCTTTTTAATTGATCAATCAGTTAAAAATTACTGTTATTCTCATCTTTTCACTGAAAAAAAATTGATTTGATTCTTGTCTATTATCGCAAATAAATATTTCCTTGAATCAAATAATTTTTATTTAAATCAAATAAATTGTATTTTAACCAGTAAATTCTGTATATATTTGAAACACATGCCAAGTAATTGATATAAAATTTAAATAAAAATTATTTGATTATAATCGTAAGAATAGAGCAACTGAAAATCAGTCAAATTTCACTGATTTAAATTTAAAAAGAATTGAAAGAATAGTAAAAATAAAATCAATTAATATAGCAATTATTAATTCAAACATAACTTAAAAATAATAATTTAACTTGTTTGTTATTTTTGACTGATTTATAGAAATTCAATGTATGTTCGAAAGTTTTTAAAAATTCTCGTCAAAATTTCAATTATCTTTATAAATAATAAAATTCTTTCCCTAAAATTCAATTATTTTCAAAAACTTAAAAAAAATTCTTCACAAAATCTTAATGATTTTCAAAAATTTTCCTGAATTCAATCATTTTCAATATCTACTATTTTAATACAAATTTCCAAAATTTTTCTAGGAATTCAATTATTTACAAATTTTTTAAATAAATTTCTTTGCAATAATTCAATTATTTTCATAAATAATAAAACTTATAGCAGAATTTCAATTATTTTAAACAAAATTTTAATCAAATTCTTCGAAAAATGTAATTAATCTTAAAAATTTTAATAAAATTCGTCGAATAGAAAAATTTTAGTTAATAACTCGAAAACAAAATCATTGAATTTTTAAGAAATTATGTACAAAAGATTGCAGTAATTTAATTATTTCCAAAGTAATAATTCAATTATTTTTAAAAGTAATAAAATTCTTTGCAAAAATTCAATTATTTTCAAAATTTTTTTAAATTCTCGTCAAAATTTCAATTATTTTAAAAAATTTTCCTGAATTAATTAATTTTCAATATCTATTATTTTAATAACATTTTCCAAAAGAATTCAATTATTAAGAAAAATTTTGGTAAATTTCTACTTAAATATTCAACTATTTTCATAAATAATAAAACTTATAGCAGAATTTCAATTATTTAAAATAAAATTTTAATCAAATTCTTCGAAAAATGTAATTAATCTTAAAAATTTCATTAAAATTTTAGTTAAAAACTCAAAAAAAAAAAAATAAATGAATTTTGGAGAAACGGCAAAGTATTGCGCAGTAATTCAATTATTTTCAAAAGTAATAAAATTCTTTGTAAAAATTCAATTATGTTAAAAAATGTTTTTTAAATTTTCTTTAAAATATCAATTATTTTTATAAATAATAAAATTCTTCTCCCAAATTCAATTATTTTGAAAGATTTTAATAAAATTCTTGGCAAAATTTCAATTATTTTCAAAAATTTTTCTCAATTCATGATTTTCAATATCTATTATTTTAATAAAATTTTCCAAAAGAATTCAATTATTAAACAAAATTTTTTTGACAAAATTCTACGGAAATATTCAATTATTTTCATAAATAACAAAATTGATTTTAGGAATTTAATTATTTTCAGAAATAATAAAACAAATTGCAAAATTTCAATTATTTTCAAAAATAATAAAACAAATTGTAGAATTTCAATTATTTTCAATACAAATTAATCCAATTCCTCAAAAAATATAATTATTTTTAAAATAATTTATTGAAATTCGTCGAATGAATTCTCAGTCATCTTTTAATTTTTATAAAACATGAAGAAATTGATCACTCCGAGTCTTCGACTCGAAGTGATCGATTTCTTCATGTTTTACAACAATACTTTTATGAGTTGTTTAATTTAAAAAAAAAGTTTGAATTTGAATCTTTTGAAGAATTTTAATTCTTATTGAAAAATAATATGTCATCTTTATAATAAACAAAATTATCAAATATTTTTTGTACATTTGCCAAATTTATATATGAAACTTAAAGTGTATGAAATTTTAATAAAAATAAAAAAAAACTATTGTAAATATAAAATTAGCTTTGCTTACCCTTCACTTTGAGATTTTATTTTGTATTCGTTTGCTCCTTGAAGCAGAAAAATAGAAGAGCATCAGATAAGTCAAAAGAAATAAAAACGCTCAGTGAGGGTTGAGTGTAACTAAAGTTTATGTTTAAAAAAACTGTAATAAAATTTTCTCTCTTAAAAAAATTTTATTTCCATCACAATTTTTACTAGCACAAAAATTTTTTAAAGGAATAATTCTTGAAATATTCTATAAAAGTTTCTTAAGAGTTTAGAATTTTCTTCTTCTTCTTTCTTTTTCTCTTTTTTTTTAATAATTCTATTAGATATGAAATTTATATTCCTCATACATCTTTTCAATCTCCATTTCAGATTTACTAACGACTGTACATTATAAAAAGAGGAGTGTTACTTTTATTAAATCGTAAATTTATCAGAGCGTAAAAATAAATTAATCTTGTATTACTTTTATTAAAAAGTGTAGTATTAAATCTAAAATTGACAAAATAATTGTGGCAAAAATTAAACGTTTTGTGCGGTAATAAGATATGAAGAAAATGTTGAAAATGAAGTAAAATGTTTGAATATCCGGATGTATTGAAAGGGAATTATTTTTTTGAATATATGTGGTGAAAAATATAGATATAGTTTTGTTAATACAATGGGAAAATCGAATATAAAGTGGAATGGAGGGATTCGCTTGTGAGTTGCACATGTTGAAATAAACAACGATTTAACGTGTTGCGGGTTGTTTGTATTTATTTTAATTTTCTACATTCATTCTCATTTGTAAAAAATATCTCACATCGTTGAATTTTCACGAAAATTTCAACAAATTGTCAAATTGAATTATTTTCTTCGTCTTTAAACAATTACAATTACTCTGGACGTTTGTTTCACGCAAATTATTATTATTATTATTACTAAAATTAATTTAAATTTAAAGAGAATCGTGTAAATTCATTCATTACTAAATTAATTTAATATAATTTTCGTTACCTGCAAATAATAATATAAATCATAATTAATCATGTTTTAAAAATTAAGAATGAAAAGACAAAATAATTATAAAAAATATTTTCATTACATGGAAAATAAAATTACTGTATTTAACTTTGTACAAAAAAAAATTAAAAATCTGCAAATTAATTGATAAATACTTAATAAAGTTTCGAAAGTTCAAAATATTATCTTTTTATATAATTAAAAAAATTTATTTTAAAGTTAAATTATTTTTCATTTCAATTTAGTAATTTTTGAAAAATATTGCATATAAAAAAATATTATGTTGATTTGAACAATTTAGAGAAACTGTTTAAATAATAATTTATTGATATGTTCAAGATCTTTTGATAAAAATGAAGTGGTTTTAAAAACCGGATTTAGAAATTTTCCGAAAATATTATTTTACTTTAAAAAAAATCCATGTTTACTATGGGGAAAATCTTAGTATCTTATTTTGTCGAGATTGCCTCAATTATATATATGAGACTGAATGGGGTGAAATGAAAACAGGAGATCTCTCGTTTCTTTTCATTACTCGTTATTTTTTCAAGTGCATCGCTAGTTTTCCATGAAATTCAAACACTTTTAAAGAAATATGAGTGTATTTTTATGTGATAAGTATATATAATTAAAATTAAAGTCTCTTTTTTACAGCACTCAAGTACTTATTTCGAAGTAATTCAAGTTTTATTAAAAATTGTTATTAAAATTCAATTCAATTAAGTTAAATTAAATTAAATTAAATTAAATTAAATTAAATTAAATTTAATTATTAAATAAAGAACCTTTTTGTATTGTCCTTAATTTTTATATTTTAATTTTTGTAGCATTTTTCGAAGTATTGCGAGAATTTTAATTACACAATTAAAAATACTGATCTTAACAAAAAATTACAAACATAATTAATCGAGAGAATAAATTTTAGAAAGAAATGAAAAAAAAGCAGTGTGCGAACACTATCAGTAAAAATCGACCGGCTGTTACTACTGCTAAGTCTTGGACATGAAAATTTATTTTACTGCGCGAAAGTTGTTCTAATGTAGGGCCTACTTTCTTTTCATTGTCCTTTTTAAATGCTAACAAGTGTAATTTTAGCTTTTAGCTATTATTTGCCACGAAAAATTTTTTCAAATAACACTAAATTTCTTTTCCTTTTTCATAGAAATGAAAAGACCTCTGAAGAAATTTGTTTTTTTTTCTAAAAAAAAGTTTTATTTTTTAGATGAACGAAAATTTGATTTCAAACAAATATTCTATGTATCTTATTGTTAATTTTTAAACAATTCAATAAAATTCTGAAAAAATTCAATTATCTAATAATTGAATTATAAAAAATCAATTAGTTTTAAGAAATTTTAATTATTTAAAAAAATTTCAATTATAATTATAAAAATTCAATTATCTTTTAAAAAATAGACAATAAAAGTATTTTTGAAAATTCATTTTTTAGACAAAGTTTAAAATTTAAATGTTTTTAAAATTAACTATTTAATAAAAATTTTTATTATAAAACGTTCTTGAAACGAAATTATTTAGATGCAATTTGAAACTTTTTAAGCTACTTTTAACACTAAAAAAACAAGAATGTACTTAATGTGATTCCTTGTTATACTCAGTTATTTAACAATTATTGAATTAAAATGTTTGTAAAATTCGATTAATTTAATTCCAATGAAATTCTGTAATAAATTTAATTGCGTTCAATTCGATTTTAGTAAATTTGGAATAATATAATAGTTCATTAATACTTAAACTTTTTTTTTAAAAAAACTAGTATTCTTAAAAAACTGAATTAAATATTTCTCAAAATTTAATTTTTTCAGATTTTTAAATAAAAAAAAGAAGGTATTTAAAACTTAAATAATTTTTAAAACAAATTTTCAATTATTATTGATTTTTTACTTCAATTAACATTTTAAAAAATTTCATATTCTAGTAATAACATTTTTTTAAAAATAAATAAAAAATTCAAGTATCATTCAGAAATTTAATTAAAATTACTCAAAAACTAATTTTTTCCGAATTTTAAATAAAATTATTTAAAACTTTAATAGTTTTTAAATAAATAAATTATTATCTAATTCTTCGCATCGATTAAAATTTTAGAAAATTTTAATTAATTTGATAATTTAATAATAAAATTTGTTTGAAAATTCAAATTAATAAAAAAGTTAATTGAAATTTCTCAAAACTGAACTCAACTTTAATAATTTTTTAAATAAACATTGAATATTTATTAATTTCTTTTGACTTCAATTGAAATTTTCAAAAATTTCAATATAAATCTTGAAATTACATTATTTTTGTAAATTGCAACTGTATTTAACTCAATTCTTTTTAAAGTTAATTAATATATTATTAAGATAAGATCAATAGAATTGGGAAAGTTATTCCATAATTTAATTATTTACAAAATTACAAAAAATTTAATTATTTTTAGAAATAAAAAATCAAGTAAACAAATTGAAGGAAGGTTTTAAGTTTTTCTAAAATATTTTTAAACTGCAAAAGTTTAAAATTTGGAGTAATTCTATAGAAGTTTATTTTTTTTCCAAATTCTTTTCATAAAATTTCCTAATTATTTTCCTGATTTCAACCATCAATTTAGTTTCCCTTGACCTGTGTCAACTCTATTAATATTTACTTAAAAATCTAAATTGTTAAAATCTACTTCAATTCAAGGAGTAATAAAAAAATTTCGAATACATAAAATAAAAAAAAATTTTTTTTTCAGTAATAAATTAAAAGTTACTTACTTGCTCTCACTAAAAGATTGTATAAAATATTATATTCTTATTGTATATTCAAAGATTTTTTCTCTCTAAAATTTTATAAATTTTTTATTTATTAAATTTTAAACTTTCAATTAATTTTTAACGTTAATGGTAAAGAAAATAATTTCATTGCCTCAATAAAAAAAAAAAATGAATAAGTATATTAACAGCCGTATTATTTAATTGTGAATGATAAATGGTTCTGGTTTATTTACTTCAACAGCAGGATAGATTATAAAATGTTTTCTTGTTTCGTCGGAGAGAAGACTACAAAAATTTGACAAAAAACGGAACTATAGAGTCCATATTTCTTTTTTATATATATAAAACATTGGCACGCAGTCTCCTCCATGTACGCAACAATAATTCCCTGTCAACTTTCATTTTATCCGCAAAAATACATTTTTGTTTTAGAATCAATATAACTAGCAGAGTGGGTCAAAAGTAAGCTTTTTCATAAGTCTCTTCATCTCAAACTTTTCCAATACAGGAACAATTTTTAACAAAAAAAAATGCAAACCTTTCGTTTTTTTCTGTTAAAAGTGAAATATTGTTACTTTTTTTGTTTAAATCTATATAGAAACGTAGAAAAAGTCGATCATCAAAATCGAAAGAAATTCTTGTAATGATGTTGAGAGAAATTATTAATGTTTGAAAATATAAAAATATAGAAAAATTTTGACAAAATTTAAAAAATTAATGGGATTTGAATTGCAGATCCGAATGTTATATTAAATTTGTTTGTTTAAATAACATTAAATTAGTTATACATTGTTCCATGTGTACTATAGAAAAGCAATCAAATGGTACAGAAAATATTATGTACAATTACAATCTAATGTGGAACAATTTTAATCACTCACGCCGTGAATATCCTTTGCGCCAACATATTAATTGGATGTGTACAATTTTTTTTATTATATAATTAAAGATATTATAATATTCCAGTCTTTACGAGGACGTTTAGACGCGGGTCTCAAAATTAAACTTAAACATAAATATCTTAGCCAAGCAACTCTCTCTTTGAAAAAATACCTCTTCACTGGAAAATAATAACTTAAGTAAAAAAATAAAATTTCAGAAATTAATTTCCCCTTACAAAAAATCATGTACATTTCACCATTCTTTCGAAAGAATATGGAAGTTTAAGATCGTGGTGTAAATTAAAAGTTATACATTATAAATTGTAAAATAATTCAAAAATTAGCTATGCTTTAAACATATGATTGTGCAATCATTGGAGTCATGTTTCACATGTCTGGACAAAGATTCCTGCAAATCAAAATTCCTTCAAAAAAAAAATATTCAAGTTTGAATAATCTACTAAATAAAAAAATTATTTTTTTGTGTAAGAATCGTTGTTCACGAGATTCACTTTCATTATTCACCCGGGCTGTTTGGCACAAAAGAGATAAGCGAAAACTTTTCAACTTGCTGGGAACCTTTGAACAAGATTGAACGTCGAACTTGAAAAGAAAAATGTGGTGTTATGGAATTTAATTTCACCACAACAGAGAATTTATACAAAAATAACTAATTTATTATTCTTGATAATATTCATAATACGCACAAGCTAATAAAAATGAATCGCATTTTATTTAATTTATTTAATTATTATGGAATTCTAATTTTGAAGCAGAAGTACCTATTTAGAACACTTAGTACGTTTCACTTTTTTTTTTGGTGCATAAAGTCTAAAAATTGTTGAATAAATTTTAATCGATTTTGAAAAAATAATGAACTTAATACAATGAAAGATTATGTTTTGTTGCTTGTATTATTGGTACTTTGAGCTATTAACGTTAATGAATAAATAAGCCCCTGTGATATTCATCGTTCTCCTTAACCTATGAACTTTAGCTTATAAGAACCTTATTAACTATGAAACAAACAATTTTTTACACCTCATTGTGACAAATTTTTAATCGTAGAGATACACGCTCCGTAAATAGTATTTTGATGTGGAAAGAATCTTCTATATAATACTCTGATATTTAATTGTAACGTACATTGAAGGTAGGGAAAAATGAAGGCAAGTGCTCATGGTCGAATATCGATTTTACGTACTTAATGCTCCACATGAAGCCGGATAGATAAAAAAAAGTTTCACGACCAACGTTAAAGTGTGGTCAAACTTTTCAATTATATATTTCGTATAATATATGATAACTTCTCTGATAGTGTTAGGTGTGCAGCGTACTGGAAGAAATTACAGATACTGTTTATGAAACAGTTTCAGTCAAAAATTTACATAAAAATTAAGATACATGCAAAGTACATCGTGAAGATGTATAGCACATTACTAGTTCAAAAAACATTACACTGAAAACATGTACAAAAACTAGAGTACGCCCGTTATCGGTCTAACTTACTCTCTATTCCGTTTGGCAAAGTTCTACAAACGTTGACACCAAGAAGAAATATAACAAAACTTTACATAAGCTTTTTCTTTTTTTCTTTTTGTCTTTTTGAATCAATTCTTACCTAGTGCTGATGTTTTTCTAAAAAACGCCCCATACACCATTTTTTTCCTAAAAGTTTCTTGTTCTTTTTTTTAAAGATTCTTCACACACACAAAGTTCTATTCGATATTTTTTCTTTTGTTTTTGGAGCCTCACAGTTTGCGTAACAATAAAGTTAAAAACACGAGGCAGGCGTGTAATCCCCGCTTGAAACCATGGAAACGTGACTAACTATTTGTTCATAATTTATGATTGCTAGTCAACCACGTAAGGCCTTCGTATAGTCCGTCCCCTGTAGTAGCACAGGATGGTTGAACGTACCAATTTCTATCTCGTATTCTCGTTAATCCTAATTTTTCCTGGATCTCGTGAGGCTTCATCGCTAGAAATTGACAAGTTTCATTGATTAGAATACTGATTCGAACCAATTAAGAAAAAGGGTATAAAATTAACTTGAGCATTACCGCCTGGAACATCTTGTTTATTGGCAAAAATTAGAATAATGGCATCGCGCATTTCTCTGTCATTTATTATTCGATGGAGCTCCTGACGGGCCTCGTCAATTCGATCTCTATCGGCACAATCAACTACGAATATTAGTCCTTGCGTTCCTGTATAGTAATGACGCCATAGAGGACGTATCTTGTCTTGTCCACCTACATCCTGAAAATGTAATTTTAAGCTTATTACGTTTTTTTTATTTATAGAAATTTCATTAAGTTCTCCATTCACTTTCGTTCCTTATCGATTCTTCATTCGAAAGGTGAAATAAATTAAAGGGCAAAGTTTTTTCTAAATATAATGAAAAAGTTTCACAAAGTAATTTTCAATATCGGAAACTTTTTTATTATTTCAATGAATTTTTATTCACTTTTATTATTTCATTTCGAAAATATAGTAATTTTTTTGAAATTAATAAAAAGAATGTATGTTTACTCACCCAGACGTTAAATTTGACGTTTTTGTACGTAACAGTTTCAACGTTAAATCCCACTGTTGGTATAGTAGTTACAGACTGACCGAATTTGAGTTTATACAATATAGCTAGAACATATTGTTAAGGAAATCAGATGCAGATATATTTATGTCAAACAATAGCGTGACGCACAATAGAGAAAGTCAGAACTTAAACAGGGCATCTGCAGAAGAATTAATGTAATAAAAAAGTGTCGCAAGTCTTGATATGATATTTAAAAGTAATTATGAGTTTCATTAATTATTTTAATAATTGACAATAGATTATTACAGAAAGTAGTTTAAGGAATGTTTCCAAATTTAGAAATTCTATAAACTCTCTTCCTTAAGGTCTATTTTCATTTCAATTTTTCAATGGAAAATACAGAGAAATAAATAATTATGTTAAAATAAATTTACTCGGAAAGATAATTCGAAAAGAAATTATAACTTGATTTTGAATTTGCGGACCAACGATAATGGTTAATTCGACAAGTAATCATAATGACAGAGATAAAGAAAATTTGGCCTCTAAGTTCAGACATAGTTATCATATCAAAAGAATGAAAAGCGAAAACAATTATCTAAAATGTGAATGTCAGTGATAAACTGAGAATGTGGGTGTAGAGTAGGAAGAAGTAATCAAATTCTTCTTCAACAAATGTCAAATAGTGTATAATTTTCGTTAACCAAAAACAATTTACGAGTAATAAATTTTAATGCGTTTGTATGTAATTTGAAAAGGATACTAGTCTTTCCGGCAGCATCCAGCCCCAGCATAAGAATGCGCATCTCCTTGTTGCCAAAGATTTTTGACAAGAGTTTGCCCATTCTACTGGCACACTTCCTACACAGCTGGCACCTGCATTAATGACAGATTATATTATTTAAATTGATGACATAACAAAAAGCACATCATTCATAAACTGAAAACACACATCTTTTAATGACAATTCAATTTGCAATTTCTAACTTTACTCCAATGAAAATACCACCTGATTTGAATAATATATTGAAGGATTTTTATGAAAATTTATTTGTCAATTAAAAATTGATTTTTACCGTAATGCAACAGGTGTGTTAGTAAACAGTTATAAAATTCAATGTTAACATACAACAAAAACACCAAAAATATTACGTAAAAAAAATAATAAAAAAAAGTGTCAGAAAAATATACAGGAATGCTGTTATAAACCTAATGTTGCTCATTAGAGAACAATAATGACTAACCTTAATATGTAATTGATTTTGCAAGTGGGTGTGGATTCTTAATAGATGTCATATCCTGTTTATATAAAACGTGATAATTTAATATAAAAATTAGTTATTTATCCAAAAATCAAAAATGTAAATAAGAATGAAACTGTTCACTTTTTTTTTGTAAAGAGTCTAATTTAGGAATTCCATAATCAAATGAGAAAATCAAAATAAAAACCGGTAGTAAAAAAAGGTTAAGTGGATATTTCGAGAATGTACATTATTTTGTTGCAGAGATTAAAAATTTATTAACTATATAAATACCATGATGTTTTTCAAAGATATGATTAGCTGACGAAGCAAAGTTTCGAAATATAAAAAAGAACAGTATACTGGTATTCTTGTCAAAGTATGGCGTAAAGGTTTAGGGAAACCGTTAACATTTTTTTACGTACACAAAACTGTAGATCTTGGGCAAACTTTCTTCTGGACTGAAGAGGTTTTATCATTTTTTGATAATAAAACTCACCAAAAAACATCTACACTGTAGAGATAATTTATCATCGACAAGATAAACACATTTTGACTGCGATTTTGACGGAGCTGCCTGAAGCTGTTGCAAAAGGAGAGGTCTCAAGCTTTGTTCCCAATTAGAATGACAAGTCATATTTCCATGTTGCGGCAAGTTTTTCTCTATTCTATAAGTCAACCAATCGCGAAGTAGGACGCGCAGCTATAGAGCGCTCCTGATTGGCTGACGAAAATTCCGTCCGTGATTTCAGTCGATCTAATATATTGGCGGGAAACACGGTAGAAACTGTTACAATTTAAAATAACGGCAGTTTTTATACTTTACATCATGATTATCATGATTGTTATTTTTAAATGCATTTACAAGAAAGGTTCGTAACTTTTACTATTAATAATAATAGTACCTATTATATTTTTTATAAAATAATAAAAATATTAAGAAATTTCTTAATACTATTTTTTGTTACTAATTTTGTAAAAAATAGTAAAAAAAAATTTTTTATTTAACTAAACTGAAGTGATTTTAATTAAAGACGCGCAAAATTCCTTTATAAGAATTAGTGTTTAATTTAATTATTAAGATTTACGTACAAAATCTTCTTACATTTTGTTGTATTTGAATGTACTCACACTTATAAAATATATACGTTTGAAGAATGTATACGAAAAAGATGACACATCTATATAAGTAGATCATACATTCTAATTAATTGTAATAAATGATATGCTCTTTTATGAAGTCCGAAAGGACAACTAAAATTTACAAAGATGATTTTTTCTTTGAATTCATCGTTTTTACTTTATTATTGCTTGAAATTGATTATTCGTTGACGTTTTGTTACAAAATCACTTTAATTGACCAGAATGTCAGTAAGTATTGTTTACACGTTCGTAAAGAAAAATTAAATTAAAATTTTTTATTCCTATCTTCATTTTTCGAAATTTAAAAATTATTTTGGGAAGACTGTTAATGAAGACTTTTAATCCTTTTAATAAATGTGACGCGCTCCTAAGAAAAGTACTTAGGCAGAAAAATTTTTTAGGTTATGTTCATTTTTTTTGGAGTAAAATTACAAAAGGAGAATCAATTAATATTTTTAACTATTGATGCTTAAATTTTTATTTCATCCAAAATATTCAAGAGGACCTGGTTTTAAATTTATAATAATTAAAAAGGAGCTTTTGATCAAGATAAATGTAGAATAAACATAACCTATAATTTGTTTGCTTCTTATCCTTTCTTGCTAGTGCGTCACAATTCATAATGAAAGTTTACAATCTGACAAGAAAATTACAGGAAACATGATTTTTGAAAGAATCATTTACTTTTGATAAAGATTCATTAAAGCAAGTATATAAAGATATATCTTATTTTTTTGTAAGTAAATGTAAAATACAAAATAAAATATGTGACGCGCTCTGGAGAAAATTATATACCTGAACAGCAAAAAATTGGAGGTTATGTTAGTAATTTTAGTAAAATAAAAATGCACAAAAAAGATCAACTCTCAATATACATAAAGCACCTGATTTAAAATCTTTTTCCGCAATTAAACAAAAACAGAAAATAACAAACATAACCTCAAAACGATTTGCTTTTTTAGGTTCCTTTCTTCGAAGCGCGTCAAATATATTTTCATGGACAAAGGATAATAATTTTTAATAATTTAAAATCATTAAAAAAGTTATCTCTGTTTTTCCTCATAATATTATGTTTTCTCACTCTGAAAAATTGTTATTTTCGAAAGTTTTTTTTTCGAAATATATTTAAAAGTAAACTTAATTCTCATCATGCGATTATAATTATTATAATTAAATATTCTATCACTTTGCGACTGAAATAGTCGATGGGAGTTTTTTTTTGACAATTATAGTAGATATGATGTAGGTAATGGGAACTGGTATCTGGTATAGATATAATTTTTTATATAATCGAATGCAGTCCTCGTTATTGTATGTATATATACGCATCTTATATAATTAGTCGATTTTTTTTAAGTATAAATCTGTAGCAGTATCAAAATGGTAAAAATAGTGCAGACAAATATGATGAGCACAGGAAAAGTGAGTCTGAATGAGCGGCTAAAGCCGCTTGGCTCTCGTCAAATTGATTCAATTGACGCTTCAAATAATGGACGATTTGGTGTACTTTCCTCTCGTCTGTTCTTATTTGATGACGAAAAACAAAGGCAACCTGATTGATTTCGATTTCTTTTCAAATTTGGCTTGCTCTCTTTATCTTGTTCGGCTAGGCATTTTTGATAGTAGTCATAATCTTTCAAGTACCTGAGAAAAGAAAAAAATTTTCTCTATTTTCACAGTTTTTCTGCGGGTATCAAATTGAGACCGCAAAAGGAATCAAAAGTGTTAACTTTTGATTCCCTTTTGTCTCAATTTGATATCCGCAGAAAAACTCTGATGTATTAGTCAATTTTATTAAATTAAAAATTTTGCTGCTTTTCAAAGAAATGGTGTTTTTTACCATACTGGTGGCCAACGGTGTTCGTTCAAATATTCCTGATTTTCAGGATGAAGAAGTTTCACGCTTCGAGGAGACATTTTACAGAGTTTGTTGTAGTTGACGCAAAGATGATTCATGCACCAATCAGCCAGTTGATCGGCATTGTATAACTGCAAATTATTCCAAATTATTACAAGTAACAAAAGTCGAGAAATTAAATAAAATTTTAAAAAAGAAATTAAAAAAAGAATTGAGAATAAAAAGAAGAAGAAATTGAAAAAAATTCCATTGGTTTCGAATTTGATTCGTAAAGGCAAAAATTTATTTGCCTTTACTTTCGTTTATTTCTCAGACCTTGCACGGTTCCAGAAGTCTTAAACAAATCTCAACTGCTTCATTTCCATCATTTTGGGAGATGCGATCCAAATCCTCAATCACGCGATTTTCCACCAGATTTACGAGTCGAGGTAAACAAAGTCTGTTTGCTAATTCTAAAAGATTCAAGCACTTGGTTGCGATTATAACAGGCACCTCATCAGTGTAAAGATAACACAGTAATTTATGGAAGGTATATTCTCTAACGCCAGGGAAAACAATCTGTAAAGTGGGATCTTAATTACTCTCACATTCCTGTTGTGAAAAATACTATTATTTTTATTATGTTTACGAATTGAAATTTAAATTCTTACAATTTTCGCACTACTTTCACGAAAATCACCACAGAACATGGCTTTCATCATATCACACCTGGCGGCAACAATTGCTCGATGGGCAGGCATGCTACCATCATCCAAATCGAAAACAACGTCAGCAAATAGTCCTAAAAGTAAAAAAGAATTGGAGAAATAAAAAATTAAAAAATCACATAATTGCAGAACAAGAAAATTATGTAATATTTCAAGAAATAAAATACCTTGTTCCAAACACAAATTTTCCAATCTTTGTCTCACAACTTGTTTGTACTGGTTGTTAAGATCGTTAGTGATAAATTGCGGTTCTCTTGTTTGAATACTGTTAATCACCATTAGCAATTGATGCAACTCGAGAAATTCAGCCGCTTGTCTTATTTCCTGTTGCGACAAAAGAGAAAAAAAGATGCTATTAAAAATCCACTTGAGAAAACCTGTCATCAGTTTAAAAACAAACTCTAAAAATTGATTTATGAACAGAGCTAAAGTAGTAACTGTGCAAATAGGAATTTGAAAAAATAGAAATTTCTATATGGTATACAACTTTATGACTAATGAATATTTCACTTTTTCAGTGATCTAAATCCACGGATAGTTTAAAATTCAATTTAGCTTTTGTTTTAATGAATTTGCTCTGCAAGATTGGAAAATCTATATAAACATTCGCATATTTAATCTGAAACGAAAATAATTTATTCGATTCAAATAATGGGCTACTTGAATATTATGAAACAAATTATTATATTTCAAAGTTTTTTTGATTGAATGACCCATAAATTCTAAATTAGGTTTAAAAGGTTGAAATGTAAAAATTAATTAGTTTGAAAGACTAGTTAAAAATTGTGAATATTTATAATTATAATCAAGTAACCGAATACTTGAAATAAAATAAATAAAATAATTGGTTTGTATTTCTCGTTTAACATAATCGGGCATCGAGAGTTACATGTATGTGTGACCATGGGTGATCGATGAATGATCAATATATTGCTCGGCTATTTTGCGCGTAATGAATTTGCAAGACTAAGAAAAAGCCATGAATGGTAAACGAGATAACTATAGATGTGACTATTCTTCTTACGTGTGTACATACCACCATAGTGTCTAACACATACATGTATTACTAACCAGTAGAAGCCCAATAGGAGCTGTCTGGAAGAATAGAACCTTATTAGTTTCTTTTTTCCTTTAAACAGGACAGCTGCTATTATTTCTTTCAAACTATACTCATAACTATATTCATCAACCCATTGTTCCTTATTTCGTTTTCAATTTTTTCATTTAAAAAGAAATTGTTTATTTCACATCGTAATTGTTAAAACATTTAATCATATAAATGCTGTAAATAGCATTTATATGATTATAGTTAATGGATAATATTGACAATAAAGAAACGTTTATAGTCAATAAAGACAATATAATCAAACAATGTATTTGTACCAATAATTTACGTAACCGATAAAAACCAATTACCAATTTACGTTATACCGATAAATATTGGTAATTAATTATTCTTGAGGTCATGTTATTCAGTGGTCACGTGTTTTGAATGACAGTATTGATACACGTGACTATTGAATAGCATGACCTTAAATTAAGTCTTTAAAAAGTAGAAATTACATATTATCGGTTGTAGTAATCGAAACATAGAGAACTCTAACAAAATTGTAATTTTTATTATATGAAAGTAAAGAAATTGCAATTTGAAAAATAAACTTTGTTGCTTACTTGCAAATCGTGGTACTTTTTGTCCAAACTGCCGGTGTAAATAAACTGCAAGCATTGCTTTATGCAATGGGGAGTAACGAGTTTTGAAAGGGTTATGATTGTTGATTGCTGTTGTACCCCATAGGCATTTTCGATCTGAAACATAAATTTCGTTATTTTTAAAACATGAAAATGGAAGAGAGCAATGTTAATTATTATTATTTAAATTATTCTTAAATTCTTTTAATTTCTTCTCTTCATTTTCTATTATCGAATATTAAAGTTTCGTTGGTAGGTACTAACCATAGCTAATCTAATACTTTGGAAGGCCGGATGATTCAGTTCTCTTGAAGAAACTCCAGTGGGTTTTGTGTCCACTGTTGGCAGTACTTGGAAGCTGGAACGTCTCTTAATTTGTTCCCAAACTCTGAATAGTTACTTTTCATTAGAAATTTGTAACGCTCTTTGAAGAAAGGTACCCAAGAAGCAAAGAACTTTAAAGCTATGTTTTGGTTATTTTTACCTTAATTTCCTTTTTTTTTATAGTTTTTATCGAATATTTTGGGTCTAATAAAGACTTAAACCAGTGGTTTATATTGAGAGTTAATTCCTTTTGTGTATTTTCATTCATTTAAACATAACCTACAATTTTTTGCTTCTAAGGTATCTTTCTTCAATCTTTTCTCCAATGCGCTCTCTAAGTCTAAATTTGTAAATCCTTCTTTATTCACTAATTTACAGTAGTTAAAATTTCTACTTGTTCTTATTAATTCAAATTTAGAAAGGGTTTAAAATAAGAATACTATTAAGAATATTGATTATATGAAAGCACATTATAAGATGTACATACTTTGTTGGTTTATTTTGATCAATACGGATCAAACATTCAGTATCATCATTAAAATCCCCAACAGTGGCTTCACCAAAAGTGCTAACCTAAGAATTATTTATTCCTGATGTTACAATTGTTGAAGTTAATAATTATATAATGTTTAAATTATTTTCTCATTATTAATGACATTTAATATTTATTGGTTTTGTTTTCAGATTTACCATACTAGATTCACTGGAACTACGGGGAGTGTATTCTTGAATGAGTTCCATGGCAAAGAGACGATGAAAAGCAGGTGAAGCTGCGGCTAAAAGACAACGATGAGCATGCAGGGAACAACTTCCGGTGATGAGTATAACATCAGTGTGAACAGGTTTGGTCCACAGTGTTTTCATGTTTTCTTCATATGTGCTAGGTGTGAGGCACACTTCCGGTGGAAGAGGTTTCGGTGGACAGAAGGGTGCCTTAAATTAATATTAAATATTTGCATCAAGTTTTATTTTTGAAATTTCTATTTCAAAATAGAAAAAAATAAATTCTTTTTTTAGAAGAAGTTAGTTTAGTTTTAGAAGAAGGAAAATATTTTCGAAAAGACCCACCTGCAAAAAAGGCCTTTGTACTTTTTTGAGATTCGTCATCCAAAAACGTTGCTGACGTCTCGCAATCAAGGCAGCCCTTATGGAATTTTCGAAGACCTCGTTGACCCCATAATAAGTGAAAACACTAGTTTCGTAGTAGGAAACACCGAGATCTCTTGCCATTGCTCGTGCCTCATCTGGCATTACCAAATCACTTTTGCGCGTCGCTCTAAAACACAAAAAAGCAAAAAAAACTTATTTTATTTTGCACCAAAAATTAGAGCCTTAATTTTAAACTACAAACAATATATAAATTACCTCACAAAAGGACTGCGGTCACGAAAATAACTTAAATAAGTCTCATCACAGTACATGTATCGCAGATCATTTTTACATCCCACTAATAGTACCGGTGTCTGGGGACAAAATCTCCGAATCTCTGGATACCACATCACCTTGCAGTTTCGCAAAGACACGGGATTTGTTATTGAAAAACAAAGTAGCACAACGTCGGATCTGTAAAACGTTAAATTAAAAAAAAAAAACGGTTCTAAAAACGGTTTTCATAAAAACTGAAAGTAATATTTATTTTTTTATAATGTTTACCTTCCATATGCGAATCGACGATCCTTCTCGTGATCGCCGAAGGTGTCCCAAAGACGCAATGAAACATTGACGTTGTCTACGACCTCCCATGATCGCTCTAGTACCTGTTAAAAAAACAACTTAATAATGATAGTTGTTTTAAAAGCATCTTCATTGAATAGTATTTAGAAAAACCGTCCCCTTGTTTGGCCAATCATAACGCGCAAATAGTCACTCATAAAACAAATATTGATTCTTCTGCTCCACATTTACTCTAAGAAGTGCATTAAAGCCGGAGTTTAAAAGTTGTAAAATAAATATTTAAAAATTGAAAACAGCTTGGCGTATATACTGTCATAAACTACTTTGACAAACATTGGAATTTATATTTAACGGTTCGTGACGTTGGTGTTTATGATTATTTATCCTGATAATATAAAGGCGGAAAAATTTCACTATTAAATTTTCAATTTGCATATATGAGAGATACATATAAAGGACATATTTTCCATAGCATATTTTTCTTGTAAATTGTAGTTAGAAACGTCTCTTACGTGTAGACTGTAGATGATTAAAATTTTGAAAATAGTAATCGCGGTGTGAGATGTGTGATGCAATTTGTTCAGTTGCAGCTCTGATCGTCTTTTATTAACAAAGGTTTAATTTTAAATACATAGAAATTAGTTGATATTGAATAGAAAGCTAAATTTGAGAATTGACTATTTGATATGCAGCAAGAGATGATAAGGAGAATTTAAAGTGCTTCGTTCAACCCAAAGTTCATTGAACGGGTAAGTCGCTATTATGAAGGCCGTTTGCAAACGTGATTTATCAATTAGTATTGTGCCAATAATAGAATTGGTCCTGAAATACAACTCTGCATCTTGTGATTCTATTCTAGAAAAACCATTCTTTTGTGGCTTCATTCATCGTACATGAACGATTTTTTTTTAATCATGTTTATCATCATAAAGATGGCTACATTTTTTGTCTTCACAGCAAAACTTTATGGTTTAAATTTTACATCGCAGTTTTGAAATTGCTGTGACCTGAAATGCACCCAAAGTTTTTAGTTTTGAAAGCCAAAGCTTTCAAAACTAAAAACTTTGGGTGCATTTCTGGTTTGAAAACAAATTCTATTTACAATCGTTTCAAGGTACTGTGGTTGCACAACTTGTTAATACAAAATGTCAATTGACAAAGTTGAATGCCAACGAAAGAATGATTTTCCAATTTTCATATCGCATAATTCAATGAGAAATGTTTTCAAACTCTTTCGTTCGCGTAAAGAAAAAGGTCATTTGCGCCTGACAGTGTAATGCAAGAAAAATTAATGTATCGCGTAAAGATTTTTTATGCCTTTAATAATTTATTTTTTGAAGAATAAGACGATGCACGTAAAAAAGAAATTAATCACTTCCACGGTTTCTGCAATGTATAAAAAGGGTTTGGTGACGAGTTTCATGAATGGAATGACTAGCACTATAGGCGCTTGCATATAATTAACATAAATTTGCATGTCGAGAGGAATATAGTGAATTGCAAGGACTTTCGGCGAATTTGATATGTTGTATACTTACATCTTTGTAAATTCGATACTGATCGATGGCCCAGACTGTGGGTACGTGGGTGGTGAGTAGTTGCGACAATGAGACATGTTTGTTACAAGCTCGGGCACAAATTAATCTGGTTTTTCCAACAGCAGTGTCCCCCACAACCACGCACTTGACCAACTCTTGGTGGGGTTGCTCATTGTCCATCACCGGCTATCTCCCCTTTTCATCCAATTTATTTTGTTTCGTTCCAGTTCGTTCCAAATTCTAACTGTTGCTTCGAAAATTGTTAACCCTCCCGAGATACGCGTCCAAAACATTCGCCCTGTAAATAAAATAGAGAAATAACAATTTTTCTTCTCTTTATTTCTATCTCTGACATGTGTAGACTTTTCTGATGGTAAACCGCCGCGCACCATATTTCACTGAGAAATGTACATCTTTTTTTGCTTCGAAAATGCTCGGCACATTTTGCAATTTCAGGTGATTTATGTGTCTGAATGATGCCAAGGGAAATAGAATCGTGGAAAGCGTGTTCTTTGATTTCTCTGCTTTTTTCGAGAAGTCTACAAATTTTTGGGAATTGTGGTATAAATTAAACGACTCGATGAATAGAAGAAAATAAATGTTTATTTCTTCTAACGATTGTAGGTGCAAAAAAAAATATTTATTTTGCATTTTGTGTTGAAAATTTAGAAAATTTTCCCATACAAATCTAAATTTCGAAAATGTAAATAGTAGAAAAACTTTTATATTTAAAAAGTGTTTATTCTAAAAACTCTTCTTTCTCATTTTTTCTCAACTACAACAGTTTGCATAAGGACATTTCTAATAAAATTATTCCTTGTTATATTACTTTTATCTGCAACAAATAAAAAATTTGATCGTGACTACTTTTATTATTGCAAGAGATATAAAAACATTCGTTCCGACTTTATAATTTAAACATTCAAGATTGCATGACGAACGTGAATATGAAAGCAAATAAAGCAATTCGTTTAATGTATAGATAGAAATTCAAGGAATGATAAAACTAGAACACAATATATTTCAAATAAAACAAAAAATCGGTTGAAAAGTACCGATATATATTGTATTTTATATATCGACGCGTGATTTATATTCCGAAACGAACTTATATTTCATAGTTTTTTTTATCCCTTCAGCATTTACCACTTAGTTGCCATTATTTGTATTTATTGGTAAAAATATAATCTTGCCAGAGTATGAAACACGGTCTCTATTATTTATCGAGTGAGTGTCAAAATTACTCTGCGTGTATCATTTGTTCTTTTTCAAAGAAAATTAGAAATATTTTTTCTTAAGAAGGACGTTTAACCTAAGAGAGGCCTTTTTGCAAAGTAAATCAGTATTTAAAAAACTGAAATTTGGTTATTAAAAGTATTTTCTGGAATAATTAATATTATTAATTAACTAGCAAATGTTAGGGAATGTAATATTCAATTTATTATTATTAGTCAAATTACAAAATTTTTTATTTTCAAATATGAATTTTTGAATAGTTTCATTTACAAATTTTAAAAAAAATTAAATTATTAACTAATTTACTAATCAATTATTCTTGTTTATTAATTTCAAAAATTTTAATAGAATTCTTCACAAGAATTAAATTATTTTCATAAATACATAATAACATTCTTCTTTAGAATTCAATTATTTTTATAAATAGTAAATTTTTTTGTAAAAATTCAATTATTTTTAAACAAAATTTTAATAAAATTTTACAAACAAGTACAATTATTTTCTAGAATTTTTAATAAATCCTTCAAAACAATTTAATTATTTTTCTAAATAGTAAAATCTTTGCAAAAATTTAATTATTTTCAAAAAAATTTCACGAAAGAATTCAATTTTTTTTAATTCGTTATAAAATATTTTAAAAGAATTCAATTATTATTTTCTAAAATTTTAATAAATTCTTCGAATAATTCAATTATATTTATTAATAATAAAATTCTTTGCAAAAATTCAATTATATTCAAAACAACTTCACGAAAGAATTGCATTTTTCAAAAAATTTTTAATAATATTTTTCGAAAGAATTCCATTATTTTCTAAAATTTTATTAAATTCTTCGAATAATTCAATTATATTTATTAATAATAAAATTCATTGCAAAAATTCAATTATTTCCACAAAAAAAATTCCATGAAAAAATTCAATTTTTTTCTTAATTCGTTAAAAAAAATTTCAAAAGAATTCAATTATTTTCTAAAATTTTAATAAAATTCAATAATTATGTTTAATTTCAATTTTTAGCAAGCATGATTATTTTAAAAACTTGAAACAAATTGTTCATAAAATTCAATTATTTTCAAAATTTTTAATTAAAGTTATTAAAGAAATTACCTATATTATGTAAAAGAAAAATTGAAATAAATTCTTTAAAAAGAATTTAATTAGAATTTTTAAAAGTTTTCCTAAATAATAAAATTCTTCCAAGGCTTCTATTATTATAAATTTTTCTAATAAAATTTTTTGTTACAATTCGATAATTTTGAATACATTGATTTTAAAATTTAAACTAAAAATATTTTTTTTTATTTCGATTTTAATCTAATATAGATTATTTTACTGAATAATTGACTCTCTGAAACTTCGCCGCATGGATTTTTAAACGAGCATGAAATTATTTATTTAAAAGAAGTTGAAAAATATTTTTTTTTTATTTTTATATAAGTGAGTTCCGTTCAGACTGAGCTTTTCCCTATTATCGTCAATAATTTTTATGTGAGTAGAAAAATGCAGTTTTAGTCAGACATAATAACAGATTTTAGTTTTTTCTAATAGTCTTAGTAGTGAAGATCAACTTCAGTCAGACACGATACTTTTTTTGAATTCTTGTAAAGTGAAAGTAGTTAATGTTAGCTTCGGTCAGACAATACATTATCAATTTATTTATTTTGAGCCATAGTCAAACCCAAAATTTCTGAATTTTTCAACTTTCAAAAACAGTTCAATGCTTTTGAAAGTTAATAGTATTTTATATTTATTTATTTTATATTAATAGTATTTTCAAAGATTCATCTTTAAAAAAATTTGTTATCTTAATTTTGGTTTTATTTTTTTAATTTTTTTATCCAGGGGTACGATTTTGTAATTTGACTTTTACTTTCGATTCGATTTTGATTTTGACATTGACTTTGACATTGACTTTATCGTTGACTTTGACTTTCTTTTTCACTTTGACTTTGGCATTGACTTTTATTTTCACATTGACTTCGACTTTGATTTTCAAAGTCAAAATCAAAGTCACATAGTTATTTTTACACCAATTATAGTGTTAAAATTACCCAACTTTTTTAATGATATCAAATTGAGACAACAAACGAATCAAAATTGTTGCGAGGCAACAATTATGTTATTTTAACCCCAAATGTAGTGTTAAAATTACCCAACTTTTCTAAGGATATCAAAATTGAGACAAAAAACGAATCAATTTTGATACCCTTAGAAAAACTATGTGACAAAATTAGCAATTGAAGTTCTGACGTGATTATTGAATATAAAGAAGAGAAATTATCTGTCAATAAATCGATAGTAAAGTACTGTGAAGTAGTTGGAGAATGATAATACGTGCAAAAATAGTGTAGATGTGAGAGAAGAGCATAAAACAACATTGGCTATTGATTTGACCCTACAGCACCTCCCCCGTATATTTAGAATCGAACATCTAGAACTTCAACCTCACCTTAACCCTGAACAAACTCTCTCTGCATGATGCACAACTTTTCAGCAATTATACTGAGATTTCTCAATTCACATTTTCACAAATATTAATGACCCATTTTGCAAAAAGCGGAATTTCGAGTGAGTCATGAGAATTTCTAGAATTAAAAGGGGGTTAAAGTTAAATCTATTACATTCAAACGTATAATTTCCTTTAACGATTTCAAGGAATAAGAACTGATATGTGCTTTAAATAAACCTACGAACTTTATTGTATATTAGAATTTTCAATTTCAACTCGAAAATTCATTTCTACGTATAAAAATTTTTAATATGTTTAATATCTTTACTATGTTTAATCGAAAAGTTCAACACTGTTGAATATTAAACTTTTATGATTTAATCCAATTATGGAAGGGAATTATTATTACTTTTTTCATCATTCTGAGTATAAAGAGCGAATGTATTCTATGACAATGCAGTTTTTTGCTTCATTGTTTGTTAAAATGTATGTTTTAATGCATAATGCATAATACGAGGTCAAAATAATTTTTTTATATTGTTTGATTTAAAATTTCGTGGTGTAAAAGAAAAAGCTGTATGTAGTTATATATCTGTAATTATGGCGCATTGCAGAATATCAGAGAGAGAGAGAGAGGTCAGTGATACCAGGAAAAAATAACTAATAATTTCTTTCGCCATTGTATCTAGAGTGCTTTGCCAAAAATAGAAAAAAATTTAGGCATTACTCATTGTGGAGATAAAATTGAAAATTTTGGCTAGACTTTTATTTTGGAGCTGTATATAGTAGCGGCGTGTGCGGTATGAGTGGTTTTTCGATTCAAGCGGATAATTTCTTCTGTGCTTAAAAATGTACCAATTAAAATAACTAAAAAAATTAACTAGCAAATCCACTTTAAAAAAGTTTTAAAGTGTCTCAATTTGAATCAGTGGAATTAATAATAAATAATAAATAAATTTATTTTTAAATTAACACTACTACTTTAAAACAGTTTTTAACTATTACTGATATCTTAATTTGAATCAGTGCAATTCACTGGGATCCAGTTATAAGTACACCACTTTATAACTGGCTTTCCAGTAAATTTTCACTGGTTACCAGTAAAAGTGCGGTTTAATTATAACTGGATCTCTGAGAATTAAATGTCTAGTAAAAAATTGTTACATATTTGCAATTTTTTTAACGCACCAAATTGGTATGAGCGTATTTTCAAAAATGGGGTTTTCTCTAGTAAAAATAATTGAAAAATTAAAAAAAGCCTTGCATCTATATATATACGCACCAGGGTACTTTCAGTAAACTTGAGATATTGAATTAATACTTTTAATTTACACAATTTTTTTTAACTCCAAGTTTTTAAATTTTTAAAGAAGGTTATAGCATTTGAATGTTGTTTCAATAAATTCTTTGCATAGTCAAGAAAGTGGATCTTAAAGCGACAATAATATATTAACAATTTAAAATACTTTTGCCGTGAAAAGTTCTAAATTTAAACTTTTTTTCTTCTATTACATAAGTTTAACTTTTTTTCTAACTGGAATAAAGAATAACTGATAACAATTATCTAACTGTTTTTCATTCGTTTTCTTTTCAATTCTTAACTATAGACTCCTGACTTCTTATTGTGTCATTTATTTATTATCATAACTTGTGTACGATTGTTAGATAAAAATAAACTTGTCAACAAAGTTAAATATATAAAAACTCAGCAAAAAGATTTATTTATATTAATTAATATCAAATAATTTTTTTAGTTAGAGCAGATAAATTGTATTTGAACGAATAATTTCAATATTTGAGGCAAAAATGATTTAATTGATCGAAATAAAAATTATTTGATGAAAGTAAAAATTGTGGTTGAAAAATTTTATTTTAGTTTAATTCAAATTGAAAAAAATATTAATTAAAAAAAATTTTTTTTTTAAATCAGTGCAGTTGAAAATTCTGTAATTTAGATAAAAAATTATTGAAATTCTAATTTTTTATAGTAATTTTTACTCTATAAATTTCAATTATTTAAAAATGACTAATTTGACAGTAAAAAATTAGTTAGTTTTAACGAATTCGGATTTATAGAGAGTAAAGTATTTTTTGTATACTTTTCAATTCGAAAAATCTTTTTTTAAAAAAAAAAAAACTAATTCATATTCAATTGTTATAAAAGTTAATTGAACTAAAATTTACAACGTCAAACCTGACGATTTACAATATTGTTTTTGAAAAACAGTCAGATTTGACATTGTAAACTTAAGTTCAATAAAAATTACCTCTTTTCAATTTTTTATCATTTTTAATGGAAAGCTGGTATTTTCTCCAATAAATTATATAAAGTCCGAAAATAGGACAACAATGGATTTTCAAGAAAATTAAAAAAAAGTGTTTATAAAGTTGTTTTTTTTCATTGTCTCCAAAGTATATTGTTGTCCCACTTTCACTTTTTACATATTTTATTCGAAAACAATTTCAGCTTTCCAATAAATATGATAAAAAATGAAAAAAAAGTTTGTATAAATTGAAAAATTATATTTATTTCCGAAAAATAGAGAGGTTATTTTAAAAATTACATTTTTTTGAAAAATGATTTTTAGCACCAAAAATTATCAACAAAATATACTTTAAAATTCAATGTATAAAAATTAAAATTCCTTAAAATAAATAAACCCTGCACTTAATCTCATTTTTGCTTCCTCATGAGGAAGCTTTGCATTGGTGACGATTTTCAATTTTTCAAAAAAAGGTTATATGGACTCATTTTCATCTAGAACATATGTTTTTTTATCAGAAATTTTCAGATGCGTGTGTGTGTGTTTTGTGTGTGTGTGTCACAAAAATTGTGTACAAATTATCTCAGACAAATTTTGATGGATTGTCCTGAAATTTTGCAGGTTTATTGCAGTCATTAATACCTAAAATCTGACACAAGGATTTTCAAAAATATCTACAAAATTTTTTTTTATACAATTTTTTTAAAATTTAGAAAAAATTTTTTTATTTGTTAATATTTTCATTAATTATTCTCAAAATAACATTCCTGACAAGAAAACGAATCGATTGATATATACAAAGTATATATTTTATCAAAATTTATAAAATTAATAAATATTTTTCTTTTTGACAAAAAATTCAAATTTTGTATTTTTTTCATAATTAATTTAATATTAATATTAATATTTTGAAATGATTATTCTATCATAAAATAGAAGCAATTGGCAAATGAAAGTGTAAATTTCACCAAATATTTATAAAACAACTTATAAATGATTTATATAATTTTATTTTTAACAATTCTGGACGAACTCTTTTGTACATAGTTTTTCAAAAGTTTGCAAAACCGCAATTTTTATATATTGAGGAAGCTAAATGGTCATGAAATGAACAACTTGTTTCGATTGCAAATATTATTTTTTTATTTTTTTATTTGGAAATATTTTTGATTTTGCATATATATAATACAGATGAATGGAATGTATGCAAGTTTTATAATTAAAAATAGAAGTTTTTAGTTTTGTCTAAAAAGTTTTCAGTTTATAAATTTTTTGACATGAATTATGGTTGATGGAATGCTTGCAAGTAAGGATTATAATGGATCCCAAAGGATTTGGTGTGATACCAACGCATGCAACACTCGACAATCATGACACGGTTCAGTATATACTCAAAAGCGTCAATGTATAATCACGTGTATTAATTTTGTTATGTAAGTCATTGACAAACGGCGCTACACGCGATAGATCTCTTTAGTTTTTCCTTTTTCAAACGCGAGAAAATTACGTTTCATGTTAATAAAATTATTTAATTAAACGTTTCAAAGTCGGATACATTTTATTAGAATCATTATTTTCATTCTATTCTCTATAATTTTGAAATTTTTTCTTCGAACTCATAAAACTCTTCTTTTCTCTTCTTTTCTCCAATTTTCTTTAATTAATTCTTTTCAATTTTCTCTTATTAATTTTTTCCAATATTGTGTGTCATTTCTAATTAGTTCCAGAGAAAATACGAAGTATTATTTTAAGGCTAAATTAGATGAAAATAATGCTTTAAACCACCAGGGATTAGAATAATCCATCGATTAATTGCAAATTTTAAAATTACTCCTGATATTGGTACAATTTTAGCAATTTTTGTAGTGAAAAATTAATCCAAAAGTTGATTATTTATTCTTTTTTCGACGTAAATTTAATTCTCGATTTAATCTGCAATGATTTTTATTGCCTCATAATTTATATACATACACTGTTATTAATTCTGCAATATTTCGAAATTTAATGTATCCTGAACATTAAATTGAATTAACAAAGGGGGTTCTCAATTTGCTCCGAAATGAAGATCTTGTTGACAGAGTCAATTAAGATAAAAGATAAGATTGATGTAACAATTTGTTAAAGTTAATAGGATGGGATACAATAGTGCAATATTCAATTCAGTTGGAGCGAAAAATTATTTTTTACAATCACAATAATAACTGATGGATACATTTATAACCGTTTATTGAGAAATTAAATATTCTGTTGTGACAATAAACATTTCTCATGATCTAATAATAGTTTTATTGGAATAAAATCGGGAGATTAGGCACGAAGGTTTAATTTTTTCTCGTTAATGCGGGAAATAATTTTTTCTTGTACTTTTTCTCGATACAAGAGTTTGATAAAATGCGAATCATATTAGGAAATTTTCAAATTTTTACACAACTTTTCTATGTATATCAAATTGAGGCAAAAAAGGGAATCAAAATTTTGATTCGTTTTTTGTCTCAATTTGCTATCCTTAGAAAAGTTGTCTTAGTGTAGTTGAAGCTTTTTTAGGTTTGAAAAAACTTTAGAAGAGAATTATAATCTCATAGTTTTCTTGATAGTATCGAATTCATACTAAAAGTGCATCAAATTATTGCCAAAAATTGATCCAAATTTTTGGTATCAATTCGTTGCAATTTGATACTGTAAAGTTACCAGTGTTTGTTTAAATAGATTATTTTACACAGCAATCATTTTATTTTATGGAAACCTTTTCTTTGGGATACGAAAATAAATTTTGTAATCATCTCTGAACCTTTAGATTATAGCAATAGGAGTAAAATATTAAAGAGCAAAGGATGCATGAACCCAGTAGAACGGCTCCCAGGAGATAAAGGAATATAAGTCTATATAGGACTTTCGTTTTAGCTTTAAAATTCTAGGGCAACGGGGATGTTAAGCAGAGAGAGAAGGAGAGAGAGAGAGAAAGAGTTAGGCTAACCTACCTTTAAAGCTGTCAGGTCGAAGACGGGAATCGATGTTGCGGATTGGGAGCAATGTTTCCTCACGTGAGTGCCGAGAGGTCCGTCGTCAGAATGCGCGAAAAGCACTCCTAAATTTAATGATTCCGAAGACTTCTTTGTCAATTATTTAGCTAATTTCAATTAGCCAGGAAATTACTATAAATTCCGAAATGTTTACTATCCAAAAAAATGTAGATTCCGCAATAAGAGTTTAAGATAATCGGACGACTTTTCTTTTTTAAGGGAGGTTTAAAAAGTAGGTTTCAAAGAATTAATGATTCTGAACTGTATTTTCATATCTCAACTATTAGGCTGACTATTAGGCGCTTTTGGTATGTACTTACTGTATGATCCTAGTTTCGATAAACTGTTTACAGTTTCGATAACTGTTCAGTAGGTTAAGAAGATTAAACCCATTTTCATAGAATGACAGAATTCGTAAGTAATTGTAAATAAAACATTTGGAGGGAAACTTTACATAATCGATGACATCCTTTAGGTGAGAAAAAATGAAACCCTGATGGACTCACACAATTGATACCAGGAATGATTCCATCAATGATGGTAAATCATTGGAAAAGTTAATTTAAGATACGACTGTAAAAGAATAGTAGATGAAGAGAGTGATAAGGACACACCTGAGAAATGTAGCAATTATTTGTGGATCCTGAATTTTTGGGACTTTAGTAGATTGACTCCTTGAGGGTAGGAGAGGAAAGGACTGACAGGAGAGGACAGAGGACGAGATAGCGTTGACTGATAGCAACCGTGTCGCGGACAATCGCAGACTGACTCCTCTGGTTCCCCCGGCAAGCGCGCCACTGAACCCGATATGTTATCCCACCCACTCACATTGGTTCCAAACCAAAAACCTTTTTCTCCTTGGTAACTTTGTAACTATAATATTTTCTCAATAGAAGAAGGAGGGTTGCTGAGGAAAAAATCTCGTGCGTAATCACTTGAGGGTGTTTATTCAGTATATCTCTCACTTCCTGGAATAGCAGCAAACATCAAGTGTGTTTCTTTCAAAAAACATTTCTATTGATATTGACACAAAACTTGTTTTATAACACACGCTCCTGGCCGAGTCAATGTTTCTTGCGGATGAATTAAATCTCTTTGGGAAAGCAGTGGAAAAATTATATCTTTATTTTCTTTTGATTTATAATTCTCCAAATTTATGGTAGACATAAATGTCTCGATTATGTGACTTTGTTTCGTTCCGGCAGATTTCGTAACTTGTTTATTATCAAAGTCTAGATTTATACGGTTATTTAATTTTCAATTAAAAATTGTTATCTCGTTTTTCGAAAAAAAGACGAAGTGCGCACAAAATCTTACTTCAAGATTCCTTCTTTAGGGGGGTACACTGGTATTTTTAACTAAGAAGCAAACGAATTTTAGGTTATGATTATTCTAGATTTACCTTGATCAAAAGCTCCTTTTTAATTATGTAATTTTAAAACCATAGGTTCTCTTGAACATTTTGCACGTAATGAAGACTTGAACATCAATAATTAAAAATATTCATTGATACTCCTTTTGTAATTTTACTCCAAAAATTATAAACATAACCTATCTAATTTTTTAAGTTTAAATTTAATTTTTTTATAATTTATTTTTAAAATTATTTTTATGTCAATTTTTCATGATATTGTAATGTACAAAAAATTTAAAATATTCCAAAAATTATGCTCCAAAAATAGTAAAAATCAAATTTTTCGTTCGGCTATTATTTTGTAAATATACAAAAATATTTTCTACAAAGTTACGCATGGATTTTAAAATCTAAGAATTTTTAGGAAAATTAATAATTCAAAAGGGGTCGAAATATTTTCTGGTCCATTTTATGCGGACATTGAATTTTGAAAAATTACCTCAAAAATAATTTTATGGAATATTTAAAATATTTACGACTTAGGAGAAAAAATATTTCTCTTTTTAAATTTATATAAACTTTTGCATAAAACATATTTCGCATAGTTTTTTTGATTTCAGTAATTTATAAAAGAAATATTTGTGAACAAAAAATTTTACTGTTTTTGTCAAAATAAATTCTTTTTTTTAATCATTGATCCTAAATGTCAACTTCGTTGACTTTTTTTATTATATTAACTTTTTCGTAAAAGTTAAATGTTACTTCTAATTTAATTTTGAAGCTAAAATAATAAATATTTTCTAACTATTTTTTCGTTCTTTCGTTTCAAAAAACGTTGCGGACTTCAGCCTCATACAAAATTTAATAAAAAGAAATTTACCATTACGTTCAAGAATAACGTTGATTGTTAAATTTTTCAATTCGACAGTGGAACGTAAAATAAAAATTGTAGTGTAGAAATTTCTAGAAATGCAAAAGGTTCTTGACCTCAAAATTTACTTGAGGGTTCTGTATATTACATTGTTCAAAAAAAAAAAAAATTGCCAATCTCAGAAACAGTACCAAGATGTAAGGAAAAAAATCGTACTCTTGGGATTTAAGAAAAAAAGCTTTCTTCTTATTACTTTTGTCATATATCTCTGTTATTACTTTTATTATTATACAGAGAAGAAAATCGATAAAAATAAAAGCTGAAATATATAATAAATGTTTGTTTAATCGATAAACATAACAACTAGAAGATAAATTCTGCATTCAATGTATATAAAAAATTATATTCATATCCTGGCTAATTTAAAATTAATTTAAAATAAAATGCATTTGATTTTTGTAATTAGATATAAGATTCTTAGAATCTTTGAAATGAAGATATATTATTTTGGTGTTCTAAGGAATATTTTTCTGACTAATTAGTTTTATACCCTTTGGTAAAGAAATGCAGAAAGTAATCTTCTTCAAAAGTCGAAAACTCCAGTTGTGATCTTTATTGTCTCTAATTTGCTCTTTCATTTAAAAAAATTTCTTTAAAAATACTTTATTTAAAATATTTTTTCAATATTTCTGTTATTAAAGACCGGAACATATTTTGACAAATTAAAATTTTAATAGCTCCACAAATAATTTAATATATTAATAGAATAATATTAATATTTCAGTATTTTAATACACGCCTATTTTTTATAAATAAATTAAAATATACATATATTGAAAATTAAAACACTGAAATTAATATTATTGTATGAATAAACTAAATTATTAATCTTAAAATTAATAATAATAATAATTACAAAAAACAATTTCAACAGAAAGAAAATGTTAAATAATTAATATATTTTTAATGTATGTGATGAAAAATCAAGTTTTATTTTTTAAAAACTAATTTTTATTTTTCTACATTTTCTACATAATTTTCTAAAAAAAATAGTTGTTTAAAAAACGAAACACATTTTTAAAAATACGAACCGAAGGAAAAAAGAAAACTTTTAACTGAAAATCTACTGTAATAGTGGATAATTATTTTTAATTTTTATGGAGTAAAAGTACACAAAGTTCTTCATAATATTGCACAATTATTTCTATCGAGTATAAATCTCATTGAAAATGGTAAAAGATAAAAGTACGAAAAAAACAGTGAAATAATACTTGCAAGGCAAGTGAGATAAAAAAATCTTTTTAATTTTAACTATTTTTTTTAAAGTAGTGATAACAGTGTATTTAATGCCTTTGATATCTTTCAATGCAGTTTGCGCATGCTGAATATTTCTAGTGACGTCATTATTTAAAAAATCAATTCTTCCCATTGGATGTTGTATGCTATACATCTGTTTTTACAATTAAATATGTATTGCGTTTAAAATATATATTTTTATTAAAAAAATTTTTCATTCATTTTTTTTTATTTTTTTTTTTTTATTCATTTTTTGAAAATATGAAATCTCTTCAATTTATTATTTGAACTACTAAAAATAATTAGTTTTAGAATACAAATTTTGAAGAAAATGTATGGAATTTTGAGATAAAAATCTATTCTCTTGCATAAGAAAATTTAATATAACGATTTTGAAGATATTTTCAAATAATAAGTTCCCGTGTTTTGATATTGTAGGGTACTGTCTTGTCGATTTGCTGTTGCAGAAGCTTGCGATTATCGAGACACAGGCGTCGCTAAAAACTTATAAAAGAAATTATATTTGAAACACTTTTAGAGTTTGAGTTTCTTTTTCAAAAATTTATTTATACATATAATGGTCATTTATAAAACGAAAGTAAGTAAAAAATTAACAATAATTATTATTGGAAAAATTGGTAATTTCGTCGAATCGAAATATTTATAAAAAATTTAGAAAATTACTTTTCAGTCGATATTTAATTGTCGAAATGAACCTTGCATTCCGTCGAGTTCCTTTGCAAGTAACGATTTGTGACTGGGCATTCGTAAATTTTCATCTGTCTTGCTGATTTTTTCGTCCCTTAAATACCAGTCTTTGTGCTTTTCAATTTTTCTGCACCATGCATCTAAAAATAATTTATTTTATTTTATTTTATAATAATATAACTGTACAAAGAAAAAAATAATTATTAAATAATTATTAAATAATTCTTAAATTATTACTAAATAATATTACTAAATAATTGCTAAAAAATAATACTAGAACAATTTTGAGCGAATTTAAAATATTATTTTTGAATTTCCGATAAAATATTTCAACTTAATAGACAAATAATACCGTTCAATTCTTCAAAAGTTCCAGCATTGCCTCCCCATTCATTTGGCAAAATTTCTTGCTCTACATATGGATATAAATCTTCTCCACCTCCAGTATGAATTCGAAACTATAAAATGATATTAAAGTCCGCAAAGGTTTTTAAAAATAATTAGATGATATTTATTATCGTGGCTTCAAATTTAAATTTTTGTAATTTAAACACTGGGGAAAATTTATTTGATTCAAATAAACGATTACTTGTTTATCAAATAAATATTTATACTTGAATCAAATAATTTTTATCTCGATCAAATAAATTGGGTTTGAACCAATAATTTCAGTATTTTAAGCAAATATAATCTAATTGACTTGGTCGAAAATTATTTGATGCAAATAATTATTTGATAATTACAAATCATTCGATAGTTGAAAAGTAATTGTTTATTTGAATCAAATAAATTTTTTTCCGTGTCTTCTAAGAAAAGGATAAATTAATAAAAATTTGTACATAAGATGAATTGAGATGAATTAATTTTTAATTTTTTTAAGTAGTTAATTAATTTTAGGAATTTTGTTGCTCATACCTTTTGAATTAATTTTTCCTTGAGCAGAGGGTAGAAAATGTTAAGAACACTTTCAATAAATGTCGGTGCGTGGAGGTAATGCACTCGGTGTAACCGAAAGGGCATGCTATCCTGTATGGCAAGCATTGCCCTTCGAACAATCGATTGTGTTGGACTGCACTTTGCAAAATGTCCTGCACTGAAACCCTGAACGTTGGTAATAAAAAGTAGAAGTATTTGTATATTTTTCTCATTCCATACTAGTTAATGTTTTAACCTTTCTCTCTTACTTTGAATTCAGTGATTATTTTGTTTACCTGAAAATGTTACGCGCGCTGACGAGCAAAACGCCGTGTTCTATTTTTTATTATTATTATGCAAATTGCAAATATTTTTATTTTCAAAGAATTAACTTTCAATGTTTAATTCTTTTAAATGAGAAAAATTTTTTCTTTAATTTCTTGAAAATTCAGGACTTAAAATTTGTTTAAATTCATTTCTTAATTAATATTAAGTAATTAATTATTGTTATTTATTATTCTCAAAAATTGTAATAAAATTTTCGAAAAAATTCAACTATTCTTAAAAATTTTAATACAATTCTTCGAAAGAATTAAATTGCGTTCTTAAATTTTTAATAAAATTCTTCGAAAGAATTAAATTGTTCTTAAAAATTTTGATAGAATTCTTTGAAAGAATTCAAGTATTTTCAGTACAATTTTAATTAACTTCCTCAAAAATAAATGACATTTATTAACCCTAGAAACTTCGATTATTATAAATAAATAAAATAAAATATTTTACATTAATAAAAATTAGTTTTTCTACAATAATTTAAAATAATTCTTAAAATAATTAATTTTAAAATTCAAAACACTCAAAAAGAAGAAAAAGTATGAAAACAATTAGGAAACAAAAACTAAACAGAAGCATTTAAACTTGGAATAGACATCTCTGAAATACAATTATTAAAATAAACTGAAAATATTATTTTATCTAAAAAAAACTTTAAAAATTCACCTCTAAATCAAGAACCATGATGTTCGACAATGAAGCTTCTTCCATTAAACGAAGATCCATTACCATTAAAATTCTCCGAGTTATTGCTTGCAGGGAAAATTTTTCCAATGCTTTGTTATTCAATCGTAGAATTGTTACTCTGTGCCCTTCTCGTGTCAGAGATGGTAAGAGAAAATATTGTCTGAAAATATTTTTAAGAATCGTATTATTTAAATATTAGTTAAAATCTATAGAGATATAATAAAAAAAAGTTATTTATACATACAAGAATTCATTTTAAAATGACTATTAGAATGACTATTAAAAATAAAATAAAAGTATTAAATAGTAAAAAAAATATTGAACAATAAAAAGTATAAAAATAGTATTTTACACAGATTTACAGCACTCTTGTATTTCCTTCGCCAAAGGATCTCTATTTGCGAAAAATTCCGGTAAAGCTGTTCGCGCACTGTAGTATCTTTCCAAAATTAATTTGCATCTTTCAATACTGTTCTTGCATCCGAAGAGGAAATTTTCTAGTCTTTTGTCATCTGAAACGAAACTTTTAAGTAAAATTTAAAAAGTTTTCACAGTCTTTTTTTTATATTTTATTTATCAAATATTGTATAATTTTAATTATGTGTAATAATTAAAGAAATTAGAGAAAATTATTTGTACTCAAATATTAAATTTTACCCATGTTTTTTGGTAGATGAGGTTGTTTGGCTAACCATTCTTTTATGGCAATTATGTCACGTTTTCTCATTTCGGGATCAGGTGGCAGTTCTTCGTCAATTCGCTTTTGTTGTTCCACAGTCGGGGGTAGAAGTGTCATTTTAAACTGAAATTGTAGAAATTGTTCTTAAACTTTCTCTTAATTGTTGAAAATAACTATGAATTTCGTGTCCAGCATAAATGCATATAATTATTTCATTTTATTTAGTTAAATATTTAATTTAAATATTAAAATAAAGATATTTTAAATTCGTAAATTTTACTAATAAATAATTATTTTTACTAATTTACATATTTGTAAAATTTACTAATTCAAAAACGAAATTTTATTTACTAATTCAAAAAAAAAAAAAATTAGTAAACATTTTTACTGATTCAAATTTAGAGAGTGGAAGTATAAAATATATGTTACAGAAAATAATTTCTCGTGTCTCTTTTTCACAATGACGATATTGCATAAAGAATATTATAAAATCATGTATTTACTTATTGAGTAAATACAAATTTACTTAATTCTGCAAATTCATTTTTCACAAGGTTCTTTTGTTCTCACATTAAAGTGCAAAGGATATCAATATTTACATTCATTACACAAGAACATTTTGTTTTATTCTTATTCTTATATATGTATAATATTTGTTGAAGAATAGAATTTAAATTCTTGCTCATTTTTTTTATCTTCTCCTACATTAAATATAAATATTTTTTTCGAATATTATATTTTTTCATAAAATAGAATTATATTTCTCATTTTCATACCATTACATACTTTTCAGGTTTTAATCCCTTAAAGTAATAGACGTTTAGTATTACAATCAGTTTTTTTATATTAGCGGGAATTTTATTATTTTCAGGGCTCGGATTGTATTTAGGACTCAAAAAAGTCGCTTTAGTCGCATAAATTCAAATTTAATAAAATTCATAGCAAAATTTTAATTAGGTATTTTTAACATTTTTTTAAAAATTCTCTTTAAAATGTAAATTGTTTATATAAATAATAAAATTCTTCTCCTAAATTCAATTATTTAAAAAAAAATTTAATAAAATTCTTGTCAAAATTTCAATTATTTTTATAAATAATAAAATTCTTCTCTGAAATTTAATTATTTGTAAAAATAATAATAAAATTCTTCGTAGAAATTTAATTATATTCAAAATTTTTTTTATATTTCTCGTCAAAATTTTATAAATAATAAAATTCATCATGGAAATTTAATTATTTTCAAAAGTTCTGATAAAATTCTTTACAAAATTCAATTATCTTCAAAAGTAAAAAAATTCTTCGCAGAAATTGAATTATTTTCAAATTTTTTTTTAAATTCTCCTCACAATTTCAATTATCTTTAGGTATAAATATCAAAATTCTTCTGCAAAATCCAATTATTTTTCAACATTTTAAAAAAAATCTGTTCAAAATTTCAATTATCTTTATGAATAATAAAATTCTTGTCAAAATTTTAATTATCTTTATAAATAATAAAATTCATCGTAGAAATTCAATTATTTTCAAAAGTAATAAAATTCTTCGCAGAAATTCAATTATTTAAAAATTTTTTTTTAAATTTCTCGTCAATGTCAAAATTAGCATTATCTTCATAAATAATAAAATTCATCATGGAAATTTAATTATTTTCAAAAGTTTCTGATAAAATTCTTTGCAAAATTCAATTATCTTCAAAAGTAAGAAAATTCTTTGCAGAAATTCAATTACATATTTTCAAAAATTTTTTTTTTAAATTCTCCTCAAAATTTCAATTATCTTTGTAAATATCAAAATTCTTCTGCAAAATTCAATTACTTACTAATGTTTTATAAATTTCTTCTCAATAATTCAATTATTTTCATAAAAATAAATAATATAAAAAAAAGTTTTTTATAAAGTTTTGTAATATAAAATAATGATTTTATCACTCGGTTATCTTTAATTAATTATTATAAAACATGAAGACATCGATTGCTCCGAGTCAAAGACTCGGAGTGATCGATTTCTTCATGTTTTATAACAATTTTTTATAACTTGTTTAATTTCAAAAAGGTTTGAATTTGAATCTTTTGAAGAATTTTATTTCCTATGGAAAAATAATAATTAAATATTTATTTAAAAATGAAGTTATTGATGTTTTCGAAAAATTTGAGAGAAAAAAAGTTGAAGAAAGTCACATTTCCTTAGAAAAGTTGAAAAAAGTCGAAAAAGTCACACAATCCGAGCCCTGTATTTTTAGAAAATTGATATAATTATTTTTTTTGTTAATAAAAATATAATTTAAATTTTTTCATTTTATTAAATTAAAATCGTCGTAACAAGTTTTAAAAATATAATTGTAAGCGGATTAATAAAACTCATATTTCAGGAATCTAACGAATGTTCATAATTTCCATATTTAAAAACTAGATCAGTGGAATATTTTTTTTAATAACATGTACAGACATTTAGTCAATAACACTTAACATTTTACGTTATGTGACTGCTTTCGACTCTCATTTCCTACATTAAGTGAATTTTACATGTTTTATCAAAATCGAAATTTATAATTAGTGAAATTAATCTGAAAAGTGTGTACTCTTTATAAATTTCATAATCAGAGAATTGGAAAGTTCTTGTCAACTCGAAACTAATAATTCAAATGTGCAGTGCTCAGTTGTTTCTTAAAAAAAATAATTTTGCAATCAATACGTTCCGCGCGTGTTTATTGGCAATGGACAAAAGAGAAATTACTTCTTTCTGTTTCATATGCATTTTGTTTACATTTTTTTTTCTTTCTACAATCGCGGATCAATTTTAGAAAGCATTTCGCTTGTTTCCAAAATTTACGTGTTTTGCAAGAAAAGTGTCTTATTGATTTTAGTTACTTATTTTTTTCTTTTTTATGGTAATTGTTTTTTTTATTATACTTTTATTATGCTTGCGGTATAAAAATTGATTATTTTATGAATAATATTTATCAAAATAGAAATATTTCAGTATATAAAGTTTTATTGTTTTCGTGTATACACATGCGAAAATTATGTTTCATTATTTACTTAATGACGTTATTTCCGGTAATATATACATACATAAAATACCATTTTAGGAACTAACTTCTAAATGAACATTGTAACTTTGAACATTTCGAACTTTGTGGAGTGACTTATTTTTCCTTTTGTGTCAAACTTGATGTCACGTGACTTAGCCTTCGAGATATAATTACAAATTAACCGGAGATATTACGAATAAAGTTTAGCAGTTCGTTATTCTTAAATAAAAATATTGGTTATCAGAAAATATAGTCGTTTTATAAATAATATTAATAATAAATTATTTGAAAATGTTTTTTATATTTTGACTTAGAAAATAAAAAAATCCCTATATTAAATTAGGGAAACTATGTTTAATTTTTTTCAAATTATTTCAAAATGTTTTTCGAATTTTTAATTAAAAAATAAGAAAAACTTTCTATTTTAAATTAGGGAAACTATCTTTGTTTAGTTTCTTACAAAACACGTAGATTTTTAAAACATTCTTATAATTATAAAATTAATAAAAAAGTTAACAAAAAAATTAGTTATAATCTTTTTTAAATTAATATTATTTTAAATATTTATTTATTATAATAATCCTAATTAATAAATTAGGATTATTAATCTTTACATTTTTTAAATGTAGGTAATTACTCTAATGATTTATTAAATAATTCGGAAAATTGAATGAAAAAAAAAATACTCTTTAGGAATTCTGATGAAAAATGTAATATTTTTGTTCTTTATAGTTTTTTTGTTTTCATAGTAGTTTTTAAAATACTTACTTTAAATGTGAAAAAATTAACTTTAAATTATCCAAAGGAAATCGCACCGGTTCTTGATACCACTTCTATCGCGACTCTGACTTGAGATTCGAATGAGCCCTCCACGAGTGCCCCCCACACATGTAATAAGTCCCATTCTTAAACATCGAAACCGTTTAGAAAGGTTTTAAAAAAAATTGCTTTTTCAGAAATATTTGCTAATTTCTTCAGTCTTTCTAATTATTGTTCTTTGAAGGTTGGACAAATTTAATGATTTCCTTCATATGTGACAAAAGAAATAATAAAAAAAATAAAAAAAAAAATAAACAATATTCTAATTTATAGAAATAGTTAATAAATAATGTTTCTACGCTTATGTTAAGTTGTATTTTATTTTCATAATCATCGTCACACTGAATGTGTTGGCGGGTATAAATTTCTAGGTTGATCTCTTTTTAATTGCTAATAATAATTATTGTGTTACAACAGATTTAAAGATTTTTTTCTATCTCAAGCAAAAAACGTTTGATATTAGTTATAGTCTTTCTTCAGTTTTGTGGAAATTGGAAATTTTTTAAAAAGAAAATATTTTTCTTCAATTAATAATATAATAATAATAATAAATAATGGATTAATAATATAAATAATTGAATGAAAAGACTAAAAACTATCATTTGTGACAAATTGTGTTAATTATTTTCAATTTTAATTCTAATGGATTACAAGAATTTAATGAAGGACTAATCGATTCCTATGGTAAATACTAAATAATACGTAACTTCTGACTGTTTTTTTGCATTTTATTGATTTCTTTGATAATTTCATTTTTACAGTGAATTATCACTGATAATTTAATTCACTGAGAAAATGTCAATAATAAATAAAAATAGGGGATTTTCAAGAAATTTTCAATAATTAGTTCTGTTTGTCAATGGTATATAAATTTCATAAGATTCACAAATCAGAAATAAAGTGTATATACTTAGAGGAACTGCAATAATAGTAAAATAAAAATTTTTTTAATGTCACATAATAATTCTATGCATTTGTAATTAGCAAATGTCACAATCTTCATTTACAAATTTTGCTCGAGTCTCAATCTCTAAAAAAAAAATTTACTTTTTCGTTTCATTATTAATAACTATTGAGTATTATTTTTGGTATTTTAAAAACAAATTTTTTAAAACATAAATTTTCGTATAAATTTAGTTAAGAAAGTTACTAGGTAACGATTTTTTTATTTTTATTACAATTATACATATGTATAGTTTGAATAATAGGTAAATAATATTTACCACCTTCAGATCACTAATGTAACAAATTTTGTATAATAATAAGAGGTTAAGTTTTAAATCATGTAGGTAAATATGAAAATAAAATTTAAAATTCCCTTGAAAAAAGTTAGTTACATTTAAAATATGAAATTGTCAACAAATCCAGAATGGTAGAAGGGTTTACAATTTGCAACACATTATGCATAACATGCATTTGGTGCAGCCTACTGTTTTCATTTTGGTATAAATATTTTTTATTCTAAAAATTTTTATTATAAAATCATTATTAAATTCATACTACTTTTATTTACTCTAGCATATATGATTTAATTTAAATGAAAAAGTATTTATTGCTCTAGTTTTCCAAGGATTATACATAAATTGCAAAGAACCAGTTCCAGCGAATTGTGTTTTCAAAGAATGAAATGTCAGAAAGATGTAGCAAAAATTTTGAAACGCTGTAAATCAAGGGATAATTTAAAATCCTCTTCGGGAAGTGAACATTTTAAAAATTGTGAGAAACAGGAGATGAAAAAATTCCCAGTCGAAGCAAAATTATCCTCAAATAATCAAATAAAAAATATGAAGAGAAATGGGACAAGTACTTGTGATGTTGAAAATTTAAAAGTTTCTAATGCCGAAATTATTTATAATAATAAGAGAGAAGAAGAAAATTTGAAAAACAATTTACGAGGGAAATATAAATTATACGTGAAATTGACAAAGCAGCCGAATAATTCTAATGAAAGATTGTTGCACTTAAAATGCAAATGTCAAAATGATTTGGTAAAATCTTTGTCTTCATCTGTGAGTGATTTCAATTTGGGAAAAACGAAAAAAGTGTACTAAACACTTATTGAGCATTGTGTATTTATTTTCTTATTTCAAAAATATATCTTGTTATTTAAAATCGTTATTATATAGTTTCTAAAAAAGTTTTTTGAATCAATAGCTTTCTACCCGAGTTGTCTGCAAAGCACAATTTCGACTCTTTTCGATTTTGAAAAAAAATTGTTACAATAAATAAATCTTCAATAAATTATTATAATTTCTGAGTTACGCGTGTGTAGATTGAAATGCCTACATACAGGAGTTTAGTTGGCAAGGAAGGAATTTTCAGTTTAAAATTCATCCAACTGAAATTCAGATTCAAAAAAATTATTTTTAACTTCTCGTAAATTACACTAGCAACAAATTTGTAATTTAAGCAAACAATAAAAGCTTTTTGCTATGTTTTTTGAAATTTCTGCATCGTGAAAGAAAATCAAATGACGAACGTTTTTTATTTACTTTGACAAGTGTCACTTATGTATAAAATATATTTTTTTAATATGCTCTTTAATTTCGCAATTTTATATTAATTTTTACTATTTTTAACTGGAAAAATTTTATTTGTATTGAAATTTTCTTGAAACTGGAAATTGTTTAAAAAATACGAATTGCGACAATATTCAAGTTTATAGTCATGATTGAATGGATCGGAATAATTTGTTGCAGTTCCCTTATTTCTTGTGTGTGTTCTCTCTTAACCACATCTATTGTAAGTAAATTCAATTTTATAGTTGAGTAGAAATAATAATTAAATAAAAAATAAATTAAATAAAAGTAATAAAGAAATAAATAAAATTTAAATAATAAATATAATTTTCTTACTTTATCACTCGGTAGTATTAATTATAAATAAAACTTTGAGGTTATCAAAAACTTAAATAAAAAGTTAAATAAAAATAAACAGAAAATTTTTCGAAAACATTTTTTAATGAAATTTTTAAACCGATTTATTAAACACAAACGAAAATTTGTTTCACAGTGTTTAACTGTTACTGGTGGAAATTTGCGAATCAGATCAAAAAAACCTGCTAAAGAGAAAAGTCAAGATGCAATTCTAAATAGTTCCCAAATTTCTGAAACATCGAAAACATATAAAATGAATAATAATTCTCAAAAACAGATGAGTCAATCGAATATTGTACCTCCAAGTAAACAGAGTTTGGAAAAAAAGCAATCAATGGAATTTCAAGAAAAAAGTGTCGAACATTTAAAAAAAATTGAAAATCTATCCAAAAAAGATATTTCCAATAATTCTGCAAGTAAATATTCAACGACTGCAGTCTCAGTTTGCTGTAATATGCCCACGGAAGCAGAAATTCAAAAAATCATTGACGAATTTAATACCCTATTTCGTCAGTACAATGAAATAATTTCGAAAAATCCAAAACAAGATATTCAAAACACACAGTCTGCTGCTAAATTTCAAGAAACAAAATTAGATCAAATAAATGTTGGAGTTATGACTGAACACGATAATCGTGAATTATTAATGGGTTATAAAACAAATTCAAAAATTCGAAAATGCAAATGCACCACAGTGAGAAGACATTCAAGTAGTCAAAGTGTAAAAACGGAAAAAAGTTGTATTTGCAATTTTCGAAGGAGTAAGAGTGACGTATGCATGAGAAAAGCTCCAAGTTTAAGAAGTATTAATAATTCAAAACATTTCCTAAAATCGTCGAGGTACTCAAAGCAATATGTTAATTCAAAACCAAATTGGATTTCGAAAACAATGAGAAAATTCAAATCGAAGGATGAACGAAAATAAATTAAATGTTTCATTTCTTGTCAAATCTAAAGAAAACTTGTTTGTTTATTTAGTTATTAAACTTAAATACCAAAAGGGTAAAAATTCACCGATTCCTACCCTTAAAAACATTATTTTCCGCCCAATTTTATTAATTTTTTTGGTTTACTTTGTTATTTTGTTATTTTTATCAATATCAACTCAGGTTTCAGGAAATTAAAAAATTATTATATGGTAGTTTTGTAAAAAACTAAAAAGCATCGTTTATACGAAATTGAAAGCTGTCACAACATAGTTAAATATTTTTTTTATCCCAAACATAATTCTCTGCGGGAACTCAAAATTATATGAGAGAACTCCCAAGAAGTCCCTAGCATACGGGAAAAGTACATTCAATATTTCAATTCCTATATAATCGGCACAAAAATAAATATAATTCTATCAAAAGTTTCTTTCTTAAAATTTTGTATGAAAAAGACTTATTATATAAAATTATATATAAATCAGCAAATATTATCATTGAAATCAAAGATTGTCGATTGTTACAATAGAGAATAAGATTTGAATTAGGGACTGACTTTTTGCTTTTGAATTAGTAAATTTTAATAATTTATTAAACGACTATTTGTTAGTAAAATTTACAAATTCAAAAGTAGAAAAGTAAATTTAACTATAATTAATTAAATTACTATTTATTAGTAAAATTTATTAATTAGAAAGAAAAAAAGTAAATTTTACTAATAACTAATAAATAGCAATTTAAAATTAGCAAAATTTACTTTTTTGCACTATAAATATTCTTAGTAAAATTTACTAAATCAGAAGCAAAAAATGAGTCACTAATTTAAATTAGTCTGCTAACCGAGAAATCCGGGAAATATCCGGGAAGAAACTGGGAATAAGCCAAGAATTTTATGCCAAACCGGGAACTTTTTCACCAAATTAAAAAAAGTTTTATTATATTAATTTGTTTTTAAAAAATCGCTTTTTATCAGATTTTAATTTTTAAAGATTTATACAGTTCTCTAAATTTGAATTCGTTAAAAATAATTAATTTGATAACAAAAAAATCAGACACTGATTCAAAAATAGTATGTAAATAAATTTTTTAAAAAATTATCGAATAAATAGAAATTTTATGAAATTCAACTGAAAAGAATTAAATTTGTTAAAAAAATTCCATTAAAAACTTTTTAACAAATCGAATTTTCAGAGTATTTTAATTTAATAATTGATAAATAATTGGATTTTAAGAAGAGACACATTCTTTATTCATGTCCCTTAGTGCGAAGATTAATAATTAAAATTTTTATTAGTTAATTTAAAAAAAGATACACACTTAAATTTTTTAATAAAATTGAATTTTTGCAAAGTTTTCTTAAAAATTCTGAAAAATAAGATTTTTGAAATTTTTTAATTTTATTGTTTCAAGATAATTGAATTTTTATAAACAAATAATTGAAAATTTTTGAAATTTCTTAACATTCTATTAAAAATAATTGAATTCTTTTAAAGAATTTTATTTAAATTTTTTGAAAATAATCAAGAGAAGTTAGTCACCGTAATTATAATTTTATTTTTAAAATATAAAGTACCTCTTAAATTTTTAAATCAATTTTTTGCTTCTAAAAATTATATTATGTTATTATTCATTAATTATTATAATTATTGAACTTCTCTTAAATTTTTATAATTTTAAATTTCTGAATGTTCAAATAAATGATATTTATTTATTTCTTGAGTAAATTTAATTTGTATTACTTATTAAGTAGATAATTAATTATTTCTGCTTTTTATTTTCAAAAATTGTAATAAATTTCTTCGCAAGAATTCAATTATTTTCATAAATAATAATATTCTTTGGAAGGATTCAATTACTTTTACAAATAGTAAAATTCTTTGCAGAAATTCAATTATTATCAATACAATTTTAATAAAATCAAATAATAAAATTTACAATTATAATTATGAATAGACAAGATTATTTTAAAAAATTGAAAAAATTCTTTATTTAATTCAATTATTTTTTAAATTTTTAATTAAAATTATTTAAAAAGCATTATTTTTAAAAAATTTAAAGAAACTCGTCAAAAGTATTTAATTATTCATAAAATTTTTGAATCCATTTGTAGATTTATTTAAATGTTTGAAATAAAATAAATTTAAATTTGATGGGAATAAAACCGGGAAAAATTAGGACTAATAAAATAAATTTTACTAGTTAAAATGCAGAGAGTAAAAGTCAGATAAATGGTATATTTCAAGTAACAATTAGAATTTAAGAATGACAATTTTGAAGAATAATTTAATAAGAATTTCTAAATATGTGAGACCTTGAAAAAAAGTCCATAAAATTTGAAAATATAGCCGAATATGAATTGATCCACGTTTATATCTTGAAAATACACCCATAAGAATAAGAGCCAGCGGTTTTCTCGAATAAAACGTTGCGGTTTTTGTTACGTTTACATTGGCCGTTTTCGGCACTCGCCCCGGGTTAACTCCCGGTTAACGGTGATTGGTTAGATCCAACAGAATGTTTTTGATGATTGGATAATTGTTAACTCGGGGTTAACCCTGGGTGAAAGCCGAAAACAGCCATTGATATTCTTCGATTTCATTCAAGACACGAATCGAGTCATTAATAATATTATATGACACAAAGTGGTTGGAGAAATAAATCAGCGAGATAGGTGGTCCACCACAATATAAAAGGGACAATATAGAAGTGGTTTCATTCCAATTCATATATGCTCAATTCGACTTGCTGTATTCATAATAATAATCACAATAATAATAATCACATTGCATCACAGATGCGAAACCTATCTTTCCGAATTTCATTGCTCTTATTGTTATCCGCATTATTAGCATCGGCGACGTCATTAGTATTCACCTTTATAGGAAAAATTTGAATCCCCGCTGAGATGTATGTATGCAGGTCTTGGGGGGACTTCCTGGTTCATAAACTCGGTTAGTTGGTCCCCAGTTACCTGTCAACAAATATCCTGCGAGTCCTGACCGATATATTCAATAAAACTGATGATTGCGATCATAAACATCAGTGAACAATCGGATCTTCTTTTTGTATTCGAATATAATCGCATTTTGAAAACTACTCTCTGAAAAAAGATTTTGTTAATAGAAATTAGTATTTCTAATTTAAAAAAAGTTTTGCTTTCGAATTAGTCAATTTCACTAATATCAGTAGAAATCTGAATCATAATCTACATCCACAAGAATAATCAGCACTTCCTAAACTACACAGTCCTTTTTTGAGTAACTGAAGACTATCAGTTTTTTTACCGATTAAAACGAGAGATTTCGAAAATAAAAAAATCTCCTTGCATTTTCTAATCGCCCTCATATATATTTAACACAAATCGTAAATCATTTGTGAATTTTTAAAGATTTTTAGTAAAACGCCCAACCAATTCGAGAAGTTGTGTATATGATAAATTCAGTAGGGGTACCTACAATATGATATTGCGGTCACTTGTCGTCCCCCATTGTAAACAACCACAGAGTCTAGAAGTTCTTTACGACATGTGAAAAAGAAAAATGTGATGGTTTCCTCCTACTGTTCGATTATCTCATGTCACGCTATTTTTTCAACATAAAAAGCGTAACTCTTGAATACTTAAATTTATTGGCGTCGCATTGTCACCCGTGTTAGGCCACACAGATTTTTATGAACTCCCACGATATTCACTCAATAATCAGTACCTTTTTTTCATTTTATAAATATATTTCGCGTTATTGATTCAACTGCAATTTTTCTAACCCTCACTCATTGAAAGAACATATCATCTATTGTCACGCTTATTCTTCTTATACACTATAGTCCAATTTTATTTTTTATTCTCAATCGCAGCGTGTGAAAAAATAAAAAAAGTACGCATGGGTTAGAATTTGTAGCACAATTGTATATTTATTTACATATCAATATATACAACTAGAAGTAAAATTTATGTACAATTATTATAGTAGATTACAGTATATTAGATTAAACATTTTTCCTAATTTTTGTTTTAGTGAAAAATTATAGCCTATTCAGAAATAATAGAAATTTTTACTAATTTTAATTACTAGAGGACTTATCATTAATTAACTGAATAAACTATGAAAATGTTATACATTCGCGCGTACAATCATAAAAATCAGTTTTTAATTTCCCTAATTGCTTGACTATACCGATGTGCTCTCTATTCATATGGAAATAGGAATCATGAACACTTTTATTTAAATAATTCGAATTTTCAAAATGAAAGATATTTGTATTTAAAGTAAAAGTCTCGAGAAAGAATTCAGCTTTCCTTATTTTATCGCTGAGACAATCATTTGCACTCAAGTAAAAAGTATGATTTTTCAAGCAATTTGAAGCAGTTTCATTAAATTCTAAGTCTAAGTCCAGTAAAACTTCTTCTCCAGTCTAAAAATGCAAAAATATTAAAATATTATTATAATTATATATACATATTATTATAATTATTTATGTATATTAATACGCTACCTTATTGAACTTAGTCAGCTGACTTTTCTGTATTATATTCTCAGTAATGTTATTTGCCGTTGCTAACAAGGTTCTATTGTTTGTATCAATTAATTGGTATACAGTAGCTAAAGCATTATTTCTACAGAAACTTGTATCGTTACAATTTTCCGTGTTCCTTATCATCTGTAGAAAAGTAAAAATTATTTTTTAAAAAATCGGCCTTTTTTTCAAAAATTTTTCATCTTTTGAGAAAAATTAAATTTAAATCAATTTTAATCGAGTTAAGTATTTTTCTCTTAATTTTCGATAAAAAATACATTATCTTTATACAAAGTTTCAGAAAAATTCTTTCAAATGGATATAAATTTGAGGAAAATCATCAAATTTTGAACCGAATCGGTCGAGTAAAAATTTTTTGTTTCAAGAAATGTAATTTTGCCAAAAAGCGAGACTGTTTAGGGTTCTTTCTTATACAAACGGAACCGTAAAAAGAATGTATAATATAAATTGAAAATTGATTATAATTAATAAAAACGTTACATACATGAAGTTTACCGCTTTCTCTAAGTCCTAAAACCACCATTCCATCTGTTAAAAATTTTGCCAAATTATGCATTTCCTTATAAGCATAATTATATTCCTGTTGCAAATGTGCAGTCAAATTTTCATTCCTTTTTTTCACCATGTATCGTAAGTCACTCAATCTTTTCAATTTGACAACATCAACTGCTTCTTCCGATAATATAAAATGTACCTAAATATTACATAAAAACACTTCATTAAGTATAAAAAAAAAAAATATTTCACAAAAATTTAACATTAAATTAACCCAGAAAATATAAATGAAATCCTCCCCCTTTTTTGAAAATAGAAACATTATACTTACTTGTAAAGCACAAAATATTAAAACGATTGATGGAAATAAAAACTTCATCGTTAAATCGAAAAAAATTACATCAATTGCAAAAACTGTATAATACTATTTGAATTTTTTTAAACCTTCGTTTTATATATATGTGACCGAAGTTGATAAAATGAAGTTTACACAGAATTTAGTTTATAGATGACAAATATTAACTTTAAGAATTAATTACAAAAATCTATAATATTAATATTGTTGACAGAAAAATCTGTGATATAATAATGTAGCATTCCAACATAGTGTGTATAGTCTTCTTAGAAAAATTTTATATCAGTAACAAATGATGTGTAAAAGATGATTTTTAATTTTTTACAAAATAGGTCATGTGTTAAATTTTCATAATTTGTAGTTTTTTTTGTTGTGTATTTCCTAATAAATTATAAAAACATAGCTATGAAGGTACCTATTTAAACAGGTGTCCGAAATATCGTGCGTCTTCTAATATATCACTATAATGAATTTTTAATTTTTAATTTTTAATGAAATCATTATTGTGAAATTGCTTATTCATTATTCAGATTTTAACTATAGTAGTCTACGTACTATTTATATCGAACATTTTTTAAATAAGTAAATGTTGCGAAAAAGTTTTTAAAAAATAACTAATTTTTTCATAGAATAAAATCTGATGTGTTCTTTTAGTCAAGTTCAATGAATGTAGTTATTAAATTTTTATTAATTATTAAATAAAATAAAATCAATATTTCAATTTATGATATTTTTATTGTTTAAAACATACTTAAAATAAAATGAAAAGAGTATTTTATTCTTTTAGTTTAGAAAATTTTAGTTAAATGTATACTTATTTAACAACACTTATGAAAAAGGTTCAAAATTTGTGACGAGTTTCCAAAAAAGGTACCTGAGAGACAAATGAATTACAGGTTATGTTTGTGTTAGATTTTTTCTGGATTAAATGTTTCTTTTTAATTATGTAAATTAGAAATAAGTTTCTATTGAATATTTTGGATCCAACGAAGACTGGAATTTTTTGCTTCTTTTTTTCTTGGAAGCGCATCACATTTATAGTTTTCTTTTTTAAATCTAAGAATTTGTTTATTAAATGAATAGTTTTAAATACGTACAGGAAAAATATAAAATAAAAAAATATAATATTAAAAACAAAATAATTTATAAATATACTTTTTAAAAATATAAAAGATCAAAAGATTTAAAAGAGCTTCATACTTAATAGAATAATAATTGTGTTATTATTCTAATAATAAAATATGGACTGACTAAATAGTTCAATAATAGTTTAATATAGTAATCTATATTTATGTATGAAACTTATCTATGGTTAAAAATAATATCCAAATATTGCGATTTATTATTAAGTGCGAATTTCAGAAATTCAATATCTTCAGTAGTAAATTTTTTATAATATCTCGTCACTATAAAATAATTTCACAATAATTAATCAAACAAAAGTCATCTTTTTATTAGAAAGGTATTTATTAAAATTTACTTTTAAAGATTATGCGCTATCTAGATAAATGCGTTGATAAACATTGTGTAACGTTTAAGTCAATTTTTAAAGTGTTGACTTTTTTTAATTTTTCGTATATCTCTTATTTGCCATATTACATAAATTTATCTTTGATAGTATAATAACTGTTAATATTTACTCTATTTTTATGTTATGTAATTTAAAAATTTTAATCCTGTGTCTTAAATTTAATTGAAGGTAATCAAAATTTATTGAAATTAAAATAATTTTAATCGGGTTAATTCAGATATCAAGTACAGACTGTATTTTAATTTTGAACGCAGATGTGTGTTAAAACTGATGAAATGATGAAAATAATTTTCGAAAATTTTCTAAAAGAATTCAATTATTTGAAAAAAATTTGAATGAAATTCTATTCAAACATTTTATTATTAAATTCTTCGTAATAATTCAATTATTTTGGTAAATAATAAAATTTTTTACAGAGATTCAATTATTTTTATAAATATAATAAAACTCGTCAATTTTAATCGAATTCTTCGAAAAATTAAGAAAATCCTGATTAAAATTTCAATTATTCTTATAAATAATAAAATTCTTCTCCGAAATTCAATTACATTTTCAAAAATTTCCTTAATTCAATGACTTTCAATAATATTATTTTAATAAAATTTTCCAAAATAATTCAGTTATTGAAAAAAAAATTTGATAAAATTCTACGCAAACATTTCATTATTTTCATAAAATAATAAAAATTTCACATAAAATTCTTTATAAGCAAGAATTCAATTTTAAGAAAACATTCATGTATATTCAATAAATTATTTTTTTTTATATTTAAATAATTGAATTCAAAAATTTTAAAAAAATTTCGTCCAAATTTTAATTATTAGCATTAATAATAATATTAAAAATTCTTCTTCGAAATTCAATTATTTTCAAAAATTCTAATAAAATTCTTGGCAAAAAATTTCAACTACATATTTTTAAAAATTTTCTTCAATTTAATAATTTTCAATATTTTCTATTTTAATAAGATTTTTCAAAGATGTCAATTATTTTAAAAAAATTTAATAAAATTTTATGCAAACATATAAATGTTTTCATAAATAATAAAAATTCCAGAGGACTTCAATTATTTACAAATTTTTTATAAATTTCTTCGCAGTAATTCAATTATTTTCATAATAATAATAATTTCATTGCTGAATTGCAATTATTTTTAATAAAATTTTAATCGAATTTCTCGAAAATTTCAATTATTTTCAAAAATATTATTCAATTCAATGATTTTCAATATTATTATACTATTTTAGTAAAATTTTACAAAGAATTTAATTACTTATAAGAATTTTATAAATTTTTTAGCAATAATTCAATTACTTTCAATACTTTCATAAAGTATTAATAAAATTTTTAAAAGAATTCAATTATTTAAAAATTTTTTTTATAAATTTCTTTGAAAAGATTTAACTATTTCCATAAATAATAAAATTTCCGCAGGAATTCAATAATTTAAAAATTAAAACACAATTTTCATGAAATATTTCAAAATAAAACAATTATTTAGAAAGGTTTTTATAAAATTCTTCGGCAAAATTCAATTACATATTTAAAAAAAACTTTTTCTGAGGAATTTAATTATTCTGGATAATTTTGTTAGAATTTATATATTAGAATATTTAATAATTATTTTTAATAGGGTAATGTCACCTTGAGTGGACCGCCTAAGCTTTTTTTCTAAAAAATTCTTTATGACAGCAAATTAATCGGAGGTTTCTATTCCAAGCTTTAGTTTAGATCCCTAGATAAGTGTTTATACCATAATAGCTTTGATTTTTTTTTATTTGGGAAAAACAATTGACTTTAAAAAAATAGCTCATTTTTAAGGAATGAAAAAAGTGTAACCTTGAGTGGACCACTCTTAAAAAATTGTAAAAGTTATTCTAAATTCTTTAATGTTTTTAATATTTCTGATATATTGAAACAAAATTTATGCTTATGCAGCTTCAGACCATGTTTGTGTCGCAATGTTTACAAGTGTAAATGTTTACATTTTCAATAATTTTGGCACATATCACATCAAAATCACAAAAAAATTAATAAGTAACATAAAACAGTTTCAAACCAATTTATTGTCAATTTATTTCCATAAAAATGGTAAACTGACATTAAAAATATAAAAAACAGGCAGTCCACTCATGGTGACATGCAACTTTTTATGGCAGAAACAAAAATTTTTTTTTGAGTCAAAATTATCACTTAATTAAACTAAGACAATCAATTTCAATGTCCAAAGTAGTAGGAAAAAAATAAGTTACCTTTTAAAACTTAAATTTTACACTACTTTTACACTTCCGAATCACTTTACTCATTGTAAGATCGACTTCTTTTTTGGTTTGTGTTCTTAAAAATGCGTTACATCAAACGATAACGTATATATGATTATCGCGGAACATAAATATTCTTCCGGATTCTAGGTGCGGTGCTGCTATTCGTTTTATTTATTTCACGTTTCCGCTGTCAGATAACTTAAAAACTCAGGTGGTCCACTCAAAGTGGCGGTCCACTCAATGTGACATTACCCTACATTTTTAATTAAATTTCTTTTAAAAAAAATTTTATATTATATTCAAAAATAATAAAATTCTTCGTAACAATTCAATTATTTTCAAACAATTTTAATAATATTCTTGTAGAAATTTAGTTAATTTCAAAAATTTGTCGAAATTCAATTATTTTCAACATTTACTTACTATTTAAATAAAATTTCGCAAAAACATTCAATTATTGAAAAAAAAAATGTTAATAGAATTTTACACAAATATTTAATTACTTTCATAAATAATTAAAATTCCATAGGAATTTAATTATTTACAAATTTTTTTATAAATTTCTTCGCAGAATTTCAATTATATTTTTAATACAATTTTAATCAAATTTCTTGAAAAATATAATTTTATTCTTAAAGATTTCCCTTAAAATTCGTCAAAAGAATTCAATTATTCAGTATTTTTTTTTTATTTATTTGCATTTTATTTGTATTTAAATAATTGAATTTTTCTAGTATTTTATAATAAAAAATTGATTTAAAAATGAATTTCAGTTGAAATTTTAGATAATGATTTTATCACTCGGTCATGTTTTATAGGTAATATATATATTCTCATCAGTTGTTGAATTTCAAGAGCAGGGTTAAAAAATTTGAATCTTTTGAAGAATTTTAATTTCTATGTAAAAATAATATTTATTTTAAATAAGACTATTGATGTTTTCGAATAATTTAACAATTAAAGAATTCGTAGGTTCATGTAATAGAACATTCTTTTAGTACCTAATATCTAATAATTTTTAGAGTGAATCAGAATATTCTGTAAGGTTAGGAAAAAAAAAAATTTTGTCTGGAAATCAGGAAAAAACAAAATTAAAATTTTTATGGCAACCCTGTTTTTGGTATACGGTATACTCACGGTTTTACCCCACTTTCTCTATTGTATACGAATATCCTTGATTTCATAAAAAGATAAAAATAAATTGTCATTTGCAGCAAAGAAACCATTTTTTTTTCTATAATCATTTTGTTAATGATTTGATATTTGATTTTTCTTTGATATAAATATGAATAATGAAATGTGCATCTTGCATATATTGCTTTTGAGAAATCTGAATATTCAGTTTTCTTTAAAAAGGCCAAACTCACAATTTACCGAGAAATTTACGATCGAATGGTAAATGACAGTGATTACTGGATGACTAGGATAAAATATTCTCTCGGGACATTAGGTTTCATCAATCGTATATATATATATATATATGTGTGCCCATATATATTCATTCAGAACTACAACCGTGGCAGAGAGCTATTACTGCAAGAATTTCATTCAGGACTTTTCAGTGGCGAAAGGTTAGTCGCACTCAAAGGGCGGGGATGCTTTTCCTCAATGAAAAATACTCCCACTTTTGACTTTGTGCAAATTGCCATTCATTTTACTGAGATCTTCAGGTTTTCAAGCATATTTATTATAAAGGTTGTATACGTTTTTATTGGCTTCTCAACACTTATAGTAGAGGTGAAAATACTTCTCCCTTTTTTTTCCAGGTGATCGCTATTGAGAAAATGCAAAGCAGGTACTCTCTTCGGGAAGGAAAATTTCCAACATTGAAGTAGTATGGAAATGAATGAGTCAATAATAATAACATTAATAGTATAATTTACTTTGTATTTTTGGCTACTTTTTCTTTTTACGATTTTTTACTTTTCCTTTTGGGGTTTTTTTCTTTTTTTTCGATTTTTCTTCAACAGGTGGCACTTCTTCTTTTTGTGGGAATGATTCTTTTGGTGGTAACGAAAGTGGAGGAGGGGGAGGTGTAGGAGGAGGGGGTGTTGGTGGTTTTGGAGTGCGAAGTTCAACTTCGATATTTCTTTTCGCTTGATTAAAAGTGTCGTCCTTTTTCTTCACTCTCAGAAGAAATATATTTTGATTTCCTTCTGTTATGTGATCGTTGAACACTTCCTGAACTCCAACGCCGCCTAGTTGAGGATGTACTGTTATTGTTTTGCAATCACTGCTTCCGTATTGTCCGTCACTTGGCGGTCCAACCTTATTTGAAATGTAAAGCAAAATTTAATTAATTTTAAAAAGTTTAATAAAATTTTTAATAGAATCTCAATTATATAAAAAAATTTTAAAGATTTTCAGTAAACGCCCAACCAAATAAGAAAATTGCGTAAAATACTAAAAACACAAAATACAACACAAAATATTTTAATGTTATAAATAAAAAATTAAAATACCTTGTAGGCAATAGCTTGGGGCTTGTAATTCGATTCATCTTTGAGGTTCACATGATTTTTCGAATGAATTCGAAATAAAATTTGATTATTGTCTCCGGCATTGACAATTTTTGGACCCTCTTTTCTGGTTGGTCTTTTAATTTCAACCATGTCGCAGTCGCACTCAGGTTCCCAGGTACTTTCTTTCTTCTTGCTCTTCTTCTTCTCTTTTTCTACTCTTATCGTTAGAAAATTTCCCAACATTTCTGCGCCGATTTCGTGAAAATATTTCCGTGGTTTTTTAATTTCTAATGATTTGGAAAGATCTTCCTCCAAAGAAGGAGACATTTTGGAATAACAAGCTGTAATCAAATTGCAAATATTTTAAAATTATATTTCGAAAATGTTGTGGTTCAAAATTTGAAACTTACATGATTGTTCAGTATTCTGCATTATTTTTTTCCAGAAATTGAGAAAAAGTTATTTTTATAATTAAAAATTTAATTTAGTTTTTTAATTTTATTTTAATTAAATAATTTAATAATTTATTAATTTAATGTTTGAAAATTAAATAATTTAAACTTGACACTCTGTAATTTTTCTTCATGATTGGTTACAAACATTTGACTGTCTTTGAAAAACACTTAAAAATTAGTACATACAATTTAGAATTAAATCGGTTTCAAATTAATTCATTAAAATGTAAACAAAAAATTTTTCGTCAGCATAAAATTATAATTTATGGTCAAATTTCAAAAACTTCTAAATTTAACTCTTTGAAATGATTGCTCCTGCAAGAAACTGCGGTTGTGAGGATAAATCAGGTTTACTTTTTACTAATCTAACCTAGTTTCTGTAAACAATACGTATTAAATGAAAAGAAATTTTATTAAACATTTAAAATATTTTAATCTTTAAATTTTCCTGTATAGAATTTAAAATTCCTAAAAATATTACCAACTCTTGCCATCAATTAATTCCTTCTGATGATTCAATTCAAGACTCGGAAAAGTGTGTCTGTCCAAAAAAGAGTGAAGCAGGTTATCAAAAATTAAAAGGTACTTGTGACATCTATTGTGAAGGAAATAAAAAACCAGGAAATGATTGCACAAACGAAGATGTAATCGAAGAAGAAAAGAAAAGTAAAGTTTTTTCCGAAATAGTCGAAAAAGGTACAAAGAAACCAGTTTTTACAAAAATCTTTTTTGTTCCTGAGCTTTAAGATTTGTTTAATTGTTTTTAAGATTTTAAAAAAAAATTTTTTTTACTTAGGTTTGCCCTATAAAGAAACCGAAATAATTATAAACGACAATCGAATGATAATTCGTGTGCAAAAGGATCCAAAAGCAAAAAAGGAAGAATGGGATCCGCCCTGTGACTGTGACGAAGAAAATAAACCAATAAAAAAACCGAGAAATGACATAACTTTTCGAAAAGTCGACTTAAATCCTTGTCGTACAATCACAGTTTATCCTCAACCAGATTCTGAAGATGTTGACAAATCAAAAAATGAATTGGAAAATGAAGTGAAAATAAAAAAGGAAAAAAATCCCGATCCTTTGAAAATTGAAAGACAACGGAGGGAGGAAATGAGGAAAAGCATTGATCTTGAAGAAAATCCAAATATTTTCCTCTTGAGAATAAAAAAAAGATGTGGAAGCGAGGAGGGAAAATATAACGTCGACTTGGAATTTCGAACACCTCGACCATGGTTGACAAGGCCAATTGTTGAAAAACCCCCTCGTCCTGCACCAACTGATTTGAAAGTAAGTGATTCAAAACTAGATTCAAAACTCGATAATAAAGAAAGCAAAAAAGACAAGAAGACACAAAAAACGAAAACGAAAACGAAAACGAAAACGAAAAAAGGGGCAAAAAAGAAAAAGAAACAAAAAAAAGGATAAATGTTTTATTTACAAGTTTACAATTTTCAGAATAACAATTTCTAATTTCTAATTTCTAATATTATAATAAATAAAAATAGAACAAATATTTTTTCCCTCTCAATGAAATACGATTGATTACAAATGGAAAGTCATTTTTGAAAAATTGATTTTCTTGAAAATTGCGCAGAATTTTCGAAACTAATCAATTCATGAATGAAAAGCGTCGCGGCAACCTGAAATAAAAATTCTTTTAAAGAATGAAAAATTTATCAAAAATTGAAAGTTTGTCGAGCGGTTCTCACGATCTCAACATATAACAAGAGTCAGGTGGGTTTTTGAATGGACTTCTCTATTCATTCAATTCTTTTCGTTGGCCACCCGCCCACTACGAGCCCACTTTTGAGGCTAGGAAAAAACTGTCTTCCTCGCCATTTTCACATCTTTTCAATGAAAATTGTGTAAACTGTTGGAGAAGTCCTGGTTTAAATCACCTTTTCTCCTTTCTAGAGTAACGATGATCACCTTATTCTACTTTGAAATTTATTAGTTTTCTTATGACATTTATTGCCAGTTTCCACATGAATAAATTTCTTATTACTGAATTATTACGTGGTATTATACAATTATGATATTTCGAAATTGTATTATAATTTTTCGGACATGGTAAAAGAAATTGGAATCGAAAGTCTATAAATGCGTGTCATTTTCTTGGCGATAATAAAATTACTTTTTTATTCATTTATATTTATTTCATTTTTTATTTTATTTTTATTCATTCTTTTATGTACTCGGAAAAATTTTTTTTTACTTTTATTTGTTTAATTATTATTATTTTTTTTATATAAAAAATACTGTTTTCTTTGAACCTTATACTTTATTTCATACTCAAGAGTAAGAATTTAAATTGCACAAAATTAATTGTTAAAAATATTAAAGTCTTTTTCTCTTAAGAATCTTGATTTTGTTGCCCCACTTTCTTATTTTTATCATTATTATGAAAAAAAATTTCAAATTAATTGAATTATTTCCTAAAATTTTAATAAATCCTTTAAAACAATTCAATTATTTTCAAAACTCTTACAATTCTTTGCAAAAATTATATTATTTTTAAAATTTGAATAAAATTTCATGAAGGACTTCAATTTTTTTTAATTTTTAATAATATTTTTCGAAAAAATTAAATTATTTTCTAAAATTTTAATAAATCCTTCAAAACAATTCAATTATTTTCATAAATAGTAAAATTCTTTGAAAAATTCTATTATTTTTATTTTAATACAATTTTAATAAAATTCCATGAAGGAATTCAATTATTATTTTCAAAACTCGTATAATTCTTTGCAAAAATTCAATTATTTTAAAAATTTGAATAAAATTTTTTGAAAAAATTTTGAATTTGAATTTGTATAGAATTTTATAAGGACTTCAATTTTAAAAAAATTTTTAATAATAATTTTTGGAAAAATTCAATTATTTTCTAAAATTTTAATAAATCCTTAAAAAAAATTCAATTATTTTTATAAGTACCTAGTAAAATTAATTGTAACTTATTTTTTATAAAGAATAATATATATTCTTTTCAGGAATTAAATTTTATTTCAATATGATTTTAATAAACTTCAATAATCAAATATTTAATTATAGTTATTAACATATTCGTTTATTTTAAAAAGTTAAAGAAAATTCTTTGTTTAATTCAATTATTTCAAAAACATAAAATTTTAAATTTGTATATTTTACTAAAAAAATATTTTTTAATTGTGCCCTAACGTGAATAATTGTCAAAAAAAATTAATTTTTTTATGCAAACAGTTATTACAGTTAAAGAAGAGATTATTGAAATCAATTCAGAAATTGAATTTGATTCTTGAAATAAAAATAAAAAATTCTTTGTATTTGCATAAAATAAATTATTTGTATATACTTTAAACTTCAATAGGCAATAAAGTTGAAGCCTTGAAGCACATAAAAATTGTGACACAACTGATTATTGTGATTTGAAAAAGCAATATTTTCAATTTGACTGGTCAGAAATTTGTCCATTTCCGAATGATGACAACAATAATAAATAGGAAATAGGTGTAATATTTATACCGGAAATCTTTATAGATACTAAAGGAAAATGGGAAACTTGATGCGTAGATTATAATAGAAATATATCCCGTTGACTTTTGACACATTTAGAGCATCAGGATGTCAATGAATGCCCAACATTTTCATCCTAATGGTCTAAAAGACTGAGATCCTTTTATGAAAGCGCTCTCTGGTCCTTCTGGCGAAAATTGTATCATGTCATTGTGTTCAGTCCCGTCCTTCTTCACATTGATACCGTTTAGCACCATTTAGGACGAGGCTGTAATTTATAGCCCTTGTTCAAAAATCAATACATTACTTTAAAGTCTCCATTAGCAGATCACATCTAAATTAATTACTCTTTTTGATGATGATAATAAAAGTAAATAATACGAAAAATATTAATATTATATTAATAAAATTATTAAATATTATATTATTATATATTATAATATATATTATATTATTATATTATTATATTATATATTATATTCCCAATGGGAAATTTACAACTGGCGTAGTACTGCGCCAGCACTGGCGGCAAGGCTGAGAGCCAGCACTGGCATGGCACTGGGATGATAACGCCGTCTGGCGCTGCCGAAGTACTGTCTGTCAGTGCTGCCAGACAGCGCTGGCGCAGCACTGGACCAGTGCTGGCTGAGAATATTGCCGCAATAAATGCCGTATTGTTATTAATTAGTCGTAAATTCATAATTATAAATAATTTAACAACAAAATGGTAAATAATATTAATAAATAGTTATTATTCATAAAATATTTCTCTTCTTAAAGAAATTGTATTAAAGATGGAGACTAACAATGGATATAGTAAATGAAGTAGAAAAAAATTGTTTATAACATTTAAAAATTAAATAATAAACAATTACAGTAAGTGTGCATTAGATTTTCATACGTTAGAACCTAACGATTGGAATCTAGAAATATCGCAAACCTATGAAAATAAACAAAATTGCTGACGAGGGGAATCGAACCTACGACCTACGGACTAACAGACTAACGCTCTAACCACTATGCTAACGACACATGTGTACAGTAAAGTATTAATATCTCAGTATCATTCAGACATACAATTATTGAGTCAAAGATGAGAAAAAAATAGGGATACGTTAGAAATAATAAATTGAAATAAAATAAATTAAACTACATTTTTAATAATTAATTTAAATTACTTTACTTATTGCATTCAACATTTTACGTAATTCTTAAATTACGTGGTAATTTTTTAATAATTTTTTATTCATAGTAAGAAGTATAATAGTATTTTAATAGGAACCAAATTATTATTGAGATTAAAGTTTAAATTTTGTTTATAATTTTAATTTGTTTAAATAATTTATTATTTACAAAATTAGACAATTGTGTTAAATTGTTATTATTAAATTTAATAAGAATAAAAAATGAACAACTGAAAAGTAAAATATTAATTTTTTTCAATAAATTTATATTTATAAACATTTATAAACTTTTTTAATAATTTTTTTCAAGTTTATGTCAAAAAAGCAGTGTTGGCAAAGAGCGTTGTGAACAATTTTTCTATACTCAGCCAGCACTTGCCGCCGTGGCTTGTCCAAGCTTTGGCGAAACAAAAATTCTGTACTGCGCCAGCACTAGTTGTCGAGGCTCGGCTAGACTACGCCGAACAATCGTCTGAGTACTAAGCCAGTGGTGAACATCGGCACTACACTGGCATTTCCCATTGGGTTATTATATTATATTATTTTTTATATTATTATTATTAAATCGATTATTTTTAATAATTTTCGAAAAAGTTCTTTGATTAAATTATTAAAAATAATTGAAATTCTACGATGAGTTTTCATATTTGTGAAAATAATTGAATCCCTAAGAAGAATTTCATTATTTTTGAACAATATTTAATTTTTACGAAGAATATTATTACTCTTGAAAATAATTGAATTTATGCAATAATTTGTAACTTTTCCAAAATTAAATAATTTTTTCGTGGCTTTCACTAAAATTCTTCTATAAATGCATTATTTTTAATAATTTTTAAAAGAGTTCTTTGACAATTTTCAAATTCATTTTTTTACAATTTAATTTTTCAAAATTTCAATTATTCATAAGTTCTTTAATTAAATATATATTAGAAAATAAAAACTTTAAATAATTTCAAAAAAATCCGCAATTAAACTTTCTCAATAAAACTAATTCCACAGAATTGTTAGTTATAAAAGTTAGTTTCAAAGATTTTAATTTGAAAACTTTTCAAAATTCAATTATTTCTAAAAATTCACGCTCTAATACTTTTAAGATTCAATTAATATAATTTAAAATTTTAACTGAAATTCATTTTTAAATTAATTTTTATTAGGAAATTCTACAAGAATTCAATTATTTAAATAAAAAAAACAATTTATTGAATAATTGCATGTTTCTTAAAATTGAATTCTCCTAAAGAATTTTATCAATAAATTTTTAAATAATTGAATTCTCTTGACGAATTTTAATAAAATTTTTAAGAATAATTACATTTTTCGAGGAATTCGATTAAAATTGTATTATTTATGAAAATAATTGAATTCCTAAAAAGAATTTTATTATTTATGAAAATAATTGAATGATTGCGAAGAAATTTTTTAAAAAAGTTGTAAATAATTGAATTCCTGTGAATTTTTAAAATTATTTTATGATAATAATTAAAAGTTTGCGTAGAATTTTATTAAATTTTTTTGGAAAATTTTATTAAAGTAATAGATATTAAAAATCATTGAATTGAGGAAAATTTTTGAAAATAATTGAAATTTTGACGAGAATTTAAAAAAATTTTTGAACATAATAATGGAATTTCTGTGAAGAATTTTAATATTTTTGAAAATAATTTAATTTCTGCAATCATTTGTAATTTCTCTAAAGTTCTTCAAATGATATCGTACACTTTATGAACTTTTCGTCTTTTCTTAATAAAATCACGGACTTTACGGACCTTCTTTTAAAAAAAGACGGACTTTTAGCAAATTTACGGACCTTTACGGGATTTACGGACCCAGTTCGAGCCCTGATAATTATTTTTAGTATCTCGTTAATGATTTGAAAAATTGTTTAACTTATGATTATCTAATTTTTTTGCGCATTTTTTCAGTTTTTGAATGACCCAATGATTATTTAAAAATATGAAAGAAGTGTATAAAAAAAATTGACAATTAGAAAAATGGGTTTTTTCACTGCTCCCTATTCCCAAAGTTCGGTAATATGACAGTAAAATCTATTTCCCGCGATTTTTGCTTTATGATAAATCTTTTAGAGAGAATCTTTCTTCTTTTTGAAATTTTTCCACTATACGGTTGTAATGCGAGATCGAATTTGATTTTTCAAACTCCAGTCCTCTGGAGAGAGAAAAAATGATTGAGCAATAGAGAAAAGAGCAAAATCATGTCGATGAAAGTAACAACAAAAAAAATGTCATGAGCCCTCGGGAACAAGTATTTATGCAACTCCTTTAGCGTTTTTCTTCATTTTTTCGCACCCTCTGATTTTAATGGAGGCGGAAGTATATGACAAAAGAAAGAGACTACGGGTGGGCAATGCAGCAAATAATATTGGAATGTTTGCCCCCGGTATTGTTAGTATTTTGACTCTCTCGACGTTTGTTCCATTTAAAAAGTGTTTAGAGCTTCCCTGCACTAGTGGACAGTGGCGATTCTGTTTTTCTGTTGGCTCATGTGATCTCGTGTTGCGTACATCTATGCAATCCATATATCAGCCAGTCAGCGCACTCCGGGTGTTCTTCCCTTCAATTTTTGATTCTTCAATGATTTCTAAAGAATATAAAAAGTATAAACTCTGTTAGCGCGAAATGGAGGCTTAATAACGGGATTTAGGAGATCCTATCGGAATATTTATCAAAACATTTTTGAATTTGTTTGATAGAGCATAAAAGATTTTCCTTTTTTTAAAACGTCTTCAAATATTATTTTGTTACGTGTTTGTATTTATATTTAGGATTTTTCGCTTTTGAGCGATGTTTTGTTGGAAAATGAGATTTTGATGATATTTTATTGTGAGTCGAATATACAGAACAGTAGTTACTAAATTATCTTTTACTTTTCTGTTAAAAGAAAATCTGACAATTTTGTAACGTTGATTTTTACTTTTCCCTGATTTTCAGACAAAATTTCGACTTTTCCTGGCCCTAAAGAATATTCTGATTCACTCTAAAAATAAATAAATGTAATAAAACATCTTTTTTAAGTAAATACTCAAAAGAATGTTCTATTACATTTATTTACGAATTTCTTTGATTGGAAAATTATCCAAAAAAATCAATAAATTCTTTTTTAAATAAATATTTAATCATTATTTTTATTCCGTAGGAATTAAGATTTATAAAAATTACAAATTCAAACGTTTTTGAAATTCAACAAACTTATAAAAATATTTTCATGTTTTATAATAATAATTTAAGTATCCATAAAATTGAAAAAAAATTAAATTATATTTACAAAAATTTTAATAAAATCTTTTGCAAGAATTAAATTATTCTTCAAGGGATTTCAATTATTTAAAAAAATGTAATAGAAATTCGTTGCAGAAATTCAATTATTTTCATAAATAATAGTAGTCTACACCAGATTTTAATTCTTTAAAAAAAATTAATAAAAATTCGTTGCAAGGATTCAATTATTTTCATAAATAATAAAATTCTTCACAGACTTTCAATTATTTAAAAAAAAATTTAATAAAAATTCGTTGCAAAAATTTAATTATTTTCATAAATAATAATATTTTTCATTGGATTTCAATTACTCTTAATACAATTTTTTAAATGAATTCCTTGAAAAGTGTAATTATTTTCAAAAATGTTTTGCAAGAATTCAATTACATTTCACAAATAATGAAATTCGTCGCTTGAATTCAATTATTTTCATTAATAATAAAATTCTTCACACGATTTCAATTATTCAAAAAAATGTAATAAAAATTCGTTGCAAGAATTCAATTATTTTCATAAATAATATATAATTCTTCACAGGATTTCAATTATTTAAAAAAAAATTAATAAAAATTCGTTGCATGAATTCAATTATTTTTATAAATAATAAAATTCTTTACAGACTTTCAATTATTAAAAAAAAATATAATAAAAATTCCTATCAAGAATTCTATTGTATTCATAAATAATAAATTTTTTCACTGATTTTCAATTACTTAAAAGAAATTTAATAAAATTCGTTGCAAAGAATTCAATTATTTTCCAAAATAATATAATTCTTCACAGGATTTCAATTATTTTTAATACAATGTTAAGTAAATTCTTCGAAAAATGTAATTTTTCTTAAAAATTTTTTATTAAAATTCTTCGAAATAAATTAATTATTAATTATAATCAATTATTTTTAATAATTATTGTAAAACTTCCTTTTGATTTTTAATACCATATGTTTACAATTAATTTTACGAAATTTCGATTATTCGAAAATCCTTCAATTAAATATTTAGAAAATAAAAACTTGAAATAATTTCAACTAAAAAAATTCAATTAAACTTTTTCAAAAAAATTTCTTCTACAGAATTGTCAGTTACAAGTATGAAAAATTCAAATTTTCAAAGATTTCAATTTAAAACCTTTTCGAAATTCAATTATTTAAAAAAAATTTTGCTTTAATGTTTTTAATAATCAAAATTATTATTTAAAATTTTAACAAAAATTCATTATTAAATCAATTTTTATTAGAAAATTCTACGAGAAGTTAAGTATTTAAATGTAAAAAAATAATTTATTAAATAATTGAATGTTTCTTAAAATTGGATTCTCTTAAAGAATTTTATCAATAAATTTTTAAATATTTGAATTTTTACGATGAATTTTAATAAATTATTGAAGAATAATTACATTTTTCGAGAAATTCTATTTAAAATTGTATTAAAAATAATTGAAATTCTGTAACGAGTTTTATTATTCATGAAAATAATTGAATCTCTGTAAAAAAATTGTATATTATTTATGAAAATAATTGAATTATTGCGAAGAAATTTATAAAAAATTTGTAAATAGTTTAATTCCTGTGTAATTTTTGTTATTTATGAAAATAATTGAATTATTATTATTAAAAATTTCTAAATAGTTTAATTCTTGTTAAATTTTTATTATTTTTGAAAATAATTTAAAGTTTGCTTAGAATTTTATCAAAAAAATTTTTTTTTTAAATTTATTGTGAATTCCCTTGAAAAATTTTAATTAAATTTTAATATTGAAAGTCATTAAATTGAGAAAAATTTTTAAATATAATTGCGAATTTCTACGAAGAATTTTACTATTTTTGAAAATAATTTAATTTCTCCAATCATTTGTACTTCTCCAAAATTAAATTTTTTTCAGTACTTGAATAAAAATTCCTGATTTTCCTGACCTGTATCAAATTTGTTTAATTCTCTAAATTTGAGTTAGTAAAAATGTTTACTAATTAGAATTAGTGACTAACTTTTTGCTTCTGAATTAGTAAATTTTACTAATAAATTAGTAAAAATAATTATTTATTAGTCAAATTTACTAATATTCAAAAGCAAAAAGGCAGTCACTAATTCTTATGTTAGGAAAATAATAATAATAATAATAATAATTCTATCTAATTAGTAAACACATTTTTACTAATTCAAATTTAGAGAGTAACTTTCAATTTGACTTTTACTTGGACTTTCACTTAGACTTTCACTTTGACTTTGACCTTGACTTTAAATTTCAAAATGATTCGCAATATGCATTATAATATCACTAAACATGACACAAATTTTTTTTTTCTACATTATTTTCCCTAATTCAGACTAATTCTTCAGTAAAAAAATTTCACAGGTCGATTTTTGATCCACAAACATAAAAAATAGTTTTTGAAAAGGATGCATGTAATCTTAGGTATAAGCGATCGTTTAGCTTGAGTCTTGTTGTCAAAGTAAGTTGCACTAACTGGTATATTATATAAAGGTAGCACGATGTGGGGAAAACGAGAAGGGGCCTGACTTAAAAAGAGAAAAGTCAGGGGGGATGCTGTCATATATATCTGTCGGACAGTAGGGGGGTGTCAGCAGGCGTCTCAGCAGGGTTCACCCCAGCTACTGTAAAAAGAGAGTGATTCCTTGCAGTTTCTGCACTTAACATATCAGGGGAATATTTTAAATAATGATCAGTTTCAACATTTTATTTCGCAGAAAGAAAAAGACGTCTTGACCCAAATTTGCACCAGAGCGTTATTAATTATAGTATCAGTAGCTATTTTAATTTTTAACTGTTTTTAACAATTGTTATTTTACAACAGGCAATAAATTATGACTAAATTTTATTCGATGGATTAATCTTTTATTCAATTGTCTCAATTTTAGATATATTCAAAGTGCTTTATTGTGAATTAAATTTGAACTACTTTTTCAGAATGTTTCACGCCATCAGATTATTCCCGCGAGGCGCTCATGCGTAAAAACACAGGCGCAAATTAGTGAAATAGAAATTGTTTACGTAAATTACAATAAAATTGCCTCATAAGATGATGGCACATGTGTTAGCATTGTCGAATTATTTATATAATTTCAATTAACATAAGTGTCATAATAGTTTAAAAAAAATAATTCTTTCTTTGAATGTGTCATCATCATCTTCGGTGGATTTTTCAAAGCTCGCAAATTTTTCTGAAGACAGAGTCAAAATTCGTCAAAAAGTGAGTTTTTTCTTCATTGGATAAAAAAAATGCGCTTCTTCGGAAAAATTATGACTTTTCCGATTGATTGATTGGAACTTAGAGAGTGTAATTATTAGCTGGTGTGCGGAAATAATATTTTGGGGGAATAAATTTCGGCGTAAAGTATATTCTTATTACAAGATAAACTTGTGCTTTCTGACCTCGGCTGCCTTGCCTCTTTGAAAGTGACTGCATGAAACTAACCCCAAAATCAACCATGACATTCATATGCAACCGCGCTCTCCCCTAAAGAAGATAGCGAAAAAACGAATAGGCTTGTGGTAACCAACCGTTCATCTGAGGGTTGTGCCAACCCCAGTGTCGCATAATTGAAGAAGGGCGATATTTTCGACCCCTCTCTCTACATCGAATAATATTACCAAGGGTTAGCTGGTGACGCCATCTTAGATTAAATCGACAGGAAAATGGTGGTGGTCAGAATCATCAGAACACGTCCTGCCATCGCTGTGCGTTTAATTTTCGCCTCTATTTTATTATCTTGGGTGAATATCTTATAACTTTTCCACTTGAAAGTGAATCTGATTTTTTTTTCTTTTTTATATTCACCTCAAAGTTTAATTATGTATTAAAAGCGTAAATCGTGATGTTAGTAATATCACACATCAAGACTGAATAAAATATAAAACACTATCAAGAATTTAGTTGCTGAATTTTACATATATTTAACTTTATTTACTTTTCAGGATTCAGCATTTACAAAATGTATGAGGTCCTATATGTATAAAATAATATGTTGAATATTGTCAGAAAAATCTGAAAATTTTCCTATAAAGTTTCGAAGGTTCAAATGAATGAACCATATATTTTTTTACTTCCGTTAATTTGTATTTTTTTATTAAAAAAAGTTATTTTTTGTATTAAATTAAAAATACCAGTTCTTATCTAAGTAAATGTTTATTTTTAATAAATTTTCTCCTTTATACGCAAAATGATTTTTATGCTCCAATCCCCAAAATATTTTGCAAGGAAAAGCGTTTTAGAGAAAAATGTTGTTAGATTAAAAAAATTCTGTCTATTTGTGAAATTTTGTTGAACCTAACAACTTTTTTATTTAACAGTTTTTTTTAAACGCTTTCCTTTCAAGATATTTTGGGGGTCCAGAATATAAAATGCACCCTGTATAGTATATTCTTTTAAACATTTTAAGAGAAAAAAATTGCGTTCATTTAAATTGTTCAACACTTTCGGAAGATTTTAATAGAAATACTATTAGTGCAAAGAATATAGAATTTTTTGTTAACATTTCTATAATTTTAAATTCATCACATTTTGCAGAATTTATTTTCAAAATAATGACGTAAGTCCAAAAAATTTATGTGAAATTTACGTGTATTGAATTATTGATCTACTTGTTTTCGAATACATTTCGAGATTTTAAATTACACGGAATTTTTTTTTTAAATTTATACAAAACTTTATTTGTTATACTCTTGATTATATTTGTTTATAAACAAGCAGTCTTGTAAAATGTTATTCAAATTTTCAGTATAATTTATACTCGAGGAATAATTTTGCATTTTGATGACAATTTAGATGATTTCACAAAACTATTTTGCAAATCCAGTGAATTTGAATATTCTAAGTGGATACTTATTTGGAAAAGTAAAAAAAGCTTTATAAATCTTAAGAAATTATTAAAAAAGTGATTAATTTGTATTTTCTAAAAAGTGTAAAAATAATGTTTATAAATTTTTTCTGAGATATAAAAAATAAAGTATAAACGATTTTAAAAACTCGACTAATTGTGTTCAAATTTGGCAAGGATATGTATTTCTCTACGTAGAATCAAAAAAAATATGCTTTACATTTGATTATCATGGTGTTTTTTTTAAGAGTTTTAATAAAAAAAATCCCCCTTAGAATTTTTCTGAAATTTTGTAGGAAAGAGCCTGTCCATAAATTACGTAAGACATTTTTTTTTTTGGAAATTTTGAAATTAGCACCATATTTTCTATTGTTTGTAAGAACTTGCTGACAACCCCCCCCCCCCCCTCCCCTAAATGTCTTACGTAATTTATGGACGGCCCCAAAGTATAAACTTTTAATTTTTAATAAATTAAAAATGTTTGTAATAAATTAAAATTGAAATAAATTTTTAATTTCAAACCAAAAATTACGAGAAAAATACAGCAAATCTGATTTTAATAATTTAATTGATTATAAAATTTATGGTTTTTGACGAAATATTCAAAATTTTGAAAAAAGTGGTAACACTAGCTTTAAATTTTACAATTTTTGACCTTGTTAATTAAAAAAAAATGAGTTTTCTGGTGTATTTTCATGAGTAAATTTTAATAAAAATACAATGAGCTCAAGAGTGGTTTAAAATTATAATTTATTATTAGGCTTTTCTCGAATAATCGAAAATTTGTGGCTTTCAGCTTTAAACTTTTTAATTTTTGTCCTCGTCAGTAAAAAATAAGTATATTCTGTGGAATTTTTACTGTATAATAAATGCAATGGGCCGAAATGAATTTTACTATATTTTTTTTTTAAATAGTAAATTATAAAAAAAAGTGGTCCACTCTTCAAATTTTTTTTTTAGTTTTATGTACAAAACCCTGTACCTATAGCAGTTTTAGTGTTATAGTTAAACTCGCACTTATCTGATTTTCTTATTTGATATTATAATCGATTATGTGGCTCAAATAAACTTCTTTTATAGTGTAGGATCATAAACTTCCACTATTTTTAAAAAAAATTGAAAAAATACATTATTTTTCCAAAAATAAAAAAAATTAATTTACCGTTTAAACATTCGTAAAATTATTTTATACCATATTCTTTTATTTAGATTCTGTTTTTGGAGAAGTAAAAATAGGTGAAAATTCTAAAAGGACAAAAGAGGGCTTGAAAATTAAATAGAATACATCCCTCATGTTGTATAAAATATTTTTTTATTTTAAAATATATAACTCTTCATTTTTATATAATCTGTTATACATATATACACATAAGTCTCTTTTCAATTCGTAAATATACAATATGTACAAGTTTCGATAATACAAAATTATCAAATATAAACCTACACTGCGAATAACATTTTGCTTTCGATTTAAATTCACATTTCTCAAATACAATATATCAAAAATATTTTTTTTCCACTTTTGTATTTATACTATTTTTTCCCGAAAAAACTTTTTTCTTTCCATCTCGAGAGTTAATATCATAACCTCAAGAAATTTTATATATTTAAAGGCATTTTACATCAAAACTGTTGCATAAATTCATTATATACAAATATATTCTTCTTTTGAATCGCAATTATATATTTTTTTTATTTAGAAAGCTTTTTTTTGCAAATTTGCAAAAATTTGTATTAGAGTGGATAGTGAAACGCGGCTGGAATAGAGTGACCTATCGCGAATGGTCCAAATGGAACCACAGGTACGTGATATGGACCTCTGTTGTCGTGTGTCCTCGTGTGCTTCTTCAAGTGATCCTTTCGTCCAAATCGTTTTCCGCAAACAAGACAGGAGTGTGGTCGCAGTCCGGTGTGAATTCGCTTGTGCCTCGTTAGCTCTTCATTTCGAGTGAAGGATTTTCCGCAACCTTCCGTGTCACACTTGAACGGTCTTTCACCTTTAATGAGAAAAGATAATTTTTTGTTAGACATTTTTGATGTGGGAAAATATTTTTGCAATTTTTTTGTTAGATGTATTAAGTGTACTATATTTATAATTTCTCTGAGGATATCAAATTAAGACAAAAAACGTATCAAAATTGCTGCGAAGCAATGTTGCCCTCAGAGAAACTAAGTTGTACACAAAATGATTTGAAAATAAAAGAAATTTGAGAATCTTGATGCGTACAGTTCAGTGCATACTTTTCTAAATAGTATCAAATTAATGATGATGAAGCGATGCTAAAGTGGATCAAAAATTGATAGTAAAAATTTAGAACAATTTATGATTGGATACAAATTTTTGGTACCAATTTTTGAACCACTTTGGTATCAATTTTTAAAACCCTTCGGTATCAATTTTTGAACCCCTTCGGTACCAATGTTTGATCCACTTTAGTATCAATTTAATACCTTCAAGTTAAAAGTAAAATAAATAATAAGAATGAAAAGAAACTAACCGGTATGGATGCGAACATGTCCCTTAAGTTGCCCATTATTGCTGAAGGCCACATTGCAATGTTCACATCTGAACTTCTTCGGTCTGAGTTTCTTCATTTGCTTGGCGGCAACATCCTGCTCGTGAATGTACTTGACAGCTTCCTCGACACTGGCATAAGTCTCGGGGGAGAAGGCCGATAATCCGTAGTGCAGACTGGGATGGTAGACATCAAACGGATTTGGACATCCTTCGATTGGAATTATTCCGGATTTGAAATGTGACAAGTAACTCGAGTGCGAGTACATTGGACAAGAATTGTAGTAATTGTTTGCATATGCTTGAGAAATGTTGTCCTTGCACGATTCCATTGAGAGGCCACTTGCTGTTGTTTCAGAATGATGTTCGGGATGTGCGTTAAAAACGAAATTACTGAGCATATTCAGACTACTTGTTTCCGATAGATCCTCACTGTTCACCGAACATGACCTCGATGAAGAACTAATCCTCGATTCATCATGTTCAGACTGATTGCAAACACTGTCGTTCGAGATGACACTCTCAGAATCCTCTTCTGGTTCACACTTCACTTCCGACTCTTCAACTGGCGAAGACACTTTTTCCTCACTTGGAACATCTCCATTCCAGGGCCTGAAGAATCTCGTACTCTTCGTATCACACATTTTTCGAATTAAATATTTGATCAATTAGCTTAATTTAAATGAACAATATTTGCAAAAATAGTTGTAAAAATATTTGCAAAAATAGTTGTAAAAATAGGTGTAAAACTAGTTGTAAAATAGTTGTAAAACTAGTTGTAAAAGTATTTGCAAAAAAAGTTGTCGTTGAAAAATATTCTGACGTACTTTTTGGAGGAAAAGCTCGTAAAGCACACAACGATGCAACTTGGACAAGATTTTAGTCGAAACTATTCGCTAGAGAAGTTGAGTGTGGATTATATAGTGAGTAGGAAAATAGGGGATGACCCCACCCTCTTGCTGGGATTGGGGCGTTTCAAAAACAGCCTCGCACACCATCGGGGGCTAAGGTAGGTTTTGGTAGGCCTGGAAAGGGCGCTACCGAAGGAGAGGGCCCTTTTGTTGAGAATTAATCTGCGGCCACGCGATTTGGTCCTTTGTCACGTGAAGGGATGATACCGTGACTCAAAAGACTCTCCTCTGGCTGTGTATGTATGTGGACCAGAAAAGACCTCCCCATCTGTTCGGATGACTCTTTGCCCCTCGTGCACATGAGGCGCTGTACGTTCAATTTATTTATCAGATTCGTCTCCTGGCAAATTTAGAGGCTTGGGAATATTGTCCCTTTCATTATATTCTCATCAGATGCAGGATTAATTTTGGATTTTAATTTCAAGTTTCATTATGTATCTCGTTGAACTTGTTGATGAAGAAAGAGATGGAAATAAATTTTTGATTTCTTTGTCATCAAGTGTTTTTAAATTTTTGTTCTTTAATGGATTTTAATCGAAGTGTTTTTATAGATGTATTCCCAGATAGTTTTGTTCATTTTCTGACCAGATTCTTCAACTGATTATCAGAGCTTTTATGTGCTGTTCTTAATTTTTGTTTTAAGAGAAACTTTTTTTTTTATGCAAACAAATTTTCTCCTTCTGCTCTGAAAGAAGTACTTTTCTTCTTAGAATAGCATATAGCAAAAGTAGAACTTTTCTTAACTCCTCTGAACTCTCTAAATTCGAATTAGTAAAAATGTTTACTAATTGGAGTTAGTGCGACTGACTTTTTGCTTTTGAATTAGTAAATTTTACTAATAAATTAGAAGAAATTACTATTAAATTATTCATTAGTAAAATTTACTAATTCAAAAGCAAAAAGTCAGTCACTAATTCAAATTAGTAAACATTTTTACTAAATTCACAGTGGCGAAAGTAAATTTTCATCAATTTGAATTATATTCGAGGAAGACTTTTTCAGGGTTGCCATATACAAAAACTTAACTTTGTTTTTCCTTGACTTTTCCCTGATTTCCAGATAGAATTTTAACTTTTTCCCTGACCCTAAAGAATTGTAAAATTATATTCGAAAAGATCAATAACTTCAGTTTTAAATAAATATTCAATCAATATTATTTTTCCATAGGAATTAAAATATTATGTTACTCTAACTTCTTTGAAATTATTTTCATTATTTAAATTCAATGATTACTATTTACTAGAATTTTTTAATAAAATTCTTCTTTAAATCAATTATTTTTAATCATTTTTGCAAAAGTTCTTTTAGAATTTTCAAATCTATTTGTACAACTCAATTTTACGTGAAATTTCGATTATTCGGAAATTCTTCATTTAAATATAGATACCTATATAAGAAAATGAAAACTTGTAATAAATTTAAAAAAAAATTCAAATATAATATTTTTCGAGAAAATTAGTTTAACAGAATTTTTAATTTTAATGTATAAAAAATTCAGATTTTTAAAGATTTTAATTTTAAACTTTTTCAAAAACCAATTATTTCTATATAAATTCACGCTTTTATAGTGCGGCTTTTAATATTCAATTATTATCTAAAATTTGAACTGAAATTCATTTTGAAATAAATTTTTTTTTAGAATATTCTACAAGAATTCAATTCTTTAAACAAAAAAATAAATAATTTATTGAATAATTGAATATTTTTTGAAACTGAATTTTCATGAATTTTATTAATAAGTTTGGCAGATTTTTAAATTTTTTTAAATTTAAAATTCTTTTAAGGGATTTAGTTAAAATTTTACAGAAACTTATTAAATTAAAGAATTTGATTACAATTTTTAAAAATAATTTTAAACTTTTAGAAAAAAATTATTAAAATCTTTAAAAATTCATGAGAAGAATTTAAATAATAATTTATGAAAATAATTACATTCATGGGAGGAATTTTATTAAATTTTGTAATATTTGAAATTTTACCAAGAATTTTATTTTCAAAAATTAGAAAATAATTTAATTACTATAAATGAAATTTTATTCTTTATGGAAATAATTTAATGTTTTCGTAGAATTGTATCAAAAAATTGTTCTCAACAATTAAATTTTGTGGTAAATTTGATAAAAATAGTAAATATTAAAAATCATTGAATTTGCGAAAAACTTTTGAAAATAATTGAAATTTTGCAAAGAATTTTATTTAAAATTTTGAAAATAATTGGATTTTTGGTAAAAAATTTTGCAATTTATAAAGAAAATTCAATTCTTAACGAGATATTCGTTAAAATTTTTGAAAATAATTGAATTTCTACGACGAATTTTATTGCTATTGAAAATAATTGAATTCATGTGATGAATATTGTTATTTATGAAGATAATTGTATTAAAACTTTTGTAATAATTAAATAATATTAAAAAATTCATTCTTGTCAGAAATAGAAAAACTTTTTGAAGGTTTTGTATTAGATTTAGTGGTAGTTTCATAGTTTATGAGGCAAACAAAAAAATACCAAAATTCAGAATTTTCTTAAGAATTATAGAAATTTAAATTTTTCTAGTACTTTCAATAAAAATTCCTGACTTTTGGCAACTCTGCTTTTTACTAAACTTAAAATCGTACTCTCGAGGCTAAAGTTAAGTCAAAAAAATCTGGTGCGAATGTAATCGGTTTTATAGTCAAAAAGTACGATGAAAGTAACATTTATATTTTTTATACTGCGCAGCACATAAAAATAAAATTCCATTTCGGCGAATAAAATTGTCTGGCTGATTGGATTTGATATATCCGTTGATATATATTTTTTAGAAAAGAGAAAAAAAAACGTTGGCCAAAATTATAAATAAATATAGTTGTATTATATGCTTGGCGAGACGAATCTATTATACAGCGTAGAAAAGAAACCAACGAATCCATGTTAAGTGAACGAGAACGATAGGTTATGGGGGTGGAGTTTGAATCGTCGAGTGTTGATTTATTGTAACACTTGGACCAAAGTTACCCTCTGTTGTGTATCGTCCACCCTCTCTTTCTCATTTTTCTTCCCTTCTTCATTGCAACCTAGATGACTCCTACTCCTCCCTGTCTAAACGCAGCTTTTATAATATCAGAGAAATGCCGTGCACTCGAAAATCCATTCATACCAAATAGTCTTTGTATTACGACATTGTCAATGAAACAATATACGCGCAGTTATGACAAATATTTCTGTTCAAATAATTATTTCGTATATATATTTTATTTATATCAAGTTTTATAATTTTAATAAAATTTTTCATCTTGAAAACTACACGCAACAGATTTAATACATTTGTTTTACACATTTTTATTTTATTTTTATTTTATACATTTCCTAGGAAAGGTTTTACACAAAAAAATGTATTAAATTTGTTGCGTGTAGGTTTCAAGATATTGAGAGAAAATTTCCTTTTACAGTTTTCGAAAGAAACTCATGAAAACTTATTTGCAATTCAAGATAAATTTAATCAAAGATTTTATGAAAGTAAACGAAACTTTAAAAAATTAAAAATCAACAACCAAAAATGTAACTTTTCGAAATTATTACCATAAACAAATAATTAATTAATAATAATTTAAAAATAATAAATAAATAAAATATGAATGAATATACGAATGTTTCATAAAACTGACTCTCTGGAGAGTAATTTAAAGATTCGAATCTATATATATAGTATAAATATAAGTATTGTATACGATGAATTAAAAAACCCAATCATTTACAGAGTGACACCTCGCGGTATAAAAATATGTCCGCAGGAACATGTCAAGTCCCCAATATATATTTTTTTATTTACCACTAATCGATTATCTACTATTCAGAGCTCTATATGTGAATACAAATCGATCAGAGGAAATCATTCAACTCGGCTGTCAAGACAGCCCACGTTTCACAAAGGTCTTCCAAAAACATGAATTTTACGCAAAAAATGCCTCGAACAAATTAGGTCTCTTTGAATGCGTGATATTTAAGAAAAAAAAAGATGAAGAATTCGAATTGAAGACATGCTTATACAAAATTGCGTTATTCATATCTGGTAGCGATTCGTCATTCAAGTCGACAGAATGGACAAAAACTAAACGACAAGAGAGAGATCGGATCTGTCAACTTTTTAACGTCTCTAACAATACTAAGGGGCCGGACAGGTGGTCCACTCGATTTTGAGTATATAGAGTTTATTTTCGATATTTCCTCTCTATACCTATTTACTTTTCAAGTGCACTTTTGGTTATGCTTTTTCAATCGATTACTGTCTTTTACTAAATATTGTTAAACTTATACGCCAGGGTTTTCAAATTTTTACCACATTTTAAGCGAACCCAAAGAAACATTTTCTCAATTGAGAAAAAACTTGAAGAAAATTGATCGATAATCAATTTTTCAAGAGTAGCAGCAGAAGAAACTATCCTTACAGTCTCATTTCTGTATAAATACTTAATATTATTATGTTAAAGTTCTAAAAATTCAAATTAACGAATTTTATTTATTTCATTTTCCAATTCAAAATATAATAATATTTTGCTACGTTTGAAATACCAAAAAATTTCCAAACTTTGATAATATTTAATTTAGGTTTTCGATTTTTATTGATGTTAATAATTTTTGAAAATATTTATAATCGACAAATATTTTGTTCATATTTAAATGTCCAGAATTTGTAAAACATAATTTGAAACATTTGAAATGATAAAGTTTGAAATTGATTTGAGTAAGAATTTAAAAATTATATTTTTTGAAACTTGGATAAATTGGAATTTAAATCAAACTTATTATTGATTTCAGCTCATTAAAAAAATAAGATGTTATAAATTAAAATGGAAACAGAAAATAAAACATAAAAATGAATATTTAAGGGTGGTCAATGTTTTTCTGACAATTTTGAGTAATTAAAATTATAATATTCTTTAAAAAATTAATAAACAATTAATTAGTTAATATATTTTCTT